TGTAAATTTTTATTAGCTAATAATAACAATAAGTTTGACAGACATATGAGTAAGACTTTCAAACGCACAAGGTGCACGTCCCACAGCAATAACAAAAGTGCCAATAAAATCACATGCTTATGAAATCAATACTGCTATAAAAATATATAATAATAAATACGGTATGAAATATATACAAATAGAAAAGAATAGTTAACTTTAAAGCGTCTCAAGTTGTTGAATAAATATTAAAAATGTGTTTTTTTTATTATTTATATAACCAATTTAACTGACATTAGCAAAGCTACTAATTTGTTTATTTTGACACACCAACAACAAAAGTGAGAATAAAATAAATATAAATCAATAAATAGAATAGTTACCTTTAAGTCGTTCACAGTTGCTGAACTCAATTTATAAATTGTCAGTTGTAGAACAATGCTAACTGATTTTGGGGAAGTGTTTTTTTGGAATCTTTTTACCTTTCGAAACATTCATTACAATAACTAAATTTTCTCTATTGCAGCTATGTTTTAACAACAAAAATAAGATATGATAAGTTTCAATAAGAAGTTTTCAAAATGTTAAAATCATCAACAATACTACAATTTCATATTGAATTTGCACTTTACTCTGCCTACTCAATTGCTATCTAAGCGAACTGTCTATTAACTGCCAGCCACTATTACACAATCTGTAAAGCTCAATTTAAAATCAATTTCAAGTCTTTTACTTAAATTTGGTCATTTTTTGTTCGTTTTGCCAAACTATTTTCTAATTTTGGTAATTCCTAGTTAAAAATTGGAACGCGCTCACAAATTGTATCTGCCCGATGTTTCCTTTGGAGACTGCCACATTTAATACAGTTACAGCTACAGCTAGAGTTCAAGATAGAGAAGCAGATACAGATACAGATACAGATACAAATACAGATACTTGCACACTTGGCCGCACTTGTTGACGTCTGGGAGCGCATAGTGTGAGTGAGTATCGTAAAACCATTAATAGTTGACTATTTTGTTATGGGCCAGCAACCGGTTACTGGGCACACACAGACAAACGCAAACAACGCTGGCGGTACAAATTTGTATACGTTTTATTTAGCTGTTGTATTTTGAAAATTGTATCTCAAGCTGAACATGAATGAGCTTTTCGAATATTTCGTAACCAGTTGGACTGCATTTTTTTCTGGCCAGCGTTCGTTGGAGCCGCGGGCGAGTAGCGTGGCCAAAATGTTTACGTCTTGGCTATAATCGATACACAGCGACAATAACAACAACAACAGCAGCAGCAGCACTCACAATAAAGTCAAGTGTGTGTTTGCTTCAAAGAACTTCCACACACACACACACATACACAATTTTAACGCGCTTTTTATCTTTACCAAGCTGAATTGTTTGCTTAATTGCATGTGCACGGCGATTTTAACAATTATGTTAATTAAGCCAAGATTCTAATTGATTAAAGCGTTAAATAATGACAGCATGCAGCCTAAGCTAATGTCGTGTAATGAAAGAAATTTTCTCAACTCATTGCAAGCTTACACAAAGGAAATATTTGTGAAATTGTATCTTGTATCTGTTTATGTGCGTTTATATCTTAAGCGATTCCAGCTGTGCCTCAAATTGCCCAAGCGCCGGGCTTAAAAAAGACACGTGAATTTATGAAACAGTAAAAATGTGGGCATATTGCATTACCAATAAAAAAAAAGAAAAGAAAACAACAGAAACAGCATGGAAATAGCTTAAAAGCGAAAACCGCTGTTCAAACAGCGCGCACAACTTTGATGCGGGTCAGCTACAATTTCATAGGACTCCCCACTCCGCTCAATTTGCTCTCCGCCCCCTGAAGCCATCGGACATTGGCAATTTGTTCTAACCCACTTGCTGCTATATGCTCTAAATATTTTTTCAATTCATTTTCAATGCTGCGACAGCAGTTTCTTATTTTGTGTTTACCTTATCTTAATTAGCTTATTTTTATTAGCTTCTTATACCCTGCAAGTATTCCAAATTTGCTGAGTAAGGTATTTTAAAGACTTGCAAAATTAAACATATTTGACACTGGGAAAATATTTATATCCAGTTGCTGGTTCTTAATAAAACACTTTATAAAGACAACTAGACATTGTTATTGATAAAAGAAAGCAGGGGAGTATGTAATAAATTCTACATTTTCTCGTTTATCTTTAAATTCACATTCACGAAAAAATGTATCTGATAAAGGTATCTTCTAGTTGTGTACACTCGATTAGCTTACGCTGACTTGTTTGCATGTGCAAACACTTAGCAAGCTTTGATACTCTTTCGTCGTAAAGTGAAGAACACAATTTTGATACAACTTGTAATATACTTCAATATCACACAACACACGTGGGAACTTTCTGTTGAAACATAAGATTTCGTCTAAACAACCGTAGGTTGGCCTAGGTTATGGAAATATGGGGGTACAACACTCACCCACCGACGCATGGGAACCATGATCCGCATGAACTATATCCCCTGCTGTTCCGTTCATAACTAATTGCCAGACACTGTATTCCAGTCCGATGCTTGGATGAACAAAGCCAGTTGCCAACATCGAATACCAGAGAACTCTGAAATGTCTGAGAATAATAAAAAGTACAGTAATTTATATAATTAATAGCATCTGGATATATTACTAGGTATACTTGCTCTCTCATGCTCCCATTGTCGAGGTGAACTCCGTTCTGAAAGGGTATGTCTTCTTCGGCATGTCGTTCTTTCAAACTTTTTATTATTATTTTTATTTGTAGTTTTTTTTTTTTTGCTATTTGAGCAAGCTTTATATGTATGTAGTTCAATGTCAAGTAATTTGTGGTCAGTCGTCAGTCACAGTTGTCGTTGTCGCTGCTGCTGCTCTCAATGCCAGACAATTTCTAGAGTAGCCAAACGAGGCAAGCCTCAACAAAAAAAAAAAATATATATATATATATGTATGACGAAAAAAAAACATGATGAACAACGTAGTCAAACCGAACAGATTCGAAAAAGCAGCAACAGCTGTTCGGAAGTTGTGCTACCGTTACGGCTTATAAATTATAGTCTCTTATAAACACACACACACACGCACACACACACTTACACACTTAACACACATTTGTCTACAGATAGCATTAGACGATGACTAGTTAGATTATTGCATTGGGTGTCCAGGCATCAGCTTTAATTACAAACTAGCTTAAAAACAAAAACAAAAAAAGAGTAGACAGCTAAAAACAACGCAAAACTGGAACGTGCAAATGGTCAAGTCAAGTCGCTGTCCACATTCACATCTTTATCACCAACTTCATCTCGTGCTGCTGCTTCTTCTATTCGGTGTTCTAATTCTATTTGGAATTGCAGACATTTTTGCCAATCATTTGTTTGGATTGTTGCCACGACCAACTAACACCAATTGGCGTTCATTTATCTTGCCACATGCAATTTGCCGTCAAAAACTGAGCCACAATTTTCCATATCAAAACAATTCAAGGCACGACAAAAAAACAGCGAATTACAAAGTCCTCAAGAGTATCCGACTTAAAGGTGACCTGTAGCCAGAAGAAATCGATTTAATTCGATATTATCAAAACGATAAAACGAATGTCGATAAAATTTAAATGAAATTAACTTGATCAGCGTCTGGTATACAATAACTTATTCTGCAAATATATTTAGACGGACTTGGACATGGCTCGACTACATCATGAGTACAGTTCTTAGCCATTTTATGTGCAGGGTATAAGAAAGATAAACGCCTGTGCCCCAGGCTTAAGACGCCCATTTAAGCCAACAGTTGTTGGCCAAATTTGCTGAGTTTTTCCACGCCCACCCGACAGCTTTCCGCTATGATTTTATTTGCCGGTAGCTGCCACAGTTTAAATTCAGCTTATTTATGGCTTTTTAAAATCAACTAAAAGCACAAGTACGTATACCCTGCACTCTTGTCACGATTTTGATCCAATGTGCTGCAATTAGAGCAATAAACACATTCAAAGTAAAAAATGTTACAAACTTTGTTAAGAATAAAATAAAACACAGATGTTAAATTCACCTTGCTTGAGGGCTTAAGCTAATAAATAAATAACAATAAAATTACAAGTTCAGAGGAAGCATAAAGTTTTTCGGTAAATACGTATTTTGATATTCTACTTGTCATATTAAAAAAAAGAAAGTAAAGAAAGTGGAGATTAATTATATCGTTTACACCCAGATACCATTTTTATAGTTTATAGCCCTAACGATAAACAGCTAAAAGAATTTAAACTCAAGACACCATAAAATGAAGTTGGCTGATATAGTTTTCACGTGCCTGGCACATTTTCAACTTTTTACAGGGTATCTTAAGTGTGCAGCAGCCCAGGACTGCATAATTCTGGACTGCGGTCACTTTACTGATTTCTGGCCCGTGTTAAGCACGTCATTTGCTTTGGCAGCTGTCAATAGCTTTGATTAGTTTGTTGATCGAACACGGCAAGAAAAAATAAAAGACCTTCGATTTCACTTACCAACCCGATTGAAGGCGTCACACGAACAGTGTTCACTGTACATTGAACCGGCGTTTCACACGCAGCTTTTATAGCTAGCCGAGCGCTGTGTCCAATAGCCAAATCAGTTGACGGTTGTTCAGGTTGCAGCAGATGCTGGAGTTGGAGTTTGAGTTGGAGTTTGAGTTGGAGTTGACTTTATGGCTTCATTACACGCCATCTAAAAGTCTGTCACCAGGGGCCACCAAAATATATCTTTCAACACATTTTGTGGCCCATTTTTTCTTTCCAGGTCTCTGTTATGAAAATATATTTTTTAATGCATTTGGTGGGATGAGAAAAAGTTTGAGGCATTGTTTTTGGGCTGTAGTGCCCCCTTTTTTTTAATAAAATTATTTCGAGCACTTGAGGCTTAAAAATAAAAAGTACTTTGTAAATTTGACTGATCTCAGCAAATGATGTAATAACTCTATTTGCATAGCGTTCAAATAACATAAATAATAAACATTTCTATTTTATTATCTCTTTGCAGTGCCGGAATTTGTAAAGCATGCATCTATAATAACTGTTAAATATTTATTGGAAACGGGTAAAAAATAATTTGAATTTTTGCTGGCCAGCTGTTCATCGAGGTGTGATCTTTGTGGCTGTTGTCTAATAAATCAATTGTATTTATTTTTCACAACACAATTCGACGCGAAGTTTTACAACAAATTTCGAAAAGCTAATGTAAAAAAGACTCGACACAACAATACGCAACATTAGCAAGAAATAAATTACACACCAAAAATAAATATAAAAAAAAAAAACAACAACAAAAAAATACAGCATAAAAATGTCTATCAATAAAAATGTTGAGGGCGTGGCCAATGGCCGTCTCTTTGTTGCGACGCTGCTGACTCTGGTCTTGTGTGGCCTGCAGCTGGATCTTGGCGCCGAGGCACACGTCGCCCTCACGTATCCACCTGCCCGCGGCTTCGATCTGGATTTCTTGGATAACTCGCGGACAAAGGCCCCATGCGGCATGCCCAAAGGTAAGTTTAACGCTTGATAAGGCAGATATAGGTAAAAGTAGGTCTGTGAAAAACTCCGGCCAGCCTCGATCTGCAATCAATGCCTGTGGTCCATTATTTTGCCAGCATCCAACTAAGTTTTATTTCTATATGACTAGCCTTCATGCCTTTGCCTACAATTTGTTGTTGCTTGTTTGGTTTTCTTTTACCATATAAATAATATTTGACTACCTTTTTTTATTTGTATTTCGATTTTTTTTTTCTTTTTGCTGGCGAAATATTCGGTTTGCAGTCCGTGGGAATAATGGCCGGTTTTTTGTATGGGTTTTGTATGGCCAACACTTGCAGCTGGCTCTGGCGCCTTATGTGCCACTTTGTCGTCTTGGCCAACCAAATGTGGCCACAAGTTTTCGGCATCTGACATCTCATAGAAGTTCGAGTCTTTCGTCTTGGCCTTAATCTACAGAACATTTACAGATTCTTCGTAAGGATGTCTTTCTATGGTGTATGAAGTATAAAGTTGACTTGAACAGCAGTCTCATTGTCAAGCTGATTACTTAATGCTTAGACAAGTTAATTGAATCCTTCTTAAAGCATTTATTTTGCTACCGCGCTTGCAAAAGGTATTAACTTTTTTTTTAATGATGATGATGATGATGATGATGATTTCCAGATCGTTAAGAGTAGACAAGCCAAGGATTTGTTGGAAACCATTAATTTTTACTTCTGTGTTTCTTACTCATTAAATGTAATTTAATAACCTGACCAAGAAGTATTGTAGGCATAAATAAAAGCTTCAGATACATTCTCGATGCGCGATTTCTATAAAAAATACCTCCAGTCACCCACTGTTTTTATTATTAAGTATTTTGCGCTTTCAAATGTTATTTTATATATATTTTTTTTTGTACTAGCTAAAACCGGTAGAAATCTAGGCGAGCTTATCCAAAAACCAACATATAGCTTCAGGGGCACGTACATTTATAGCTGCTTATGATAATCACATTTTGTTTTGCTCACTTAGTAAGTCATCAAATATTAACTAAGAGTTGTTTACGTTTCCAGACACGCTTCGGTTTCGTTTTTGTGTTGGGCCGCACAAATAATACATAATCCATTGATATTTGAGCGAGTCGCTTAGTTTGTTTAGCCACGTATTTTAGTCGCATTTAAATTGGCTATGCACGTTCAATTCACAGACTCATTTTAATGTGAAATACATACATGTGCATACAGCGAACATTCATGAGTGGTATTCATGCATTTTATGATTCACACACATGTGCATTCGCTTGCATAACTATTTAAAGTTTTGAAGTTTTCAATGGTTGCGTCTTAGTTAACTGTTATTATTGTTGTAAGTTGTTGTTGCCTGATGTTGAAGTTGTTGCTGCTGCTGCGGCTGCGGCTGCGGCTACAAACTGTTACCAATTAATTTGCATATGTTGGAGAGGTACCCATGCCGCCATTCACTTGCGGCGAATATTCAAAATTGGGTCATCATTCGCTTACTTAAAACTATATATTCATAATACCCTGTATGCATATGAATTGATTATAATTTATTTTTTCATTCCCACTTTATTAATAGAGCCTACATAATATGAAGATTATAGTCACAAACAGTGATAGATAGCTTTATATATGGGCAGATATAATTTTTGAATTTGTAAAAATCATACTTATTGAAAGAGAATTACAAGAAATTCTAGAATGAAAATGATATAATAATAAGATATTAAAAATATATATAATCACATTATATACATTTATTATCTTCTTACAGGGCATCTGTCCGTGTGCACTCCACTATTTCAAGCATTCTTGTACGGTTTTTGTGTTTTTTTACTTTTAACCTCAAATACTTTCAAAAAATGATGCCCACTTGTTTTGAAGAGTTTTGACATTTGATGTGGCTGCATCCGAGCCCAATGAATACGAATACTATTAAGCATATGTATATATATCTTTATACAAATTAAGTTGCATATGTATATGAATATTATAATTAAGCAAGCAGCCACTGAATTTCGATTGCCTTGGGCAGAGTGAAGCACGTGTGTCGCATCCAAATGGGAAATCAATTTTTTACTGCTGCTTAAAAACTTATACTCAATCGGTGTACCTATAATGTTGTTAGTATGGCATATTAAACGCTTGTGCATTGCACACTTGTTCAACCACATTTTTGTACATACAGTTTTCCTTTTTTCCGTTTTTAATTATAAGCGTACGCACATTGCGTATACGCAACGTGCACCGCCTGTGGCAAGCTGTGTTTGCCTGCTGGCTGGCTGACCGCTTACCGGTTGCACGTTTAACCCATTTCGGGCCATGACAACTTTTGCCTTCGTTTGCGGCTTTTTCGCTTTGCTTTAACGGCGTTTTTTTATTTTTCTTTCTTTATTTTTTTTGCGCAAGGCGGCGCTCGGCTGGCCAATGCGAATTGGCTTATTGGCCAGCAAGTTGCAACCGCGGCTGACTGACTGCCTGCCTTGATGTTGCTGCTGCTGCTGCTGCTGCTGTTGCTAATGATGATGATGATATATGTATTCTGCCAATAAAAAAAAAGTAAAAACAACAAGACGAATGCAACGCGCGCTGCAAGTGAAAAACTTTCACTTAAACCTCGTATAAGTACACACATATATGGCCATTGCGCCACACACAGACAGACCAACACACAGATAGACAGACAAACAGACAGAGAGACAGACGCTTGTTGAAGAGCTGCTGCAATGATGCAAGTTAACAACTGTATCAATACCACTCGCTTCTTTCTGCCAGTGACCGCATTTCTGATACGGCTGCTGCCCCTTTCTGGCAAGTGCCGCTGTATGCACCTTATATCTGTGGCAGCCTCATTGAACTGACGACTTGTTGACCTCTTGCCGCTTATTTGCATTTGTATCTCAATTTGTTAACACTCGTTGCGCTGTCTAAGGGCCAAACGGTTTGTTTTGATTCGCCTTTGTCTCTGCCATTGTCTTTGGGCTCTTTTGATTTTCTTCTTCTGCGCTGACAACTTCAACTTGTTGTAATTGTCTTTGTTTTGCTTTTTTTTTATTATTTTCCATATTACCCACTTAAGTGGGGTCAACTTGTGGTCCGAGGCTTGTGTCACACTTTTCAATGCGGCTTACCTTTGCATCTGCTCGAAGATCTGCCACTAAATGCAGACTCTAATTAGCGAAACCACACTTCGACTCTGGACTGGTAGATATAAAAAAAACTAAAGAGGTATACAAAGTAAACTCAAGACGCAGTTTCAGCAATATGCGTACAATTAAAAATTTATCATCTCAATTTATGTTTAACATTTCCAAAGAGCCATTTATCAGCATCTCCAGTGACTTGAATTGCTTTTGTTTTTGTTTCTGGTTTATATTATTTTCTGTTTGTATATGCGGCGCTTTATGCATACGTTCATATTTCAATTTCAAATGTCCATTCATTTGTTGGCTGAAATGTCGCTTTGAAATTATCATACAAATCTCAACGACATTCACTTGCACTAGACCCCATACATAGACATGGACGGATACAGAATATCAATGAGAGCGCGCTCTACAAAATATCAAATGGCAAATATGTAACGATCGCATGCACTACAAGCAGGCTGCACTGAAAGAAAACGTTAGACAGATGCCAACACAACACTGAGTGCCTGGCTAACTTTAACTATAAGGCATATATATATATTGGTCACACTCATGCCTCTTCCCAAACAAATATTTTTAACCTTGGCTATATTACATCTGAGTTTACAGCATTCCTAATTTGTAACACTAAGTAAATAGAGAAAAATAAAAAAAATTCCAACATGGAGCTCAGAAATGTATGCGGACATAAAATTTAATGGAATTTCAGTGCCTGTAATTTAAATTGTTGACTAAAGACTTAACAATTAGTTACATATGAGCTTAGCATTAAGCATTAAACTATTGAAAAACATAAACAAATATTGAAAAACAATGAAATATATTAATACCGAAATTAACAGCAGTTCAATTTCAATTTCCCATGACAAGCGCTAACGTCAAAACATTTTTCTCAGTGCATATGCCACATAAGATACATATATTGACTAGCATGCCATAAATACGAACCGCAGAGGCGCTGACTGCGGATCTGGCCAAGATGCCGTCACGAGCAATTAACTAAAGCGAAAACTCCTTGACCACAAGCCGGCCAAAAACACAAGCAGCAACCAGTTGCAGTTGCAGTTGCAGCCCCAAAAAATGAAAATGTTGCTTGCCACCTAGTCAGGTTGCTACGTAATTGGCGTCGTCCATTGAAACGGTGGCAACATTATGTTGTCTTAGGGTTGCCAAAACAAAATTAATTTTATGGCATGCTACACTCGCGGGCGTCCACTCACTTAACAGTCACTACTAAAATTTATGGCACTGCGCAAAGCATCGTTAGTAGTCAAGTTTATTTGTCAACCTTTTCACGTTGCACGGCTGATGTGTGTGTATGTCTGTGTGTGTGTTTGCGGAAGTCTTTGCCTTTGCAACGACACGCCATATTTGGCAGCCATGCTGCAAATACATTCTCCCACCGCCCACCTCCTCCTACTCCGGTGCCCAGCTGTCGCATGTTCATGCAAGCGGCACTGTAATTAGAATGCATGCAAGCACACATTCTTTTCCACTTACATTCTCAGCCAGCGAATTGGCCTCAAGGTTCGTTTGCTTGGCTTAAGCATACCATTAAAGAATGATGCAAAGATGCCAAGACGGCTCTTATATAAGTGACTGGTCATTATGGCATGGACTCATCGAAAAGTATTCTCGAGTTTCGCTTCTATTCAATTGCAAAAGTTGGCTTCGACCACTTTTCTAAATTATCTTTGAGGTTTCAATTCTGCCTAAGTGAAAGAACGTAGGAAATAACTGCAAATTATCTTAATAGCCATCATTACAATTACATAATTTCCACGTATATGAATTTTAAGCGAGCTTTCTGTTTATTCATGAACCAAAAATCAACAACAACGTTTAAGATAATTTCATTATGAACGACTTGTGAATTGTGTCTTGAAAATAAATACAAAAAAAACTTGGCTAGTAATTGAAGACTGGGCTAGAAGGTATTAAATAGCACAACAATTCCATTTTGAACGTTGCTGATTATGGGATTCTGGAAAGCTGAATTGGCAAGCCGGAAAATTGTAATTTGTTTCAACTAATAAGTCATTGGCCTAAGTAAAATTATGTCCGAATATTTTTTCTCAAATTAAAATTATATTTATCTGTGATAATAGCTTCATTTCGGCGACATTTTATGTTGTACAGCTTTGGCAAGTTGATTTATGATTTTAAAATTTAATAAAACTGTTTCAATTAAAAAAGTTATTTGTGTAAGGCATTTGGAGGACCATTGGATGAAGTGCACTGATCTACAAAAACTATATTTTGATAATGTTTTCCATTATAAAAAATGCGTTTTCCAACTTGGACAAAAATAGTTCGTATTTATATTTAATTACCTCTCAGCAAATTAATTATTTTGTAATAAACGCAGCCAGTGGACTGCAGCATATAAATGACTAGAAATTAATGTATGTATTAATTGTGTTTATGTTTTTTGTGCGCTTCATTATAACTTTCGATTACTCGGAATTTCGCTACCTTTTCAGTAGCTCATCATCGTCATAGGGGAACTGGAGGCGATATCAATCAAAAGTTCATTAAAAAACTTTTCCACAAATAATTAATGATATTTTAAATAATTTGACAAATTAGAGGCTGCTTTTTTTTCCTCTACAAATGTTATAAAAAAAAATTGATGCGAAAAAACTTCAAGAGCCACCTTGAGTAAAAGAAATACACTTGCTATTGAAATATAGAGAATCATTATCATTATCATTATCAGTTTCTCGCTGCGACTTTCGAAATGAGGCAGTCACAAGACAGCAGAGTTCAAGCGCAATATTCATTCGATATTCATGCAACGCAGCCTCCAAAATCAAAGGTGAACAACTTTCGCGCTCGTGAGAAATATGACGGACCAAAGCCGAAGCAAAATATGAAAATGACCAACAGAGAGCAAGACCGAGTGTGAGAGAAAGAGGGAGAGAGAGAGAGAGGGAGACGGCAAGACAAGAGCGATTTCTTTGGCAGCTACATAAGAAAACAATCCCAAGCACCTGCCAATTTTTGGATGCATGCTTCGCTGCCCAGTACCCAGTTCCCAGCTCCCAGACTGGGCTGCTTTTAAGCAACTGGTTCCACCCAAAACAAAAAATACAAAATAAATGTACATAAATATAATTTGTTGCTCTTGTTGCTGTCTCGATTTATTAATGGGCACAATTGATTTATCGTCCGAACTAGCAGCCTTTTCATATTTTTCTGCCTTAACTTAACCCATTTTCAAGAGCTGGTTCAGCGTCTTTGAATTCGATTATCTCTTTGAATTTTGTTTATTTTTTTGTTTTGTTTATATTTTTTTTTTTTTGTGAATTGTCCAAACCGCTTTTCTGCGCCATGTTAAATGTGTGGCCCACTTGATTACAAGAGCGGAATTCATTTTAGAATCATTGCAAAAAAAAAAGTCACACACACTTTAATTGCGCTATTGAAATCAAAAGTCGCATTCGATTGCTGACCTACAAAAGCCGTCGTAATGTCTATTAGACACTTTTCAGTAAAATACCCTGTAAATCGGCTATTCAAAAGGCTGTCAGAAAGTTTGGCAATTGCGTATAAAATACAATAAAAATAATAATAATTACTAGAAATTTTAAAGTGAACTGATGTAAAAGTTGTTATATTGCACCTTTATTTGTAACTCGAAGTTTTAAGTTTGAATTTCACTTAAGACTTAATTCATTACATAGTATTTACAAGTCGAATAATTACCTTTACTATTTATATATTTTTTTTATACACTTTTGTTTGTAATCAGTGCCAACATTGACAACAACGTGACAGACAACAAACACAGCAGACTCCATTTGTATGGCACGTCTTTTATGTTTATTGTTGCTGTTGTTGTTCTTGTTGTCTGTCCATATTGGGCAGATTGTGCAAAGACTGTGGCAAATGGATGCGATGCATTCACACGTGGTCAACACTGAGTACTCAACGTATTTGGTTAGTATCGATGGCAAATGCAACAACTATTGAGGATGGCCAACAATTTTGTGGCAGCAGCAGCACCAGCAGCAGCAGAGTAATCATAATTTTGTAGCTTCCTTATTTGTCTTGTCGTAATGTTGACTGCTTTCGCTTTCCGTGCTTGTTGTTGACTGTTGTTAGCTGTTGCCTGTTGAGTGGGTATCGTTATGGCCATTTAATGGCTTCAATTAGCAACTCGCTTCGCATGTATTGGCTGACAACGATGTGCGATCTGCGCTTGGGCATTGATTGTTCACTTATAGCACTTACAACAGCCTTTCAATAGCTACAGCCATCTCCTCCTCCACCTCCTCCACTCCCCAACTTGATGCTCAATGCTCGATAGCAATTTTTCACAGCTGGCCGAGGTTACCGCATTGGAATTATGCAATGTGAGCAGCAGCGGCAGCAGCAGCAGCAGCATATAAAAATTTGTCTGCAGCAAGAAAAACTTGTAATGCGAAGATGTGTGTGGGGCAGCAGCATGTGTGTGGTGGCGACTCGCTGGGCTCGCCTCGGCTCGCTTGCTGGCTAGCTTCCTGTCCCGTCCTGTCCTGTCCTGTCCCCACGGCCAGCCATCGATCGTCATGCGCAATTCGCAATGTCTGGGCCTGGCCAATGCAATTGTTGGAATTTAGTACGCAGGTGCTCAAGTGTTCAAGTGGTCAGGTGTGCGCGCCAACAGCGCCATGGAGATCACTTCAATCTAGCCACTTGGACTCGACTCCACTCCACTCCACTCGACGTGATTCGCTACGCAATGCAGAACCACAAGCTCACAAAACAAGTTCAGCTTGAGTGCTGGCAAAACATTTAATTATGCGTTACATATTTCAGTTAAGCCAATTGCCATGGCTAGTTCCCGGCAACTGTAAGGTCTGATCAGCTCTCCAACTGCATGGCCTGATAAGCAGACCCATTACGTTGTTGATCATAATGATCATTATTGAAATTGCGTTGCTCCATTTCTTGCACTCACTCACTCACTAGTTAACAAACTAATTTCAATAAATTTCTTGCGTACATTGCTTCGATAGAATTCTTATTCATATTTGCAATTATTTTCATAGTCTTGTCATAGTCTTGTCATATTCTTTTCAATTTAATATTCGAGCTTGTTTTTTCCCTGGCTTGTTTTGAAGACAATATATAAAAGCCAAAACAAATTCAGGTGATCTCTAAATGTAAATTTGATTGAGCTGCTACGTTGGAATGTTTTGTTCAATATTTCTGAAAGTTCTATTTGATATCTGAATGGTTACAGTTATTTATAATAAATTATCTGTAAAAAGAGAAATTATGCGATTTTTTTGCGATTTTACATGCTAATTCGATTCCTTCTGAGTAACATATAAATAGCCCGAAAATGTGTAACACATTGCAGTAGCCCGAAAATGTGTAACACATTGCAGTAGACGTCTCCGACTTGATAAGATATATAAAATATTCATGATTATGTTCAATATCCATCTATGATTTTTTGAGACTTGCTATACAGACTTGCTATATACAAATTTGACTTACATAGGAGCAGTTGACAGATTTTGAATTGAATAACGAGATTTTCATGTGAGCCAATGAACTCCGCAACTCTGCAACGATGTAAAATCTTCGACGTGCCTAAGATTTTCATAGCTTTAAGCAAAGTTAGTAGTGGGGACATATTATCAAGTACATATCTTTAACTGCTGCCAAACTTAAATATGTTATTTAATATGTTTTACTTATATATATATCTTTTCAGGCTCTATACGCACCTCTCTGCTGTCGGGCACCATGTTTAATGTCACCTGGCACTTGGCCTATCCGCACAAGGTAAGTGGAACGCTTGCCTCATCTGGCAAGATCTTTTGGACAATTAGCATGGCAATCAAGCTGCTCGTCGAGTGCTCCTACATAAACAATAATGAAGAGTAGGTTCTTATCTCGCTGTCAGGTATAATTAGCCTGAAATGGGCAGCATTTCAAATGTTGTAATCATTGCCACACATGCACCTCAGATTACAAGCATCTAGATTCCACAACTAATACGCGCAACGGTTCCGCTGCCTCAAAGTCAAGCATTGCATTAGAAGTTCCCATAGTTAAAAAATCTGAATGGGAAAAGACTGCTCCGTCATTGTTTGCGAGATGTAAACAGAACTCCTCCCTGCTTGCCTCACTCCCAAGTGGGCGTCACCCTCTGCAACCCCTAACCATTTACCTAAAGGCTTGTTTATTAACATTGTTATCATTGTTTACATTTCTAGGGCGGCTTCCGTTTACAGTTATTGGATGCACTTGACAGACCCGTGCTGGATCTGACACCCCACGTCAACAACTCGGAATTTGTTCGCACCGATGTCACGTAAGTGTTATATTCGCCCTGATCTTCTCCAGGATTCAGTTAACCCGCTCCTTCCTCAGCGCCCAATCGTATCAGGTGAACATACCCAAGGATTTTGAGTGCTTCAATTGCACGCTGCGTCTGCTGCGCCAGGCTGATGAGTGGTCGGGTAGCTATCGCTTCTGGTCATGTGCGGATGTGGACATCAAGATGCGCAAGGACTTCAAGGAGACCTGCTCCGGCAATGGCAAATACTATCCATCGCGCTGCAAGTGCGAGAAGAACCACTACGGCGACCACTGCCAGTACCGGGATGAATGTACCAGCAATGCCGACTGCGGCGCCAGTCAGGGCAAGTGCATCGATCTGGGTGGCACCTCTCTGCCCCGGCGCCAGTGCTACTGCAACTTTGGCTGGCATGGCATCGGCTGCAACAAGCGTTCGCCCTACAAGTCGACCAGCCTGGATCTGACGTCCTATGCGAAGAAGGAGCTATCCCCGGACTATCACATGTACTGGCGTCTCTTGGAGGAGGAGAAGGAGATCGAGATGGTGCTCAAGGTCAACGGTACCTCTTGGGTGGGTCTGGGCTGGCGTCCACGTGGTCTGACTCCGGAATGCAAGAATTTCCCACTCATTAAAGACATTGGAGACTTGACGACAACGCTCGAAGGACTGGGTTCGGAACCAGAGCCCAAGAGCGAACCAGAACCGAAGAGTGAACCTGAACCCAAGAGTGAGCCTGAACCCAAGAGTGAGCCAGAGCCCAAGAGCGAACCGGAACCGAGGAGTGAGCCAGAGCCGAAGAGTGAACCGGAGCCCCAGAGCGAGCCAGAACCCAAGAGTGAGCCGGAACCGAAAAGCGAACCGGAACCTAAGAGCGAACCCGAACCGAAAAGCGAACCAGAGCCGAGCACCAAAACGAAACGTGTCGCCAAACATGAAGATGAATTTGCCCATATTGACGGTGTGACCTCAGTGTCCACCAGTGTATCCTATCGTGTCAGCAGCAAACCTGGTCGCAGTCGCCGTCAAGTCACAGGTAAGCATCCAAAGATATGCATTTTGAGTGCACTTCTTATCCACTATTGGATACCACAAATATATTTAGAGCTAAAAAGATGTAGTGGCAAAAAGACTCACAGCCCAGCAAATCCTCTAGAGAAACATGTTAGACACTGACTGTTGTTATTGCTATCCTTGTTGTGCTTCTGCTTACCACAAACACCTTCAATCCCGCACCTAACACTAAGCACACAAATCTATTCTCTTCGCAAAAAAACCAACAAAATGCTGAAAACACAGAGCCAAATAGCACAGCGGAGCCGAGCAGCGAACCGGAGCCGACAACGACGAGTGCACCGGAACCGAGGAGCGAACCGGAGCCGAAGAGCGAGCCAGAGCCAAAGAGCGAACCGGAGCCGACGAGCGAGCCTGAGCCGAAGAGTGAACCTGAACCGAAAAGTGAACCGGAACCCAAGAGCGAACCGGAACCCAAGAGCGAGCCTGAACCCACAAGCGAGCCTGAACCCAAGAGTGAACCTGAACCCACAAGTGAACCCGTACCCAAGAGCGAACCCGAACCCAAGAGCGAACCAGAACCCAAGAGCGAACCTGAACCCAAAAGCGAACCTGAACCCAAAAGCGAACCTGAACCCAAGAGCGAACCGGAACCCAAGAGCGAGCCTGAACCCAAGAGCGAGCCTGAACCCAAGAGCGAACCGGAACCCAAGAGCGAACCGGAACCCAAAAGTGAGCCAGAACCCAAGAGCGAACCGGAACCGAAGAGCGAACCAGCGCCCAAAAAGTCGGCAAACCTTGAGTCAGCAGGTAAACGCATGTGACTTGGTAACGGCTTCGCATTTTCAAATCACAATCTTCATTATCTACTAACCAAGTTAAAAAACACACACACAAAGCCCACAAATGAAACGCATTTGTCTTCATTCCCATTAAGGATTGCACTGAACCCCTTTTTCTACTCCCACAGAGCCCAAGTACAAGCTTAATCCGTACACGCCGCGTCACGACTTCAATCCGATGGATTGCACGGATATTGTCATTGGTACGGCACGCGGCATGGCCAGTCGGGTGGGAGATTACTATACTCGGGATCGGTCCACGCCGCGCACCGATGAGTTCTATGGTGGCAAATCGGATTTGTCATTGGGCACCGGCTACGAGGAGAATGGTGTGACCACAATTATATTCCGCAAGAAACTGGTGGCCAGCGATGCCACCGATCACACCCTGGACGATGCGTTAACGCACGTCATCTGGGCCAAGGGTCAGGAGCCGAATGGCTATGTGCATGTGCCAGCCTCTGGCTTGGAGACAGAAGCCTCATCCGTCAAGGACTTCTACCAGCCGGATGAACTCAAATACCATGGACACAAGATGCAACGCGGCGTAACCCAAATCAACTTCTTTGGTAAGTCCCGGAAATCCTTGGTGCGAAATCTCAATCTTTGATTACTGATAAACCCCAAACAGAAAAAGATAAGCCCACTGCTACTGCCACTGATCGGAATGATCTGAGCACCAATGTGCTGGACAACGACTGCTATGGTCACTGGAAGTATCCCTCGGACTGTTCGCCGCAGGAGCACAGCTGCGAATACTACGCCAGCTGGGAGACTGTCGGACGTGGAGACGAGATGCGCTGGCACATTGAGACATCGAATACGCAGACATGGACGGGCATTGGCTTCAGCAATGATCAGCGCATGTCGCAGACCGATGCCATCATTGGCTGGGTGGATGGACGCAGCGGTCGTCCCTTCCTAATGGACACCTGGGTACTGGGCTATGCGCCGCCCAAGCTAGACGAACGCCAGGACATCTACAATGCATCCGGTCGCATCGAGAAGGGTGTCACGATCCTCGAGTTCAATCGCAAGCGTGTTAGCAACGATGAACAGGACTTGTCCTTCACGGACGATCACTGCCTCTATCTGTTCTTCCCCGTGCTGGGCGGTGCCTTCAACGTCGTCAACAAAAAGATACGTAAACACGAACAAGTGCCACCTATTTCAGCGCGTCGCGTCTGCATCAAGTCCTGCGGCAAAGGTGGGACCAAATCTCTGGTTGCCATTAATGGGTTTGATTTTATTATTATGTTATTTATTTCTCGCAGAGCTGGAATCGGTTTTCGTTGGTACCAGCACACCGGCGCCCAGTCGCCTGGTCTATGCCGTCGGCGTAAAGCTGATGAACTTGGCAGAATCCTTTAAGGCACCCAAGCCCGGCACTGTGGACTTTAACAATCTAGCGGCAACCCTTTCCGACTCCTTCAATGGCATACTCTCAGCCATCCCTGGCTACTATAAAACCGAGATATTGGGCTTTGAAAAGTGCGATATATTTTATTGAAAACACTCTTATGTTTATCCAATTTAAATATTTTCTTTATCTTGAAAGGGAGGGCAACTCAATGGTGGCCAAGGTGCAGGCCATGTTCGATAAGTCCGATGTGGAGAAGCTGCACACGCTGGACACCAACAACATCGAGAAGACCAGCGCAGCCGCCGTCCAAAAGAATGCGGCAGCAATCAAAGCAGCTCTACAGGACCAGATAGCCACCGGCAAGGTGGGCTCCTATACAGTGGATCCACAATTTTTGGACTTTGAGGCGCTCGAATGTAAGTTGCTTGAGGCTAAATTAGGCTAAAATTGAATTCGTCATTTTGAATATTCACAGATAAGAGTACGGAGGATATGAGTGCTAAGGATACGTTGCTCTCCTTCTTCGATCTGTCCGAGACACGTTTGTATATTGTCCTAGGTCTGATTGCAGCCCTGGTGCTTATCGCCCTGATTCAAGCGTTCTGCACCATTTTGAAGACATCGCGCAAAAGCAAAAATACAAAGGTATAATCATTTTATTTCGTTTCTGGCAGTTAATTTGGTTTGACTGACATTTTAGCATTAACATTAAATTGTTTGTTGAGTTTCCTTTAAACGTGGCGCACATAATTATCTTTAATGAGTTCAATTCATACACGATTAATAATAATGTTTATTCAATTGTATAATGTTATTTAAAGCTGGTTTACGTAATACCCGATGAATGGCGCATATATCAACAGCGACAGCACCAACGCTACTATCAGCCCTCTAGCGATCTATAAAACAAATGCATAATATAAAATAATAAAAAAAAAAAACTATCAACACAAATTACCCACCATATATTCTATAAAGAAGCATATAAATATATATATATATATATCGTATATGTATACTGCAATAAGAGCTACAATTGCTCAACTACAAAAACAAAAACGAAAAAATAAAAAAAATAAAATACAAAAAAAAAATAGTTAGTCCAAAATCAGAAAAACCCTAACAGCAGCGCGGATATCTTTATACATGTACTATATATACGGCAATGTGTTGAGTCGCGCTTATCAAAATTCTAGAACATAAAGAATTCATTGGTAATTGAAATTCCTTTTTTGTTTTGTTGTATTTATTAACCAAGTATGTGACTACTACTATAAAATGCTAACCATATACCACAAAAAGCCAATAATACTGGTTCTAGTTTTCTCTCACATATCTTCTCACTCTTGTTATGGAGCTCTATATATCTTTTTATCTCACACTATCATCCCTGTAACTAAAAACAAAACATCTTATATAATAACTATTCCGTTGCTGTTTACTATATCTTTATGTATTTGTAGCCAGACCAGTTAGCATTTGTTTTATGCTATGTATTTCCTACTAAAAACCAAATTGGAAATCTTCTCCTAAACTATTTTCCTGCTATAAACCTATGTATTATTTTCTTTTTTTTTTGAGCAATTTTAAAGTAGTTCATTTCAATTTTCATCTAACTCTTAACAATAATTTTACCCATGGGCATATCTTCAGCAGACTATCTTTGCTTTCTACTCGTTAATTGGATATTATTTTAAAAAAAAAAGCTTTTGGCATAAGCGCAAGCACAAGGCACATTGCAAATGCAAATTATAGTACATATAGTCCTTAAACGATGTCCTTAGATAGCGCGCACTGTAATCTTGAAAGTTCGAGTCCGATTAGTATAGAATCTATATCTATCAATACTTGTAAATCGTAATACGATTAGAGCTCGTACCAAATGCTGACTGGTTAAGCGCTAAGAACTGATTAATTTACACACACCCAAAAGCAAAATTAAATATAATGCTCTGCTTGCTTACAGGAGAAGCTCATACAGAACTCACCCTGGAAGGAGTTTGCCTCGAACACCAACTACGCATTCGATCCTTATGGTGAGACCGAGGAGAAGCACATGACCAGCAGCACGACGGCCAAGGAGAAGGCACGCAATCGTTCCTCGTCCAGCAGCCAACAGACCACCTTACCCATGTCCCACTCACCCACCAGCAAATCGCAGATGTACTATGAAAACAGCAATGTGGCCAATGGCCAGAGCCATGGACAGGGCAAGAGCAGCAGTGCCAAAAGTCGTTCCAGCAATGGTCGCCAAGTGACTCAGGAGAGCAGTGTGGGTGGCGGCGTCGTTGCCACTGCACCAGGACCCTATACGCGTGGCAGCTATGCGGAGCGTGCCTACTCTCTGCCCCGCCAGAATCATCAGTACCAGCAGAGTTCGGCCAATATGCAGCCATCCGGCTATTATACGCACGATCGACGTGCTGCACGACAGGAGCGCGAGCGGGAAAGGGAGCGTACGGGTGGCGAGGAGCGACGTCATCGAAATGAACGAGACGCCAGCTATGATCGATCGCGCGATGATCCACGCTTGAATGGCGGGGCCGATACGCCAGACTTTTATTTTATGCCGTCGCAACGCAAATATTCCGGTGAAGTGGTGCGCGTCTATGTGGACTACAACAAGGATCCAAAGCACTAGAAAATGCACAACACAAAAACCCCCTCGTTGCACAGTGCATACACAAAACGTTAAAGCTTAAAGTTAAAAAACCACAACAACAAAAATCCAATCAATTCTTTTACTTTACACCGTTCTTAATCCGTCATTTCTCTTCGGGCTTCTGCTGCTTCTCGTTTCGATTGCCATACAGCAGTTTCACTGCATGCGTTTTTATTTTAACGTTGGGTGTTTTTCCCCATTTCCACATTTTGTTTGGGTGCGTAAGCTTTATAACAATGCACAAAGCGCACAGACGCAGAGTTAATATGATGTTCAGTTCAGGAAATGTTTTAAAATTCACAATTTAGTAAATTGTAAATATTTTGCAGATAATACAATGTGTACAATGTGTTTTCTGAACAAGCATTGATTCAGGACTTTTTTCTCTTTTATGTGCAAAGAAATATAGTCACTGTATTTAATCAAATTAAATATGTATATGTATGTTAATAGTTTAAAAAGAAAAAACAATGTTGAGCGCATTATACGACATAATACTCGTACAAAATGTTTAATTTTAGCTTACATTAATTAAGTACATATTAATAAAATTAGGCACTTAATTTACATTAAAAACTTTGTTTTATTTATTTTTTTAGGATATGAATTTTTTGTTTAAAGCTCAATCGTTGGCAAGTTACTGTGGTTACAGTTTTGTCGCAACATTAATTCGTTATTCTCTTTTTAAGACGAGTACTGAGTTTAATTGCTTAACCGTTAATTGAAGTGAATTAATTTCATTTTAAAATTGAAGTGTGTCGTATTGCCAGCTGCCAGTGTTGGCAAACACGATGCATCTATATCGATATGATAGTCGTAGCTATCGATAGCAGTGGTTGTATCGCATTCGCTCATACCTAAGCGGAGCGTTTCCCGCGCTTTTAGGTGAAAATGATTACTCCAAACACACTTTAATCGCCTAATTGAATCATTGTGAGTAGTTTCAGCAAAGTCAACTGAAATTATTTGTGTATTGGGCCAAGCAGAAAATAGAACGCAATGGACATCGATGCTGAAGTGGGTCAGGCGTACCACACGGTGCAGTTGTCGGCAAAGGAAATGCTGAAAAACAATCGACGTCAACATTATTGCAACGTAAGTAAATTGTAATGCATTTTTTTCTTCTCACTGCTTCTGCGCTTTGCATTTTACGCAATCACAAAAACAATCATGTCAATGTCTCATTTGATTTGAATGTAGATGATAGATTTGCTGGCCAGCAGCTGCAAAGCATCCGGTCTGTTAGCAACATCATTTACCAATGAGGAACTTGTCCAGTTTTGGCTTGGCGACATTTTGCCGCTGATGTTTGACACAGATCGGAATATACAGAATTGCACTGTGGCCGCCATGGCTGAAGCTCTGGTTGCGCTCGACGTGGCCGTCATACATGCTGCCAAGTGCTGGCCGCAGGTGCGCAGCGAATTTGTCAACAATTATACGACGCTCATCGGCGACATGCGCGATGCGAAGAACAACAATTGGCACAAGATCTGGACGCTTCTGGTGCAGATCATGGACAGCGAACTGCTGCGCGGCTGCACCTACATCAACAAATTCCTCGCCGTTGTCGAGCTGGGCTTTCGTAATCCCGACAACGGCGTTCGCTCCGAGGCGTTCCTCTGCTGGCGCGTTCTCATCAAAATCTTTGCTGCCTACAATGAGTTGGCAGCGGGCAAACGTCTCCGCTTGCTACTCATACCACTGCGCACGTCGCAGTCGCGTTCGTCGCACGTTAGCAGCATTAAGGTGCGCGTCTGGTGGTATTTGATCACCTGTCTGGACACAGAGCTACCCAAATCCTTTGACAATGCTGTTGAGTACTTTTTGAGCTTTCTCTTTGGGGGCGGCGCACGTGGAAATGCGACTGGTCTGGCGCATACCTATCAAACGGCTCGAGAGCTGGCGCTGCCCTGCCTGGTAGCCCTGTGGAATGTGGAGCCGAGATCACAGTCGCTGGAGCGCATGCTGCGCGATATGCGTCTAGAGGTGCTCAGCCAGCCGTCGCCACTGATGAGCGCTGAGCTGTTGCAGCAGCATTGGCGTCCCATGCTGGCCGCCGCCGTTGTCGCCATGCAACTGCTCAGCGAGCAGGAGAACAACTCGGCAAGCGAGCAGGAACTGTTGCATCTGCTGCTGCGCAATTTAACGATGGCAATGTGCCAGCTACGTGTCGCCCCCTTCACAATTGCCTGCTGCAGCGAGCTGGAGAAGATGCTGCCCGACAGTGACGGCAGCATTGTCCGTTCCGTGTTCAATACATGCGCTGCACTGGCCATGCCCCCACAACGTGTTGACTCCCTGGAAGTGCTCGAGGCATACATGAAGCTATGTCTCAAGGCACGCACAGAGGTGCCGCCGGCAATCCTGCAGCGCTGCGTGTCACTCATCTATGCACCGGAGCAGCTGGAAGCGCGGAATACAATCGAATTTCGTCAACTTGGCCAGTTTGCGGAGCTGTTGATGCAGAGCAACGATGAGGAGGATTATGAAACGTTCGGGGTCAAGTTGCATATGTGGCGACAGATTAGCGTAACGCTGCTCAACTATTTGCGCGACAATCCCCTCGAATATCGTGTGACGCACAATGCTACGCTCGTCGATAACTGGATCCTGTGGCCTTTGCAGACGTGCGCCAGCTTTGCAGGACGACGCACGCACAACAACTTCTTTGATGGCGCCTTCTGTGAGCTGTGGCGTCAACTCATCAACGCCGGCCACAATGCCAATGAGCGCAAGAGATTCGTTGTGGAGCTGAAGACGACGCTGCTCGATCTACTCAAGCAGAGCAGCAAGGAGGAGTCGCATTTTGCCGATCTGTTTGATATCTATGTGGGTGCAGTGCTCAAACTGGGCATCTGTAAGGATGCACCACTCTATAAGGATGTCTTTGGGCTGCTGCAGGCGGTCCTTGAGCGACCAACGTTGTCGCAATCGCTGCTCGAAGGCTGCCTGAACACCCTACGCAATGTCATTTTGGAGCTGCGCCAGAACGAGCTGATGGTCGTCTTTGATGCACTGAAACCCACTCTGGTTGCTGTGCTCCAGTGCTGGACTAAAGGCAAATGCGAGGGCAGCTTTCTCAACGAATGGAAACGTTCGATTCTGGATAAATTTCGTAAACTGTCGATGAAGAGCATGGCCAATCAGCTAAAGGATCTCTTCAAGGGCGATGATCTGTATGTCATCATTCCGTCTGTGTGGAGCCTCAATCCGGATAAGTTAACCGATCGCCAGAAGGAGCGCTTTGCCGAGAAATCGGACATACCAGCGCTGTACAATGATATGAGCCAGTCGCAGGACTCCTCCATCAAACCCTGGACACCCAAAAAGGTCGTCATTGCCAAGAGCAAGCAATCGGAATTGGCAATTGGAGGTGAACGTGAGCAGGACATTGGCAGTGATAATGTTATTATTATTGATGAATCACCGCCTGACCTGCTGACAACTCCAGCAGCATTGAGCACGCCCAGCAGCACAGAGAAATACAATTTCCGCAAGCCGCGCACTCAACCGGAAGACGAATCATCCAAATCATCAACTACTGCTGAGGAGGCTACCACAGTGCGTCAGAAGCGCAAACGTGGCGCGCAAAAGGATAACAGTCTTGAGCTGCCGACAACAGCTACTGATAAACTGCGTTCACCCCGGAAGAAGACAGACAGCGCTCCAGCGCCAGGTAAGAACTGCCAACCAAAAAACAGGCACAACGAATTTCTCAACTCATTCCAATTGCTTACAGCTGCTGCCGGCAAAGCGAGCGCACAAAAGGTCAAGGAAACTGCCAAACTCACCCCTATGCAGAGCGAGGATCTGTTTGCTGAATTTGCCACCCCTACACCAATAACTGTACCTGCAGCTGCACCTGCAACCGCAACACAGCCGTCTGAGCTGGCCAAGAAAACTGAGCCAAGTGTGCCGGAAACGCAGCTGAGTGTTTCGCCCGAACCAGCTGTGGAGTCGTTGGCGGCCAGCACACAGATGCCATCAGAGCTCATGGCGGAGTCATCACCCAGAAAGGCAAATACGCGCCTATGTAATTTGGTAAGTGCTCAGCAACTCGGCAATCTTAATTATGATAAATGCTAACAACTGATTATGTCCATTGCAGAACTCGCCTCCGGATCGCAAGCAGACAAACAACTCAACAAGTCCAACGCTACGTCCCAAGCCATCGGCCCATTTGACTGGCCGTGGAGCGCAGTTGATAAATATGATACGCAACAAGAAACTCGATGCTACTGGTGCACCCACGCTCTCCTCCTCTTCCGCCTCCGGCTCAACAGCGACAGCTGCGAGTGCTGCGACGACTCGGAGTCAAGTGACGAACGCTCGTTTAATCGAACGCTCCGAATTGATAGCAACGCCAACCAATGAGCTCAACGAGCTGGCCACTGCAGTGGAGCACACTTCGACACCCATTCAGGCCAAGGATCTCTTAATATTCTCGAAGCGATTGCCATCGCCATCGGCCAGTCCATCGGCCTCAATATTGAAGCGCAAATTGCGCTGCGAGAGCATGGATGACTTTGAATCGCCTGCACAGAAGCGTAAACGTGTCAGTTTCCATGATCCGCCCGTGTCCGTGACCAAGGAGTACTTGCGCGATGTGGATGAGACGCGCAGCAGTAAACCAAAGCGTTGCCTGTTGCTCGACAAACTCGCACAGACTGCCGGGGGAGGTGGCGGAGGAGGAGGAGGAGTAGGTCAGGAGATGCGACCAGCATTGAAGCGACGTGGTCGTTTGGACAGCATCATTGAGATTGAAAAGTTTGCGCACGAACATACGGCCAGAAGTGCAGATGTCGATAAATCCATGGACAAGTCACATGACGCCGTCGAAGATGAAGCATTTGTCTCGCTCAAGTGGAATGAGACAACAATTACCCACAACAACAACAGCAGTCGCAGCGTGGAGAAGCAGTTGCCGGATGTGGAGACGGAGGCACCGGTTGCAACGTCAGGCAGTCGTGATTTGGCCATATTGGATGGCGAGTCGGCGTTGGATTTGGTCGTGGAGCAATGCTCGCTGGATTCAGTGCTGGAGCGTTACTTCGCCAAGCCGAATAGTACGCCCGCAAAGAGCGCACTTCATTTGGCCAAATTTCTATCGAATCAAATGAAAGGCAACGAGAAGCTCAAAACAAATGTGCTGGAAACCCTCTCAGAGAATCACTCCAAGGACTTTCTGGATCATGCTGTGCGCGAGAATCTGTCGTCTGTGGTGTGTGATCGCCTCAATCCCAACTCGGTGCTGGAGTACATTTGCGCCAAGTCAAAGATCAACAACACCTGCCGCAGCAATCTGTTGGCCCAGGTGCCGGCAATGATACGCCTCGAGGCGGAGCGTTTCGCCCTGCTCCAGCATCTGTTGCAGCAGTGCAGCTTCGCCGATGACCAGCTCCTCGATCTCATTGGCCAGCTGATACGTATGCGCGACAATAATCCGAGCGCAGAGCGCAACAATTGCGCAACAGCAGCTGGTGTTGGCAACAATGTTAATGATGACAATGTGGCCGAAACGGCTGCCGACTCCTCCTCCAATTTGTGAGTTACTACTTGCATCAAAGTATTTTTACACATACATACATATGCATACATATGTACCACACATTTGGTGTGCGGCCATTATCAACAGTTTGTTGATAGACGACCTCATTTATATATCCGAGTTTAAGCAACATTTTTTATTATTATAATGCTTTTATGGTTTACCTTGATTACAACTAACTAACTACATGTAACGAATACACTCGATTATTTTTACCCAAGTTGCTATTTTCTTACGAAGTTTATTTATAATGTTCCTCTTTAAAACTGGGAGCTGTAATTCTGAATTTCGAAAATTATCTGAAATGATAATTTTCAAATGAAAAGTAAACCGCGCACTATGTGCTGCAATTGCGCTCACTTTAAAGAAGTGTTGGTAATGGAGATAAAGTTGAAGCAGTGCAGAGCAGTTCTTGTGCTCAGAAGAAGAGCGTGGCGTCATTTTGTGATGTCCTCGACATCGATGATCTTGAAGATCAAAGGTAAAATGAGAAAAACGATCAAGTAAATGAGAAAATTCACTTTGTCGACGCATTAAATATATTGTATAGCAAAAAACAGCTGAATTATCAAACATTTAACAACTGCCAGCTTTTTATAACCATTTATTGACTTATGTAGTACATTTTTATATGTATTTTTAGAATATGCATGTTTGTTAAGTCTATTTAAAGTACAAATAAAATTGTAATGTTCAAAATCCAATAAAACATTTGAAAACGTTTTCAAATGTAACTAATTTAAACGTATCATTTTTGGTATCATTTTGTATTTAGATTTGGCACTTCTAAGTGTTGTTTGCTTACTGATTACACTGCTTACTCACATCCAACATCAACATCCAACACATCTACAAATTAAAGTCACACGCATAACGGAGCTGAAAGCAAGCAGTGTAAATATCAAATTACACTCTTCAACAAAAAAATGAAGATTATGGTATAAAATGAATGGCAATTTTATTTTAGTTTCAAATTAAGGCCTTACAAATCAAGGCAAATTCTACATTTTAATGTTTAAAAATGTGTTCAATTTACTAAACTAAAAATAAATGCTTTCTAATTATATGAATTCCGTTTTAATTAAAAAAAAACAAGTGTGAACAAGGAAATTCTTTATAAGGCAATGCATATTTAAAATCAGAGTGCGCATTAAATGAATTACAAATAAAAAAGTTCAACTATTTGGTTAGTGAAATGACACAATTGCAATGAATGCCAAGAAATCATTTTAATTAGAATTGCCCCATTAAATGTACACATGTCTAAGCTTTCACTACAATAAAAGTGCTTCGACCAACAACTTTGTAGTTTCTTGATAAGAGTCGATTATTTAAATAATGCCTACAATTAAATACGCACTTATATATATATAATTATACATATGTGTGTAGGTATTTTCCGTATTTACCGTAGAATTGCGTTGATAATGTTCACGTGTGGATCGAGCGCCTTTGGCGAGCTTTATCAGTTGATGTCTGCCGTTTGCCGATATTGCCTGTCTGTCGCCGTCGGAAGCTTTAAGCTTTTGCGGCACGGCGTCAACTTTTGGTGAGTGGGCGGGCGGGCAGCACGCAACAGATACGTGTCCCATGTCCGTCCGATCAAAATGGCCAAGAACAGCAGAGCAATTCTTGAACAATGCTTTGTATATATGGATTATATTGTATATTTATACAAAGTATGTTATACAAGGAATACAAAAGACAAAACCAACAACACGAAACGTATTTTTTTATTGTCTTCAAATTGGTCGCGCGAATTGTGGGAAGGTTATTTGTAGGTCTGCACTTTGTGGGTCTGGGTTTGTAGGTATAAAAATAGTATTGGAATTCTCGGCCTGTCTCTTGGCTACGACAGACACACACCACTCTCACTGACCTAACCCAAGCCGATGACGTCGGATGCATGTCTAGTGCCTGTCTAGAAAACACTAATTTCCCCCCGGATGACGTCTCGCATGAATGAGCCACTGGATTTGCGGTACTAACAATATTTATTTTATTTTATGTTATTTTATTTTTTTTTGCCAGCTGTTATTGGTTTGGTAATTTAATTTGTATGCTGTCGCTAATGATTCATTGATAAGGCATGGGGTACTCTATGAAATGCGGAAAGCACTGCATGAAATTTCGCTTATCAATCCGACACTTAGATGATGAATAAATACACTGAGCAGCATAAAAATAGATTTTAGTGAGACTTTAGTGGAGGGAAAATATTCTTGTGTATTAATTTAAATATCGCAATTTGGAAATTGTAATGATATAAATAAAAAAAATAATAAATTATTCAAATTATAATATAACAAATTACAAAGACATTTGTAGGTGTATCTAAAATAAACCTTGGTTGTAAAAGAGAGTCGGTCATATAAATAAAATATCAATTCAAAAGTCAAATCAAAAAATATTTTGTTATAATTATCAAACTAATAAATACCCTGTTAAGCAGTATACTTTTTGCCTTTTTATAGAGTTGGTAAGCCATTTATCAGTTTAGATATAGATAATTACTTCCAACCAAAGTATATTTACAGACCGACTAATGTGCAAACAAATTGAATTTTCATGTCGCGGCTTGCAATTGTAACAAAAGATAATGAACATGCCGATTTATAACTAAAAACATACTGCTTAATGAGCAATGCTACGAGAATTATTTGAAGTTTGCATTTTTGTTGCTTAAGCTGATAATTTGTTATGGTTTTTTTTACTTATTTATGTGATTTACATTTCGAAATAAATCCCATAAAAACTATATACAATTCAAATTCATCTCTGCGACTTTAAGGTCTTGAACTATATTAATATTTCATAGAATTAAATTGAGTATCTATATGAATAGCTTGCTGAAAATATTGACTAGTATAATATATATTGTTAGCCGGCCTAATATACCCTATGTGTGCACCTGTTTAGAGGGTATGCATAGCTTTGATAAAATATGTGTGATAGGAATATAGAATAGCGCTCGGCTAGTTACAGAAAACTAAGGTAAAAATAATATAAAAGACGCCCGTTCAGTTCAGTTCAGCCACAAGGTGAACGCATAGCATCGCATCATTCACAAATACAACCAGACAAACAAATAAACACGAGTCTCCGTCTCCGAATAGAGCTCGTGAGTTGTCCGTTTTTGCCGTCGAATGCTTGGCGGCAGCCAATTAGAGTGTTTTAGACATCTTTGATGAGAGTGCGATTCACATCGCACATCAGCTGTTTCTCATTGGTTCGAAAAGGGGGTGTAGAACGCAAGGTGAATTGCATGCTCTCTGAGCCAAAAAAGCTGCAATTGTAATAGTTGCATCCCAACCCCACTCGTCCGATTGTCAGCCCAGCTGCAAAACGGCCAGCGTACACAGCGACGACGACTATCAAGCGAAGCGGTGGCAGTGGCAAAATCTAAGGCAGAGCGAACAGACGGGGCAGCTAGCAGCAGCAGCAGCAGTTCATACGATTTCCAGCTGCTACATAAATTCCAGCAAACAACAGAATAACAACAACGGTAAGCTTAATACACAATTTGACCCAGCTCAAAGCAGCCGCAGCAGCTGACACAGCAACAACAGCCGTGCACGCCGTGAGTCGAATGTGTAAAATTCAAGTGTATAAAACTCTGATGTAATCATTTGCTATTACGCTCGACGAACAAAAAAAAAAAAAAATTAATCGAATAGAGAAATTTTTTTAAATAAATGCCGCCGCCGTTGACGCTGTGAATTTGATTGAATTATATTCTGATTTTATTGCGTGTTGCGCACAACTAGCGCTGGAAACCCACCCTTTTCGCCGTAAGCACTTTTTTTGGAAAAGCTCAAAGGCAACATAACTGATCACTTCCGCAGTGGCGTTTAAAGCTCTGTTTGAGTAAATCTTAAGCATTCTTCCGGCGGGCACGTCATGGAACGCAACGCACCCATATCGATTTAACATACTTTGGTTTTTTTTTTTGTCACTTATAGTGTGGGCATTATGGTATGTTGGAATGGAACATACTCAATGCTTCCAATGCTGCGCGCGCCGGCAGCGCTAAAAAGTTCGCAACAAAATGAGCTTTTTCGTTAGTCATTAAACACTCTCACTTGTTGCTCTCTGTAGTAAAGAGAGAGTGCTTTGGAAGAGCGCAAACAACTAATTAATTAACAATATTTTATTTGTTTGAATCATTATTTTGATTTAGCAAAGAGCAAAAGGGAATTTGGTGCCCTTGAGAGAAGATGTCGTCGCGTATGTTTAAATTCGGCGTCACCGCCGCCAGCGCCTGTGTGGGCTCTGTGATTGCCTCATGGAGCATCGATCGTTGGAACTCGCCACATGTGGTAAGCACTAACTTAAAAGCCATGCTTAAGCTCTGACTAACAGCGTTAATATCGTTAATATCTTGCAACCAAAGGTCAACAATGCCGTTCAACGTCCACCAAAACGGAAGCGCACTTTGCCCATGCGCAGCGAACAAATCAAATCCCTGATGAGCGGCGAGGAATTCGATGTGCTCATCATTGGCGGTGGCGCCACAGGCGTTGGCTGTGCCTTCGACTCCGTAACGAGAGGTTTGCAACCTTTATCATAAGTATTTAAATAAGTGCTGTATTATTATATTTTTGGAATTTGGACACAGGTCTCAAGACGGCGCTCGTTGAAATGGATGACTTTGCCAGCGGAACCTCATCCCGCTCAACGAAACTAATTCACGGCGGTGTCCGTTATCTGCAGAAGGCGATTCTAGGCGTAAGTACGAACAGAAATAGAAATAGTTGCCAATAGACAAACATATTTACATTCATGTTTACCTTATTCTTCATTTGTTCATTTTTTAAATCCCTGAAGTTAGATAAAAGTCTAAGTTATTAGGTGGATTACTGAAAGCCTTCATCATATTTCAGAGTTCTTCCCAGGGAAGCATTGCCTATTTAAAACTTAAATATTCTATTTAATTCGAAATATTATAAAATATTCTATTCAATTCTAATTTGAATAATATATTTTTTGAATTGGAAATAAAATAAAATATTCTTTTCAGTTCTCTTTTAACTCATAGAGCACTTTAAACTCTTTTCATATATATTTTTAGTTTTTTGAGAATTTATCCACTAGGCTAGAAGTAATGCTTGTATATTTCTGATTATCGCTACAGCTAGACCTTGAGCAATATAGAATGGTTAAGGAGGCGCTGGCGGAACGTGCCACAATGCTTGAATCGGCGCCACATTTGACGCATCCGTTGCCCATCATGCTGCCCGTCTACACGTAAATAGCAATAACTGGCGATATATATACATATATATAGGTCTTATTAAATATATATGTATAAATATATGTTTTTCAGGTGGTGGCAGGTGCCGTATTTCTGGGTGGGCATTAAGGCGTACGATTTTGTGGCCGGCGATCGCAATGTGAAGAGCTCGTATCTGTTGTCGAAGAAGGATGCATTGGAGCTGTTCCCCATGCTGAAGAAGGACAAGCTGTGCGGCGCCATTGTCTACTACGATGGCCAGCAGGATGATGCACGCATGTGTCTCGCTGTCGCATTGACGGCTGCCCGCCATGGAGCCACTGTGTGCAATCATGTGGAGGTGCAGGAGCTGCTCAAGAAGGACGACGGCACCGGGAAGAAGGTACTGTGCGGCGCCAAGGTAAAGGATAATATCACGGGCAAGGAGTTCACGGTGAAGGCCAAGTGCATCATCAATGCCACCGGCCCCTTCACCGATTCCATACGCAAAATGGACGATCCGACGGTGAAGAGCATCTGCTGTCCCAGCTCCGGTGTGCACATTGTGCTACCCGGCTATTACAGTCCCGATCAGATGGGTCTGCTCGATCCCTCGACATCCGATGGACGCGTCATCTTCTTCCTGCCCTGGCAACGGCAAACGATTGCCGGCACCACAGATCTACCCTGCGAAATTACGCACAGTCCCACACCCACCGAGGACGAGATTCAGTTTATTCTCAGCGAAATCAAGAACTATCTCAATGCCGACGTTGAGGTGCGTCGTGGCGACGTCCTATCCGCCTGGAGCGGCATTCGCCCCCTCGTCTCCGATCCCAACAAGGACGATACACAGTCTCTGGCGCGCAATCACATCGTCCATGTTAGCTCCTCCAATATGATCACCATTGCCGGCGGCAAGTGGACCACTTACAGAGCCATGGCTGAGCACACTGTCGATGCGGCCATCAAGGGTAACTACTAGCGATCCTTAATTGAGATTACAATAGCTGCAATTAACTCATAACTAATCCAAGTATAAATAATCTCTCTATCTTTGCCAGCCTGCAATCTGAAACCGGAGCGTCCCGAGGCTGTTACGGCGTTCTTGAAAATTGAGGGCGGTCAGGGCTGGACACCAACGATGTATATACGACTGGTGCAGGATTTCGGGCTGGAATGCGAGGTGGCCCAGCATCTGGCCAAGTCGTATGGTGATCGTGCGTTTGCCGTTGCCAAGATGGCATCGCTGACGGGCAAACGTTGGCCCATCATCGGTAATCGCATCCATCCGGAGTTTCCCTACATCGATGCGGAGATTCGTTATGGTGTGCGTGAGTACGCCTGCACCGCTGTCGATATGATTGCACGCCGGATGCGTTTGTCCTTCCTCAATGTGCAGGCCGCATCGGAGGCGCTGCCCGCCGTCGTCGACATTATGGGCGAGGAGCTGCAGTGGTCCAAGGACGAGAAACAGCGTCAGATCACGCTTGCCACTGAATTCTTGGCCAACGAAATGGGACACGCCATCAATCGCACATCCAAGGAGAGAATACCCATCAAACTGTCCAAGGAGGAGATTCAGACCTATGTGAAACGCTTCGAGCTCATTGACAAGGACAAAAAGGGATACGTCTCTATCAATGATATCCGTCGTGCGCTCAAGAACTTTGGCGATGGCGATGTATCCGGCGAACAGTTGCACGACATCCTTAAGGAGATCGACACCAACATGAACGGCCAGGTGGAACTCGATGAATATCTACAGGCAAGTGGTGTACAAACATATTTATATATCTTTGACATTTGGGTATAAAACTGAATTGAATACATTGGGAATTCAACAGATGATGTCAGCGATAAAGACGGGCGATGTGGCCTATTCCCGTTTTGCTCGCATGGCCGAGCTGGAGGAACAGAAGCACGAGGCGGCCAATCTCAAGCAGAAGATCAGCGTCGATCGCTCCGGCGGCGGCCTGTAAGTGACTTAACCAAACGGGAGGGAACATCACGCGTCTACATCTAAAGCACATTTTCTAGAAATAAGCCCCCAACAAATTATATGAAGCTATATAAACAAATTTTTCTTTACATTTTGCTGTTAAATAAAGTCTTGAAACTCACTCGAACATTTCCATTAGGCAATGACACATTTCCAGGAGGAATCAGGTTGTTCCCCTACCTCTCTAAGTGGTTGTTCCACCATCTCCTCGAGCATAGGATAGACTCGCTCCCAAAGTGGTTGTTCCACTATCTCCTCCTGCCGAGAACCGCCTCGCACCAAATTTCGATTGATCATGGGAGCGCCTCGGTCCCAACGTGTACTGAACGAGGATGTCACATTCAGATCGATGTCATCCGTCAGGTTGCCATCGGCTCTCTCCAGCGTATACAGCTTCTTCGCAACGCAATTGAACATTTGATCGCGTTGGTTTTGATTGAAGCTCCCAAACAAATCCAGTTGGGGGTCCCAGAAGAAAGGCAGCTTACCATTCCTATTGGATGTTGCAAGTGATTTTTTCAGCTCTCGAAACATCTATGCAAAAATATAAAACGATTAATAAGTGATTTATAATTTATAAGTATTTTATAAGTGATATTAACTTTTGGTTATTGTTCTTCAAATGCTCGATGGAATATATCCTGAACTCAACTTCCTGATATTAGTCAGGGCGTATTATATCCACGTTCGAAGTCTATATCTTAAGTCTATATCTATATCTGTTCAATATGAAAATACGCTTTGCTTAAAAAATTTAATTGCTATCGGAAATCGATTTATATCGATTCCTCGCCAAATGCCGATTGTTAACAATAAAACTTAATCGATTATACAAAATGTTCAATACAGATATCTATTTATATGTATAAATTACACTCACATCGATCAATATGTCCTTTAGCTGCCCCATACTCCAATAGTAATCAGGCTTCTTCGTCACTTGCCACAGAAATAGGGTCTTGATATAGTAACTTTTCAGATTGTTCATATTTGGATGGCTATCACGGAATTTCTTCATGAATCTTACTGCGTCCTTCAACCGGTATTTGTTCTTGAGCATTGCAAGCTCGGCCTCATAGTAGGACGCACGGAATGAGACATTATCCTTTTCGAAGGGTTTCATGGGTTTGGGTATTGCTTCCCAATAGCGAGTGTCCTTGAAATATTCACGTTTCTCCGGGCTGAGAATATTCTGTTCCGCATCTAATCTAATGGCTGGCACAAAATCCACAGAGTATTTGATATCCGGCTCATTGATGTACATCGTGTGTGCTGGACCACATCTCTTGTACACAATTCTCGCGTCCTTGCCATTGACATTAATTTCGTAGCTCATTCGACTTAGAGCCCGTGTCACAGCACCACTTATCATGCTCTGCAGCTTATCCTCGAGCAGAAAATTCTCGGGCGTAACCAATCTTTTCAGTTCCTGATACATGTCTTTGTGTGGCGGATGACATTGCAGCAATTCTAGCACCTTCGTCATGTCCAAGGTAACATTGCCCGGCTTTCTTGTGTCCTTCTTCACAATAATCAGATTGTTCACGGGAAATTTCAGAATAATCAACAAATCGAACTCATCGGGTTTTGCTATCTTTAAATTGTCTGCATAACTTCCTGTTTAGCCGAATGAGGAAAATTTAAGAATTCTAATGTATTTGTTAAAATATAATTACATATATAATAATTATATATATTTAAATATTTTAAAGTTTCCAGTTCTTATAGTCCCTGACGGACCTGCCAACATAACCTTATCGACTCTGCTTTTGCTGCTGATCAAGAATATATATATATCCCAACTGTCTGTTACACAATTTTTCATAATTTCATTATACACTTTTTTCCGAAACAATACTGGTTATTCTATATCAATTTAATTACGAATCGGAACGAACTTCATAAAATGTGTAATACATTTTAGGTAGAAAGCTGAACAATTCAACTGATAACATGCAATTGCAAATCTATAATCATTATAGTAATTGACTTAATGACATCATAATCTCTCAATAAAATCATAATTGACAACCTTCTTGTGGTTGAAAAGGAATCAATAGATTACTTTTGTTATATGGTGATTCAAGCTCAATGACTGTGAGATCTATATTTTACTATAACTCTAAAATTCTAGGAAACGTAGACGAAAGACGTAACCAGCAATTTAGACCTCAAATTTGGTGACTAACTTTAAAATCTTACGAGAATATATATTCAAAATATCAAGTCAAGTAAACAAAAACTAGGGATACCATAAGTTATTCCAGCGGATAACAGGTAACAAGGAACAGAATGAGTGTAGGCTTATATACCTACTATGTTTGCCTTCAAATTGCAGTAGATATAGGCTTTTGTGAATTTTGGAGGCAATATACCTTTAAAACTTGGTCAAGCGTTTAAATTGTGTGACATATATGGATTTATCGCTTTTTGCACTAAGAGGTATATAGGATTGGGAAGGCGGAGTGATCTTGACAATCCAATTTTTTTCGACCCCTTAGAGGAGTTATTAGAGGAATTGAAAGCACAGAGCACAAAGCACAAAGCACATACACCGATACCTTATTTGAGCGTGTGTATATCAGTTGTGAATCTGTATTGCATTTGCGTATGCCACGTAAACCAAATGAATGCTCGCGACGAATTCGCACTTTTCTCTCAATAAGTATTTCATTTACCGCCCAATTTGTGTCCACATAACCACTTGGACAGTGGCATCTCCTTCTTTAATTCGTTGTAGATTACATTGCGCAATATATTGTAATGATTAGTGTAAAATTCCCGCTCGTCATCAATATTTATATAGTCTCTGTTTGTCTCATTTAAACGCCCTTCCAAATTGCTGGACACCATCGAGCACTTTTAAACAACACTACTTGACTTGCACTGAGCACTATGCCGACTGAATCAACGATACGAAGGGTTGCAGAGAAATACAATCATTATCGAAAGAGAAATAATTTGTGCTCTTTCTCTTAAGAGCGGTACTCAGTGACCACTATCGATAATATAGCTGCGATAGCAGCTAACAACCGACAGTGAATTACTTATGCGAAAAGAAAATGCTTAAACCTAAATACATACATGTATGTATGTTTCGTATCTAATATAAAATTAAAACTTAACATTTGCTTAAGACCAGATGACTACAACTTTTTGCTGATTAAGAATTAATGAAATGAGTAAATATTCAAAGTTGGGTTGGCAACGATTACTGCTCTCTGTCATTTTATTTATATTTTAAAACTGCTAATTGAATTGTAACGAAATTTATGTACTTTTCGCATTAACTTTAGAAGTTCAGCTCTTTATGGCGCTGGTGATGTGATTTCTTGGCGAGATGCGAGGATCAAAAATGGCCTCGATATTGACCTGGCAATCTTAAAAATAAAAAAGCAAGCATTAACAAAGATAGACAAAAAGATGTGACTTTATAGCATACCATTTTCTAGAAGAAACATTGCGCGGTCATACAAAATAATGCTTTCCACTGAAAACAATAAATGTTTATATATATATATATATATAAGCAATTTGTTGAGAGCGGCTTACCCTGTGGCGCCAGCATGAGGCGCAGCGCATAAAAGCAAACAATGCGACGCCAATGCCATAAATCTGCTTCAATTTGGTCAGGATTCCCAGCTGGCAGCATGGCAAACTTTGTGCCGACGATAGCCTTTTGAAAATAGCTAACATTTAAAATGGAAAACAAATTTTAGTCAGAGAAATAGATTCAAGGATATTAACAAGGCTCACTCATTGAAGGTCATGCCAGGCACGTGTTTTACGTTGCGGAGTGCAGAGTGTCGCAAATCGGGCATGTGTTGCACAATAATGCGTTCAGCAGCCGCACGCAGCGAATGTATCTTGAGGAATTCATATTGACCCGCTTGGAGGCGATCGCGATAGGATTCTATTGCATGACAGGCTATTTCACGTGCCTCGTAGCTGAGTTGAGATTGGTTGCTCGATAGCCGTAACAGCTGTGAGCTAAGCGGATATCCATGCAGTTCCATTTGGGGATGGGTTTGTTGTGTGCTCATTTTTTGGTAACAGCAGCCAACAAAGTTCAGAAATTTAGCTTGCTTACAGCTGAGAAAGATGCGCATGAGAGTAGCGCCCAGATCACCACACGGATGCAGGCCAATGATGCCAAACTGAAAGTCACAGTCTGGCGGCAATTGAAACGCCTCCCTGATGCTTTCAATGAACTCCCCTGGCTTTGTGTTGCTCGTCAGACGCTGTGTAAGATGTGCCGGTCTCTTAAAATGTACTCTTTCGCTGGCGCTCATGTGTTTTGCAGCTATGCTCTCCAGTTTGTCATCAATAGCCAGCGCCTGTCGGTTCAACTCTGCCTGCATCTCGAAGCAACACACTTGGATGCCATAGCCATAGCCCAGAACGCGAGCCAAATGTCCGAGGCCGGCGCCAAAGTCCACAACAAAATCAATCGCCGTGTGATCGCAGCTGCGCGCACAAAATGCGGCCATTCGCTTGATTTCATGCGCCTTCTTGGGCTTGACACACTTCATGAACATGTGCTTCAGCTTACGGTGCTCCAGCAACGGGCAAGACGGCAGGGCAACCTATATATATATGCCGTGAATATGTCGAATGATGCTGCACTAGTTTATACCGACTTCGAGCTGCATCTTGGGGCTCCTACTAATGCATAGGGAGCGCAACACTTGGCGCAGCGCCAACAGTTCCAAGGGCCAAAGCACACGGCTGGTTTCCCCACTGACATCGTCTTCGCTCTGCAACAGCTCGCTCAGTGCATCTATTGGCAGGCGTTCCAAGTGCTTCTGCCAGCTTGCAGACAGTTTGCTCCAATGATCATTTACATAAAAGTCCTATATGTTAAGAGAATATGGTCATATGTTTCCTGTAAAGCGTATAACTTATTTACCAACACGTAGGAATCCAATAACCATTCATACTTTTTAACTACTTGCAAGCAGGCGGCTATTTTGTTGCTAATATTAAGCATTTCGGACAGCGAGTAGCACTGATCAGCTGATTTGTGTAGTAGTGTGCAAAAATTATGTTATGTTTTGTTACTTTTGCTACTTGGCCAGGGCTACACACTTTAATCGATAGTAGTGCTTAGCACGCTTGACTACTTTTAAGCAGCAAAACAATCACAGTTTCACTCGTAATCGGCCAATTGACAAGTCGATAATTCAAATGAGAATGACTGCTGGAGCTTTCGATGTTTTTTTTCTCAACACTATTAAACAGATTGTCTACCAATAATAATAAAAAAAAACAGTTGTTTTCATCAAAAACGAGAAATATTTTGTAAGTGCTGCATAAAAAGACAAAAGTGAATTTGTGAAGTTATCATTAAATTTGTGCATCGTCACGGTGTATTTTTTTTGTCCTTAAAGGGTGGATACAGGTATACACACACGCACACAAACACACATATATACAACCACGCACACGCATACATATTGGCAGTGCCGTTAGCTTAAGCGAAGTTGAAAATGCATCTGCATCCAACAAATGGCAATATTTGCGAGCAGATATGAAAAAAAATTACCAATTGATGACACAGCGGCAATAAACTGCGAAATCGCAACAGTTGAGGAGATCGACGGTCATACGGTAAGTGGCAAATGCCATATTTGAAAATCTATATATGCCACAAAATGAAAAATCAATAATCTGCGACGCTGCCGACGACGATGATTTGTTGTTGATGACGGTATATCTGGGCTGTGTGTGTGTGTGTAGATGCATACATATATATACACACATACATACATACTTGCATATATATATAAATATATGTATTGCATATTCACAGGAATATTTACTACGTGTGCAGCGCGGAGATTGCACCTGGAACGTTCTGCGTCGCTACAATGAGTTCAGCAAGCTGCACAAAAGTCTTCGTATCTCTGGCATCGAATTGCCATTGCCTGGCAAACGCATCTTTGGTAATATGCGACCGGACTTCATAGCTGAACGGAAAGAAGCCTTGCAAGTTTACATAAACACAATACTAATGAATCCCATATTGGCATCATCGCTGCCAGCCAAGCGTTTCGTTGATCCCGAAAGCTACTCGCAATCATTCCATGGTTAATTGAGAAACTCTACTTTGTTACTCTTGAATGCTAATAGCCTACTTACTTGCAGATCATGCCGTGCAACATGCATTGCTCTGTTTGCGCAACGACACGGTTTGGGCACTCGGCGGCACAATGGGTGCCATAGGCTGGCGGCTGCGCAAGCATTACTTTAAGGTGACGACCAAACCGCCAGAGAAGAGCAGCAACAAGTTGGTGAAGAGCGGCTCGCAATCGCAGCAGAGCAAGCATTTTGCCGCTGGCAGCAATGGCGGTCATTCTGTTTCAATTGATGCCGGCACAACGGATCCGAATGCTGAAATGGTCGCCGAATGGTTGGAGTATGGTCCAGACAAATACGTCGATGAGAAGGAAATGAATGGTGTGCTTAAGAGCTTGATGGGCCTACAACATCCACACATCGAGGCCATAGTTCTGGCAGCTAATACGGAAAACGGTGGCTTGTTTATTAGAAAGTGAGTTTTCTTTATTTAATCATAATCTTCACCTTTATTCTTACTGAGCATATTTTTTTTCTTGCTTTAATGCAGATTCCATAAGCATGGGACCCTCAAGGATGTGCTCTGCATGGTAGCAACGCCAAAGAATCCATTTTTGACCAAGTATGGCAATCCAAAGGGACGCACTGCTCTCTCCATGAAGCAAGTGGCGAGCTACGGCAAGCAGATTTTAGATGCCCTAATATTCCTGCACTCCAAGGGCTATGCATACGGTAAGTAGTGGCCAGCTATGCTTATTTCCCTTCCCCATAAATTTAACGATATTCATTCAATTATAGGTCACTTGCATGCGGGCAACATTGTAATTGTGGACGACTGCGTCAAGCTGTTGGATGTGGAGAATCATTTGTTGGGTGTGCCGGCCTTTTATCGACCATTTTTCGTTCAGCACAGCAAGATCCATTCAATGGAGACTATTGACGTTTACTGCTTTGGCCATGTGCTCTTCGAAATGGCAATGGGTTATCCACTGCAGGAGTCCGTAGTGCGTCAAATCACCGAATGTCCCGAGGCATTAAGTATGCACATCGCTAATAACCAATTCAACGACCGCCTAATGTTTTTTTTTATACTGCTTTTTAAAGAATGTCTGTTGGAGAGCATTTTGTCGAAGGAAGCATGCAAGGCAGGTCTGCCTAGCCTGGAGCAACTGCTTGGTCACAGATTCTTCACACAATACGCTGCCGATGAGCCAGCCACGTCTGAAAAGCCATACTTCAAGTTGTCCTTGGTAATAATGTTAGATAATGCAAGCAACTCAGTGCGCCTCATTTGTTTTCCCTATTATATTTTCAGAATGCAAAGGAACAGCTCAGGCAAGCAGCTGTGAAAGCCGAGAATCGTTTGCGAGATGAGCAAAAATCGGTGAAGAACCAAAAGCGCATTGTTCGCGTGCAGGAGCTAATGAGCTCCGAGGAGGAGAAGCGCAAATCAAAGCAAAAAGCAGTTAGTAGCAATTAATTAAACTAATTGAGTAGTAAATTGAGTTTTCAGAAATGATAATCAGTACTTCAGACATTTTATTTGTATTATGCTGTTTTTAAAAGCGTATTTTTCGCTAATCCTTTCGAAATAGGATCATTATTTATATGACCATCAAAAAGATTTAGTTTTTATTGAAAATTTAACATTTGCAAATTTGAATCACTTCTGAAATCGAAGCGTTTGCATTCTCTAGTTAGCAGTACGCTTATTATCACATTTAATTATTATTATTATTTATTTTCCTATTGCCATATTGTTTGTATCTTTTGTGTATACTATTTAGAAATTAGAGCACAAACAATCGAAGCTTAAGCAACAGGGTTCGCTCCAAACAAGCAATGGACGCTTGTCGCTGGCGGCTGCTACGGCTTCATCAACTAGCCAAGTCGCTGTTGGCGGTGGCCCAGCTGGCGCAACAGACTCGATCACTCGCTCCGACAGCACGCCCGAAGAACCAACAATGATTGGCCACAAATGTAGCTATTTTTGCTTTCATTTTGCAATTTTCATTTAAATTCACGGTAATATTTATCACAACTTCTAACTTTTGTCTTCTTAACGCTCCCGCAGCACTCATGCCGGCCACGCATTTGCCGCGCCAGGAGATTCAGGCGAGCAGCGGCGCCGTGGAGAGACAGACATCGACGCCGAACATCGCTTCCGAGGACACCGATGCTGGCGAGGATGAGCCCACGCGCTCAGCGCTGCTCGAGTCAATTTGCAAATTCAATCGCGGCTCGCTGCGCAAAGTACGCTCGAATGATTAAGGCCGGCCTCGTGCTATGAATTTTACATATTTACATTTTGGACCAAATGTGGCGTTATGAAATAACGGTTCCATTAAATTAAAAGAACAAAACAAAATATGAAGAGAAAATCAATGCAGAAAATAATACCCAACCAATAGAAGGATACATATAACAATTACACATATAGGTAAATTATCGCGTCTATTTATTGGCCTACAACAATCCAGAAAGTATCTATAAGTAACTACATATATATATATATATATATATATATATATACATATATATATACATTAACTAAACGAAACCCACTGAATCTGTGTCCACTACAAAACTTAACAATGTTTTATGAACTCAAACGAGATATGTACGTCTATTTAGTACTAAATGTATTTATGTACTTGATAAGTTATAAATCATACACGTCTGCGATACGGAGACGGCTAATGGTCAAGCGTACGCAACTAAAGCTTTACATATACATATACATGACCACTACACGACTGAGAATCACCACTTTGGTACGAGTATCTTAAACAAAAAAAAAAAAAAAACACGATTAGAAAACAAAAAGACAATTTAGAAATTTCCTTAAAAAAAAAAACAAACAAATTGAACCATAAGTCTGCACCAAAATTTGCACGATGACGCTCTAATCGAATAATCTATTTATAACTATCATGCATATGTATATGTAACAAAATAACACATGTAATTGTTCCTCGATGTTGTGCTCCTTCAAAACAAAATCCAATATACAGCGTTTTTTATCGCCATTGAGACCATAGCTTAAACATACTTAATAACGGGACTAAATCGCTTGAAAATGGCCAAAAAGTTGTACTTTTTTGTATTTTTTATTTTTGTATTGACATTGTATTGTTTCACTAGTTCTTAACATTTTTTGTTATTGAGCATTTCTTATTGATTATGTGTGTAATGAGAATCGCTGTATACATTTTTGTAGCATGTACTAAAGTTAAAAAACATAATCGAAAGATATGCAAATATAATTTATATACACATATATATATTTAGTATATATATATGTAGCATATATAGCATATTTCTATATATACTCGAACCATAATTTGATAATGATGTATGTATTCATGTCTATGTGTTTTTTATGTAACTGACTGTGTATATGTTCATATGTGTGTGTATATATATAAGTGCATACCTAAATTAAATGCAAAGTCTAATGCGAATTCAAAGTGTAACGAAAGCCATATGAGCAACATATATTAACTACTATACATATGGAAACCAAATAAAATGTAAAGTATTAATCGTTGTAATTAATCATGACTTTTTGTGCCTCCAACAATTCTACATTAGGATAAAGCTCTATATGTATGAACCTAATACATGTAACCATAATATCCTGCATGCTTGATTTTTAGTCTTAAAGGTGTCTTTCTTTATATTATTTTAGATATTTTGTAAAATAGCTACTGAAATGGCTTAAAAACAAATTCGGACTCCTTCAAAAATTGATTACACCTTCTTCATAATTAGGAATTAACTTAAACGAATTCCGGGATTTACGTAGTGGGAAAGTTCATATCTGAACACGCCTTCGTGCTGAAATTTCTGAGAGAATCCCATTTGACATTTGAGAAACAGTAAAGGCATAAAAAATGGGGGGAGACTTCCCCGATTTAATATTTATGTTGGTGAACCTTTCATTCCCGTTTCCTAATATTACTCATAGCATACCCATTCTCTACTAATCTCTAATTTATCTTCTTCCCGTTTTTGAAAAATGGCTACAACAAGCTCGCTTTCCCTAAATTTGTATACAGTGTTAACCTTTGTGAAGAACATGCTTAATGCTTACATGAAATTACCTGTCACACAATAAAAAGAACAATATGTCATCCCACGATTATATGGTGGGAGTGGTTACAAGTTGACAGCCGGGAAGGTAAGGCAGGGCAAGGTCGGTTAACCCAATTGTGCTCGTGTAACTGTAATGTGTGTCAATTATTGATTCAACATTGGTCTTGGCGCATTGCCAGGACGACACAGTTGAGGAGTAGGAGGAGAAGGAGGTGGAGGCAGGCACTTTGTCAAGCTGGCTGCAAGTGGCATAATACAATAATAATCATTTGCGGTTTTATGGCAAGCCGCGACGCACTTAAGACTTCGGAAATTGAAGAGAACACGTCACGGCATCAAATGGCTAGCGCTGCGCGGAATTGGTCGGGTCTAGTGACGCTCTGTTTGGGCCAGGAACGCGAGAAGGTACGATTGATTTTGTGATTACATTGGGCCAATAAAAAAACATGGATACTTTATGTGGGTTTAATAAACGGATACTTGTTTTCCGCTATCCGAACATGGGTGGAAAGTAACGAATTTGTCAAAGTCACGCATATGATTGTTGCTGGGCTGCCAGATGGGGTCGAGGGCGGGTTGGGGGAGCTGTGGAGCATGTGGCATTTAGCATGTAGCATGTAGCATGTATTATAATCCATTTTGTTTCGACACTTTCGTTTTGTCACCATGCAGAGGCAGATAAGCAGCCAGCGCGATTCCCTGACCAAGTGTGCCAGTGTGGTCGCCGCACTGGGTGCAACTCCCAAGGTAAGTGATGATGAGGCACATCTGATACCAGATTTGTTATCTTCCCTGTTGTTGTTTGTTGTGCGCCAGGAGAATATACGTTATATGCCCACCTATCGCTTGGATCCCAAGAATCCGTTGATCAAGGAACGTCTGGAGATTGCCATGCGAACCATCATGGACAAAAATTACAATGAGGATTACTTATTCCATCCGAAGCAGTCCTACCACTTGGCTGCCCAGGTCAGCGAAGAAATAAAAGACAGCATCAAGCTTATGGATTTCGATAGGTGGGTTAGATGGCATCATCAGATCGCACCGCAACTGTCATCTTTGTAATCTTTATGCTCAGCAGATACCGTTATGTGGTGCTGGTGTCCGTTGGTGAGTTGCTTATGCAAGGCCTCTGCTCCATGGTGAACTTTCTGTGGGATGCCGACAAAGATGGTTTTGTTACCTACTCCATCCAGACACCCAATTATTTCGCCGTCTGCACAATATTTTATTTATATTACGACTAAGTGCATACAACGATGATTTTGTAATAGCTAAGTATTTTTAGAATGAAATTTCTGAAAAAAAAATGTTAAATAATCGATTGAAGATGAGGCAAATTTGTATAGATGATAAGACGTATGTAAGATTTAACTGTTGTCCTCGGGTATAGTATAGTTACCAATTGATGTTGTTACCTGCCTGTTAGGAGACAATATGTACATATAAATTATACATAGTATATATTTCAGTTGGCAAATATTCACTTTTGTTGCAGCATGATTAAAACACAATTGATTGAAACTCACTTTAGAAATCACATGTCTAGTCAAATCACACACATCAGAAATGTATTCCGTTTGTTCTTGTATTTATTTGAATATCAGTTAAATATATATATATAATAGATATAATATGGTGAAGCATAATTAATTGCCTTTATATATTATTCATTTAACGAGTCACAAAACCAATTAAATTATTTAGTATTTAGATATCTGAACAGCTATTATTCCAATGCATTATAAATTTGTGTTTAAACTTGTGTAGAAATCTGTTAATGTAGTCATACTATATATAAATATATATAATTTGATAATATCGGCCGCACACATGCACACATACACACACTTGTCAGCTGTATATTCAGCAATAGAGCATCAAAATCATAGTTTGTGTATATATATAGATATATATATCAAATTTTACAGTTGACACTTCAATGCACAAAGAACATAATGCATTCATCGTCTTGTGGGGGGGAGTGAATGCATTCAGTTATATAGTATTATAGATATACACACACCATACGACACAGAACTTGTTGAGAGCAACCATAAGAAAACCGATGTAACATTTGCAAAACCCATTTGAACAATTACAACATTTTGAAACAAATGCTACACGACGTTCTCTTTTCGGATGGAAATGAACGAACATAGACATTAGGAGGAACAGATATTTTTGAGAGAATCATATAAACTTGGAACGAACAGCTCACTGCACAATGATATGGGTCAAATATCAAATTTCAGCCACTTTAAAAACAACACACGGCAATTCATCATCAATAGTAGTGTATAGCAAACAAGGCTTAGCAAAAAGGACGGATTCCATTCCTTCTCTTGGGCAACAGAACAACGCAACTCAAATTAAAAACATACGATTTTCGATTTTAGATTCGGATTCACTTTCGGTTTAACAATGCCCACATATCATAGATATAATATATATCGGTTTTTAGATGGCCCCACAACATTCAAGCACTTTTTGCACAATTTGTTTCGATTTGTTTTGTTTTGTTCACATTACCAAAATTTCTCAAAATCAAATCATAACTCTCAAAACTGATTCGACTTATTAACACAATATACAAAAAAAGTTAACACAAAAACTGATTTAAATTCTTTTTTCTTCTTTTTCTTGAACTTTTCTCTTATTATTTTTTTTTTTGGTTTTTTGTTGGTAGTTGTTGTTTTTGCACTAATTGTACATTTTAAAAAGAATAAATTTGTATACAAAGCATTTTCAAAATAGGGAAGAGTAAAACTTGAAATGAATCTTTACACTGTTGTTGTAGTTTTTGTTGTTGTTGTTTTTTTTTTTTGTAAAATAAATTGAAGTTAAATATACAACGAATATAGTTATTGAATATTGAAAACTTTTTGGCACAATTGTAATTTTTCAAAGAAATCATTTAAAACTGTATGAACTGTATAAACTTGACACTCTCACTTAACAGAGAATAAGAATCATGTACAGAAACAGAAACCATAAATAACCATAAATATTGATTGATTGATTGGTCTGTAAAAAGAACAATAATAATTTGATTAATACAGTTGGTTTTTTTTTTGTAAACTCATTAGTAACCGTCTTGTTTCTTGTCTTTGGATCTGTCTGTTTGTCTGGCTGTGTTACGGCATGTCGTCACTGGATGTTAGTAGGGGGGGGATTGATTGGTTATTACTCAAATTGTATATTGACTGAATTATGCTACTACCAATACATATACATATACATATATGTATAGATGGGTTACATGGAGTGTGTGTGTGTGTGGTGTGTGTGGGTGTTGTTTTTGTGACAGTCTACGGCTGTCTTCCGATCACTGCGCAGGCGAAAGTAATCCTAATCGTAATCGTTGCGATTGCCCACAGTTTGTCCAGTATTGTCTTAGGCGGTGCCGCCACGCACAACCACAATGACCAGATGATCCTCCTTCAGGCCCTCCTCGGTGAGGCTGTGACAGGTGCGCTTCAGCAGATCCGTGGAGAAATCACACGGTGGGAATGCATACAGCACACCCGTCGCCTCCGTCTCCTTGTTCAGCAGCGAAATAACGCCAGCTGCCTCCTTCTGCTTCAAATAGGAGACGAGATTGCGCAGCGGACGTGTCTGCACACTGGCATCATCGCAATCGGTGTCCACCGTCGAGCCGGCAAGGCCCATAAATATGGCATGCGACGATGAGGAGGCGATACGCTTCTGCACATCCTCCAGCTTGGGAGGATCCAGACGCAATCGCTGTGTTATACGCAAATTGTGCTTGCCCTCCTCGTCGCGCATCAGCGACTCCACAATGTCCGTGTCGCCGTCTGTCAAATGGAATTTGGCCGGGAATAAGGAACTCTTCAGTATGAGTGCACCGGTCCAAATCGTGCTGCATTTGCGCGCCACCTCTGGCACGGTGGTCGCCGATCCCAGTGCATCCGTGTGGCGCGTCGAAGTGTCCGAATCCGAGCCGGGGGAGCGTGCACGCTTCAGCGGTGAACGGGAACGCGAACGTTCGACACCCGGTTCTCGCGAACCAGAACGAGCCCGATCGTATGATTCGCCAGGCGGACGTCGCCACTCATCGTCGGCTCCGCCCGGTGGCGGCACAGCAGATACACCGCCCATAGCGCTCGGATGTGGCGGCCGGTGTACATCGTTGTGATAGTGATACATGCCACGTCCACGGCCACGATAGCCACCACCGCGTCCACGGTAACCGCCACGTGGCGGATATGGTGAGTAGCCGCCACGCGGTGCATACGCAGCCGCCTCCTCATAGTACGGATCGTACTCAGGTCGTCGATACTCCATGGCACTCTCGTCATACGACGGCTTTGAGTTCTTGAACGGGGCCACTGGCGTAGCACCTGGCAGCTCCGCAAAATCGGTGCGCAATCGACGCTCGGGGCCACCCAGCGGGAAGCCACGCATCTCCTTGACAGCGGATGTGGCCGCCTCAACGGTCTCGTATTGGATGTAGGCATACGGTTCGCCCTTCTGATATTCGATCTTCTTGATGGCACCAAATCGATCGAATTCGCGCTCGATCTGTGTCACCGAAGTCCAGGCACCCAGTCCACCAATCCACATGCGTGTGGCCGGCGTCACCTTGCCGTAGCCAATCTTGCACTGGAACTTGCCAATGTACTGGCCGGACAGCTCGATTTTGGCACGATGAGCCATGTCAAGATTCTGATAGCGTACGAAGGCAAATGCGTTGCCAGTGCCAGGTGGCGGCCTCTTTATATCAATGTCATCCACTACACCATATTTACCGAAAATACGACGTAACTCGTCATCGGCAATTGTCACCTCGAGGTTGCCAGCGAAGAGTGTGCGCGTGGAGAGCGGATCATCTTCAGGTTGCACATGATGCAAATAATTGGGAAACTTATCCTTCTTGCTCTCCGGCTTCTCGTACGGCACATGCGGACGTGGTGCCATCGGACGCATTGGTGCATACTGATGTGGGGGCGGATGGCCGTGCAGATGATGCGGATGGGTGTGCGGATGACCACGATGCATGGGTGGGCCGCGCGGCGGATGTGGATACTCATGGTGCATGGGTCGATATTCACGTGGATGAGCAGCATGCGGATGTAGAGGCGGACCATAGCGGTCATACGGATCGACTGGTGGCCGTCGATGATCCAAGGGCACGCCGGGCCCCATCGGCGAGCGCGAATAATGATATCGCTCATAGTCCGGCGGCGAAATAGAGTGACGCGGTCTATAAATTAAACGCTTAATATTAATATGCAAACGTATAAAATGTATTCAAGTCATCGTTCGAAAATTGAAACGATTCGGTTTCAGTTGTGATTCTAATTAGCCAACAATAAATCCTGATTGATACTTTTATGTATATACAATATTTATAAATTTAATGATGAGCCCAAAATAAAAAATCAATTTGGGAATGTATAGCTTAAGCTAATAAAATATCCCGGATAAAGGGCAACAAAAATCGAAATCTAAACGAGTAACGAAATTCAAAAACTATTCAAAACTTTAATTCTACTTCTTTGCTAAGCGAACATTTTTATATAGATTCAGACTCAAGGCTTTTAATGGTCTAAATTGCCCAGACCAAATTCCCATTTTCGAGCGATCACTATAGTTAACACTAGACTTACCTGTACTCCGGCCTAGTTGTTGATTTATAAACGGGCTCTACAATGGCCATTTTATCGTAGATGATGAGACGCGGCTTGTGGTGCTTGGCCTCGCGCGCATCTTCGGGCGTGCGAAAGCAGACGTAGGCAACCCGTTCGTCCAGGTCGTGGGCGAGACGCACACTGAAATCTCCAAATTTCTTGTACTCGCGATACAGTGTCTCCTCGATGAACTCGTCGGGCGCCTTGGGCGGCAACGCACTCACACACAGTACCTTATAGCCAGCGGGACGCTCGGCAGCCGGCGGACCACGCATGTACGCCTCCCGATGCGGCGAACCATAGCGACCACGGGGACTCGGAGAACGATCCAAACGGCGTCGCATGCGTTCCGGAGACATGCGTTCGGGTGAATCACCTGGCACACCACCGCCATTATCGTAGCCACGACCCATGCTGCGAGAGTTTCGTACTATGTTCCCTCTACCTGGTGAGCGGGAAGCGCTACGTTTCATATTGTGGATTTTGACTGTAATGCGATCGAGTTCAGCTCCTTCTCTATGAATACTCATGAGCAGGAGCGGAATCACTTATCAATTATTTGCGTCTTGGCGATTCTCTGTGACAAAGTCTGCAAAATATATATACGCAATAATTAAACACATGCATGTGTATTGAATATAATGTTATATATATGTATGTACATGTATGTTATGTACATTATTCAGACGTAGCGTATAGCTAAGAGAAAAGGTGTTCAAAAGCGAAAAGAAAATGGCGGCGACAGACTTGAGCGTCGACGACGGGGTCAGGTAAAGAAAATTTAAAGACACACATAACTACATATGTGTGTATGTATACTATATGTGCTTATTTAGATAACAAACCACTTGTTTGTTACTTACCACTAACTTATTGTAAGTTTTACAATGTACTACACGATTATATTTTAATTTTCCTTGCAGTGGCACTTTTACTTCCAACACTCTGCGGTTCTCAATTTATGTATGTATTCGTCAAGAAAAAAAGTGTGATGACATGATGATGGAAAAATATCGATACCAATGCGCCTAACACGATTTATCGATGGCAGCATTATATATTGCTTACATTTTATTTTTGTAGCAGGTATAGTGCTTAAATATTATTCTTAATTGATTTCAACAAAACCGCAGCGTCGGTTGACAATTTTGTATTGTTTACAAGTCGAGTTTTGACCAAATAAACCATTTATCAAAAACCTTGCTCATCCCTAAGTTTGCCGATAGTTAGCCGGTAAGCCGATCAAAACAAGTACGAATAATTATTGGCGCCGCTAACAATGTGCCCGTAAATTCAAATCACACAAAGTAATCTATTCCAAATATTAAATACTAAATAATGGAAAACATATTTCGAAGATGGTTATCAAATCAAAGAAATATTAAAAATGCAAGCAAAACTGCCACTTTTGGTCTCTTTTCCTTTAGTAATTTATTTTTGGAACTGTTTTTATTATTTGAATAATATTGTACATTTTTTAACTTTTCCAATAGATGGTATTTTCGCACAATGAAATTGGTATTTTACACATTTTGGACAGTTTGTAATTGGGAACGCTTGGTCTCATTAGAGCGAATAAATTTTTAATCAATTTCCTGGCTTCGTGCGGAGTCGTCAATACGAAAATTAGCGGGTGAGTTAAATTAACCCTCAATTCATAAAGAAAAATATGACGTCAAAGATAGTGTGTATTGTCAGCAGCGGCTGGTGCTGTCAATATTATCAGACCACAGCTGAATAGAATATATTGATTTATTTTGTCTTGTTTGTGAAATTAAATAAATTTGTAAACTTCTTTGTGTCGTTAGTTCTTGAGTAACTTTTATTTGCCCTTAAAGATATAAGCAATAAGTAGATATAATCAAATAGTTTTCAATCATATTTAGTAAAAACAATTATGAAAATAATACAACATATTGAATATAACACCCTCTGATAATGGTTTGAAATCATTTCTAGACTTTTCGACGTATCCCAATGAATCAGAACAATATGATACTCTCAGGTGATTCAAAGCTGGATGAACAAATAAACAATTGGCGTCAATGGGACGGTAATCCACAAACACAGAATGAAATTTCGAAGGCCGTCGAGAACAAAGAGTGGGATGCGTAAGTGAAATGCAAACGAATTCGATGCACAGAAACCTGATAACAATTGTAAATGCATGAATAGGCTCAAATCGCGGCTATGCATCCGTATCAATTTCGGGACGGCCGGCTTACGGGCTGAAATGCGAGCTGGTTTCGATTCCATGAACGATTTGGTCGTTGTGCAGTAAGTTTCCGTTAAGTTAAACAAATGTGTACGCATAGAGCATTAAAAGTCTATTCTTTTTGTGAATTTCAGAACCGCCCAGGGACTGTGTGAGTATCTGAAGAACCAGTATCCTGACAAGTCGACGTGGTCCGGCCGTGGCATTGTCATTGGCTATGATGCTCGTCATAATAGCAAACGTTTTGCAGAGCTATCGGCCGCTGTGTTTTTGTGCGGAAAATTCCGTGTTTATCTTTTTAAGCAATTTGCTGCCACGCCCATTGTGCCATACACAATCAAAAAGCTTAATTGTTTGGCTGGTGTGCAGGTAACTGCGTCGCACAATCCCAAGCAGGATAATGGCTATAAGGTATAGTACGGTTCTCTTATATTTCTCTGAATACCAAGTATACCAATTATATACATATAATATATGTTGCAGGTTTATTGGAGTAATGGTGCCCAGATCATTTCACCGCACGATACTGGCATCCAGGAGTCCATACTTAACAACTTGAAGCCAATGGAGGATTACTGGAGTGTAAATGAGCAGGCATTGTGGTCGAAGCCACTGTTGAGCAATCCTTACGATAAAGTAGTGCCAGCCTATTTCGAGGCGTTAAAGGAGGAGATCCCCAGTTCATTTATACAAGCTAATGACGAGTGTCCGTTGAAATTTGCGTACACCCCAATGCATGGCGTTGGTTATCCATATGTGGAGGAAGCCTTCAAGCAAATTAATCTCAAGAATGTGTGCCTTGTGCCTGTGTCGGAGCAGGTTGAACCCGATCCGGAGTTCCCAACGACGCCAATGCCAAATCCCGAAGAGGGTAAGCAATCGCTGGACTTGGCCATTAAAACCGCAACTGAGGAAAATTGTCAAATCATATTGGCTAACGATCCGGATGCCGATCGCCTGGCAGTCGCCGAAATCAGTGATAATAATAAATATAAGCTTTTTAGCGGCAACGAACTGGGTGCACTGCTCGGCTGGTGGTCAAAACAGATCTACAATATGAAGGAACCACATGGAGATATATCGAATTGTGTCATGATCGCCAGCACGGTCAGCTCAAAGATACTGAAATCCATGGCTGCCGTCGAGGGTTTCATCTTCCACGAGACACTCACTGGTTTCAAGTGGATGGGCAACAAGGCCATCGAGGAGGAGTTGGCCGGCAAAAAGGTACTGTTCGCATTTGAGGAAGCCATTGGATTCATGGTCTCCACAAATGTGGTGGACAAGGACGGTGTCAGCGCTGCGGCACATGTGGCCACAATGGCCCGTTACCTGCGCTGCGAGAAGAGCATGACGCTGCAGGATAAATTGCGAGACATTTACGAGACGTACGGCTACCACACAAGCATCTGCTCCTATTGCATTTGCCGCGACCAGGTGCTGATCAGGAAGATTTTCCAGCGCCTGCGTACCTTCGACAATGGCAAGGAGAACACTTATCCAAAGAGCATTCTAAATGGTGAATTCGAAATCGAACACGTTCGCGATCTGACAACCGGCTACGACAGCAGCACAGCTGACAAACGGGCCACGCTGCCGGTGAGCTCCAGCTCTCAGATGATAACGTTCACCTTCAAGAATGGCCTCGTTGTCACACTCCGCACCAGCGGCACTGAGCCAAAAATGAAATATTATGCCGAGATGTGCGGCAAGCCGGAAGATCAGTGCTGGGATGTGCTCACAGCAACACTCAATCGCATGGTCGAGGCCATTGTTAACGAGTTCTACGAGCCCGAGAAGAATCAACTGCAACGCAAATCGGCTGACTGAATGAACTTAATGAATATACCCAACGAATTTGACCGCACATTGTATGTTATGTATGTGAACGAATCCCAGTTAATAACACAACCGGATTGAAACACTACTCCAAACCAAATACATTTTTATATAGGCACAAAAGTGTTGATTTAGTCATTAACTGATATATTTATATATGTTACTAACGAATATCTATGTGTATATGTATGTATGTATTAGCACAATATTTATGCGCAAAAACAATAAACTTTTCCATCAGGCACAAGCAAAACAAGGAAATGCGTTATAATCAGGGTTTCGCTATCCGTCAAGCTTATCAAAGATAATACGTAAAAAAAAGCCAATGACTAAAATCTTTTCCATAAAGAGGTGTATTTTAAAACCATTTCACATGCTACAACGTGAATGTCACAAGCCCTGTGACCAACCCGGGGTGCAAAACGAAACAAATGATGTTTCGCATGGTCTGATAACAGTTTCAGATTAGAGGTGAAAGATTAACAGATGGCGCGAGTATTGCCCCCGGGGGGTCTCTTAGAGATTGCATAAAGTAAACAAACAGTGATGAAGAGAATTTCGCATTTATTTATACAGCTTTAATGTTTAATATAAATCTATAAATATGCATTCCAAATTTCAAATTGCTCACATTTATTGCTAAAACAAAAAAGAGGTTGTCACAAAAAAAAGCAATTAGCTAGAAAAGGTAGTAAAGACGGCAAAATAAAAGAAGGTTCTCTACGTAGTTTGTATGTGTAATGTGTATATATGATTTGTTTTTGTTGTTTATAGTATACAATAAATATGTATGCATGTATATGTATCATGTGAACGTATTCGAATATTTGTTTTTTTTTTTAATACGCTTTAAGTACTTATCATTAATAAAATTGTTGCTTTTTGCATTTAATTTCATTCTAAAAAATATTGTGCTTCAGTGTTGCTATGCACAGAATATTCGAGTAGTACAAATATATGTTGGCAATTTTAGTGTATATATAAAATGCATTCATTGTTAGCAGTCTCTTGCTTAAGTTAATGTATTTGTCACAAGTTACATTCGAGTTTGAGTTTGAGTTTCGAGTTGAGTGTCCCTCACACAACTGGAGATTGGAGCATTGGGCAACTGATTCGTGTTATTTATATTCAAGCTTAAAATGTACTTATGAACTCTTGGTGCGTTCGCTCGAATCACGCCAACAGTGTCATCATCAACATTTAAGAAACATTCGCGAAACACTCTTGGCGCAAATCTGCACACAAATATCTATCAATTTTGTAGCCCACAACCATCAGACGTCTGGCAAATGGAATAGCATTGTTTAGGGACTATGTTGTACTTAGAACTAATGTGATATTTTCTAAAAATAATAATTATGCATTATTGCTATAACCAAAAAGGCAGTACAATTTTAAGCTGCTGTAGAAAATTGATTTTGTTTTTGGGGTGCGCCGAAGCAACATACTTATGAATAATACTTTGGGAACTTGTAAGTCAGTTTGTAAGTCATTTCAAGGGACGTGTGATATGTGTGCGTTGGCTTAGGATATTCCACTGGGCTTGAGCATCGTAAACATAAACGTAATCCTATATACATCTGCTGGCCATAAGTATCAGTATATCAGATTACGATACAAAATAAAACTTACAAAAATATAATAGAAAACTAAGAATTATGATTCGCCCAGCAATTTACAATATTCTTTAGCAACTCCTTAATCGGATTTTAAGTCACAGTGTTCGCTCGAAAAAATGCATTTTACAAATTAGAATTATTAATTAGTTTGTATGTTTTGCAAACATTTGATTAGGTTTTTAATGATTTCTATGGAGCAACTTTGAAAGGCTATTGAGAACAATTTTGATTTAAAGCATGTTGACATTAATAAATCTCGGTAGATCTTTAAAGTCGGTCTAAAGAAATCATTTAAACTAAAATATAGTATATTAAAATAGACGATTTTCGAAAACTAGCAAGCGACCACTGCAAAATATGATATGAATATATGAGTATAGAATGTAATCAGTTGGAATATACCCAAATTATAATACCGATTAAACAGCGCTTTCATATTGACATGGAGTATCAGACAAACACATGCAAATACGAGGATTGCGTTTGATTGCTGTGCGTCGGCGTGATCATTGGCGGTGTTCTCGGCTGGTGATGGTGATGATGGTGTCATACGGATGTCTCTGAATTGAGCTTTAGCACAAATTTGTTGCTCTTGGGATCGACGACCTCCTCGGCCAGATTGAAGTGTGGCAACTTGTGCACAGTGACCATCAGCGATACATCGTTCTGTATTAGCTGGAACGTGCACTCGTTGCTGATGGGTCGCGATACGATATCGTCACAGATGAGGGACCACGACTGCACCCAGCGTCGCTCCTTTTCGCTCTGCATAACCGGCGACTCTGTCAGATAGGGCTCCAAGAAGGCGCGCGGTGACAGATCGTGCTTCAGGCAGTGCGCCAGATGCTTCAGAATGCTCTCAAATGTGTGACGCGGCTGCTGACGGGTTACACGCAAATATTTCTGCAATGCACGCGCCATCGATGGGAAGACAGCCTGCGCCGCTTCCTGTGGATCCAACGGCAATGCCGGTGCCGGTTCATTGTGTATGCGTTTGATGTGGGTGAACGCCTCCTCAGCGGCGGTGATGAGACGTGCTCGACGCTTCTTCACGCGACGCTCGTACTCGTGCTCCTCGTAGAATCGCTCGTTATGCGAAGAGTCGCGTCGCCGCGCATTCGCAGCCAACACAGCGCGACTTTGACTCTGCTGCTGCGAGTTGCTCACGCCGTCCACATCGTAGTACTTGAAGCTATTCGAGATTTTGTTGCGCTGCGACTTTGAGATGGAGATGGGTATGCGCTCCAAATACGGATTAAAGATGGGGAAATCGACGTAGTAGTGCTGCAGCACCCAGACAGCGGCACGCTGAATGCTCAGCTGACCAAGCATGTAGGAGCGTGAGATGCCATCCGGCGAGCGTATAATCTTCACGTAGTAGCTGGGCTGCTGATGGCGCAGCTCAAGTAGCACCACTGCCACATAGTGTATGAAGAGCAGCGTGTCCACAAAATTGGTGGCATAGGCGACCAGTGACTTATAGTCGACGGCATCGCCGCCAGTTTCGACCACAATCTTGGCGCCATTCGTCACCTGCACGATGTAGAAGAGCCAATAGGCGAACGTGCAAATGGTGACCAGCAGCAACACAATGGCGCGATACAGGAAAATCCTCGGCATGCTCGCCGCTGTACGTCGCATGAATACAGCCCACAAGCCGATGGCCAGCAGCAGGAGACGGGCAGCCAGCGAGACAAGTTGACCCTTGCATTGTTCGCTGCATGCGAGCAGTTGGGTGCGCACCGTTTGCGTCAATTCCGGATGATCGAAGGCCGATGGAAAGAAACCAATGTATGGCATGACGACCATGGCAACGGGCGAAAAGAATGCCGCACAGCCGAGCAGAAAGTAAAAGGTCGACTCCACATAGCGCCGGCAAGCAAACCCAAAGCCCTTGTCGTTCTCACGATGCCACATATTGTTGATGTCCTCCATGGATATGCTCTGCTCCGATGTGTTGCCCGTCACAGCTGTCGTATTCTCACCCCAATTCTCATCCTGCGGCAGAATCTGCACCTCAATCACCTCCTGGCCGTCGCGCGACTCGTCACCTGAGTGGGCAATATTGAGCCTAATTATTGCAATTAATTGTACAATATTTGTTCGCTTACCTGTCATATTTACGCTGGTCTGATAGGGTGCCATGTTGGCCCCCTTGCCGCCGGCAGACTTGGAGGAGTGCGTGCTGCGATGCGAGTGACGCGAACGATCTCGATGATAACCGTTGTTTACAGTGCCACCACCACCACCAGCAACACCACCACTACCAGTGCCAGTACCACCACCACCAACACCACCTCCGCTGCTATTGTTGTTGTGATTGCGAGAGCGTCGCGAGCGTCCACTGTGTTCCGACTTGACAGATTCGTTTTCCATTGCAGGAAATAGATGCAATTGGAAGGGCGCGTGGGCGTCGTCGTTGCAGTTGACGGCGCCAACTGAACTCTCGCAAATCGCTTTGGCTGCTTAATTAACTAAACCAAACTGACCGATCGTGTTGCTATTTTAGTGTCTACTCTAACTGTATTTACGGCCGACTGGCAGCAGGTTTTCTCATATGTATGCGTGTGTTTATTTGTATGTGTGCGTGTGTGTGTGTACATTCATAGGTATTTAGTATTTAGTGCAATAAATGGTGCGAGGGGTGGAGTCGAAGCGCCGTTCTGCCACTGCAACAGCGCATTGAACGCAATTGTCCGCAATGCGTTGCGTTGCAAACTAATATTTAAAACTAACGAGGCAAGGCGTTCACACTTTTACACGAACGCATGTTGCTTTTATTGATATTTTCACTACACATCTTTGTGATTTTATTTCACTGACGTTTTACTTCAACCCCGACCAGAAAGAATGGCAGCCAGTGTCACCACACCAACTCCACGTTTTCAACACACACGCACACAATTGACATTTGACGTTTTGCAACACTGGTGTGTCAACAATTGCTTGGCGTTCTCTTGGCATTTATTAAGCGATATTTGGCCCAGCCGCGATATGTGCCTTCGATAGCTCAGTTGGTAGAGCGATGGACTGTAGTGAGAAATTTTCTTGTTTTATCGTAGATATCCACAGGTCGCTGGTTCGACTCCGGCTCGAAGGATTTTCCTTTTTATTATTCTTCTTACTTTAATAGACACATAAAAATATATATATTCCTTTTTACTTAATAATCTATAATTATGTACACGCTAGCATGCAGCAATGCTTGAGAGCAACTGCCTCGCTTCTTGATTGGCTGGATCCATGCGAATTGCGCTCTGAATTAGCTTTAAAGACTGGGCTTTGTCCACCGGTTTTAGTGCACGACAGGCAAAAATTGTCGATTCCGCTTGCTCGCTGGCCCCGATGCTAATAATTACAATAAATTAATGGAATTTATTACATAAATATGGAGCCGATGATCATACCTTGTGCCCAGGTGGATGTGTCCCAACTTGAGCGCAATCAAAGCCATGTCAGATATGACACGCTGATAGTTTGGATCATTTTGGAAATAGTCCAACAGAAACTTGACAAAGACCTTGCGGAGCGATGGATTGTGGGGAAACATGCGTACTCGCTTCTGTAAGTAATCAATGGCCTGGCGAAGACCCTCCTGTTCCAGTAGAAAATAAATATAGCTATTATCAGATTCGACTTGACAAACTTGATATGCTGCTTACACTAATTAAATAGTGGTGAGCCACAATGTAGGCAACATCGGCGCAGTGCGTCTCGTTGAAGTGATAAGAATTGAGCTCAGACATAATCGTCTGCACCAAATTCTTGTCCCCATGAAGCACACCCAAGGCACAAGCTGAGAACAATGCCTGAATTGGTACGCTCTTTTGTTGTACACTGAAAGAGGGAAACAAAATAGGTTTAGATTTTCATGGGGGGTTATGGAATGGGGGCTCTGGTGTAACTACCATTGACTCAGTAATGTTTTGGTATCCGTTTCGCCTTGGTAGGCATAGAGCATCGAGGCCATGGCAACCAAAATGGTTGCTATCTTTTCATCGTCCTGTTCGACAACTGTGTTGAGTACAGATTCATAAATCGAATACGATTCCTGCAGGTGACCAGTTCGATAATAGGCCAAGGCTAAGCCAATTATGGGCTTAAATGTGGCATGGGTGACAGTGTTAAGGGCACTGACCGCCTGCTCAGGCTGGCCCAGTTTCAAGTACAGATAGCCAAGGTTCGTATAAAGCTGATCCCGATCAGCACCTGGCTCGCACTGTTTGCAGGCGCGTGTAAATGCATTGATTGCCTGCTGATAGAGTTTCTGGCGTGCGCACAAGAATCCCTGGAAGGTGAGCGACGACACGCTGGCCTCCGCCTCCTCGTTTTGCACATACCTACGGAAGGGAAAGGAGCTGTGTTAGCAAAGGTTTACAGTTTATGTATCAATAACAAACCAATTGATGGCATCCAAGGCATAGATGTCCGCATACATGTGCTCGAAGGCGTGCTTGTTGTGGGGCTTGGCCCGAAGGGTCGCATCCGAGAGTACATGGCAGACCCAGTGCGCATAGCCGAGCGCTGCCTCCGGATGATATTCGAACTGCTGGCAATGCCGGAACAAATCGAAGGCCTCCTCATGATCGCCAATTGTCTCAGCAATCAAGGCCTGACCAATCCACGCATTTGGATATATGGGATGGGATTGTTGGGCACGCTTAAAGGCCTCGTTGGCCAACAGGATGTTGCCCAGCTTTATGTACAGCACACCCAGGTTCGTCCATGCTGTGTAGGATTTGCGGTCCAGCATCAGTGCCTGAATTAAACAATGCTGCGCCATGGGCAGATTCTCGCTGGCGGAGTACATATTGATAACGCCCAACAGATTCCAGTTTTGCCAGCGATTACTGTGCTCCTTGATGGCCATTTTGCATACCTTGGCAGCGGTCTCCAGATGACACTTGGCATCCTCCGGCATGTAGATGGCGCTGTAGTAACTGCACACCGCCAATTCGTACCACAAAAACGTGTCCTGCTTTAGCTTTAAGGCGCACAGATAAAACTTTTGCGCCAGCTGCAACAGATCCTTGCGTGATAGGTATGCAATCTCCTCCTCACGCTTGGCCAAGCTGCCAGCAACATCCAAATTCGCCAAGGATTGGGGCAGCTGTGCCGTCTGCACCATGACGCTGGCCGTTAGACGCCACAGCCAAATCATGCCCTGAGCCTTGGTATGCAGGAAGGCGCTGTGTTGTTTGAAGAAGCAAAGTTTGAAACAATGGAATATACGTATATATATATATAATCGTTATGACCTTTGGAGTTGTTCAATTGCCAGCTGAAAATTATCCTTGGCACGTCCGTAAAGATTCTGCGCCTTCATGTTGATAGCCAGGCCAATGTGTGCCTCCGCGGCGCCTCTCAAGGCAGGCAGGTAATTTGGATGCTGTTTGAGCAGCTCATTAAAATCACTGATTGCTTCGGGATACATGCGAATGGTCTGCAAATCATAATAAAAATATATCATGTGAAGCAAATCTACTTTTTTCACAGTTTAATTACCGTCTTCATGAGTGCTATTTGTAGTTGTGCATAGCAATTCAAGGGCGACAGTTCGAGTATTTTTTGAAAGACGCGTATGGCTGAATTGTAGGAACCACGTGCCGCATAAGCATCGCCCAGGGATTCCCAGTAGATCATGCATTTGCAATCATGGTTGATGGCAAGACGAAAGCATTGAATTGCCTACATTTGAAAGAAATGAATTATTCAGTTCTAATTGTAATAACTAATTCCCAATAACATACGTTATCCAATTTATTGACTTGCAGAAAATGCAATCCCAATTTGTACTGGAGGCGAATGGCATCCTCGCTGTTCAAGTGACGCACAGTGTTTAGCAACAGGGCCTCATTGAGATCCTCCTCGCCCAGCTGCTGATAGATGGAGCTCAGTGCGTCCACGGCCTGTTCGTTTAGCGCATTGAGACTGAGGCACTTCTCAAAGCATTTGCGGGCACGGGAAATGTCGCCGCTCGCCTGATACAAACGGCCCAGATGCTCAAAGCATTCGGAGATGTGCGGCTGCAGTCGCGTTGCCCTAAGCATGCAGTTGAGTGCCTCAGCATGATGCTGCAGCATCATGTGCAGTTTGCCACACAAAAGCAGCGCCTCAAACGATTCATTACCTGCCATTGCTTGCAGACCTTCGGTGGGAGATCTGAATATGCATTATAAATATAAACATATATTAAAATTCAACCCGTAAATCATTGTCTTAAGCTTACAGTAAATATTCGGCACGTGTAACCTCATCCAGTAGCAGAGACTGCAACTTCTGTGTCTCTCCCAGCTTAAAATAGCACCTGCAGATACAAATTTGTGTAAGACAGCAAGATTGAAGTTGATTACTGACCGTGCCAGAGCCTTTACATTTGTGTCGTCCGCATTGAGTAGTGTGACCGCTTCCTGGAGCTTGGCAACATTCTTTTCGTAGGACAAACACAGCGCATACTCTGCACACTGCTCGTCCAGGTCTTGCAACAGCAGCAGCGCCATTCTGTGCGCACCCAATCTCATGTGGATGCGTGCCAGTAATTTGCGAGTAATCCTATATGTTGGCTGGTATTCCAGCGCTTGCTGCGCTAACTGGCGTGCCGTAATATACTGCGCCTGGTCATACAAATCCAGTGCCTTAACGAGCAGTGCCAAATTTGATTTGGGATTCAGCACTAGCAGCTGATCGGCGTACTTTTGAATGGATGCATGCAGTTCGCGCAGCCACGTCTCATTATCCGCCTGGTCATAGTTCTCACAGTAGGTCTTGCATATCCATTCGTAGCCGTAAACATCACTCGGATGCGACACTGTCATATTGCAGGCGTTCCTTATGCAGGATTCAAAGTCCTGTTGCTTGTAGAGCCACTTAAGATACCGCTTATAAACCAGGCTCTTCACATCTGCATCCCCCGTTGTCAACAACTGATCCATGCTCGACTTGTGCTAAAATCAAGATCAAGTTATTATTGTTAAGCTGTTTAAGGAGCGTAACCTAATAAACTTACAAGATTGCTGTCTGCTGGCGTTAGCTCGATATCCTGGGAAAGCCATATTCTGCCCAAATATTCTTGTATTTTATTGTGATTGCTGTCATCGGCATTTTGCGCTCTTCTCTTGAATATGTTTAAACAGGCCGACGACAGCGCAGCATTTGCTGCCAGTGCATAGAGCTTTTCGTAGTAGTCCAAGCATTTTTCCCTGCAATTATATGATTTGTGTTATATATTAAGTATCAACTGCTGTAGCTAATAAATGTACGGTATTAAATCCAAAAGCTGATCATAAATATCGGGCAGCTCCTCCGTTGGCGCACAATTTGCTAGTCCTTGGAGGGCAACAGTTGCCGGTCCCTCAGTAAACTCAATGGACTTTCGCAGGTACTTTGCCGCCTCGGTCTTGTCAACATTTTGGTAGGCGGCGCCGAGCAACAAGTAACCCATATAATTCTTTGGCTCACTTTTGAGTAATCGCTGCAAAAAACGTCAGATTAGCAACAACAAATACAAACAACTTTGCTAGGCATAATTAGTCACTTGGCACTTGTGTATGGCATCACTGTGCTTGGCCAACTTTATGGTTTCGCGTATATCCTTGATCAGGGCTTTTGTTTCCTTTGTACTCATTGTTGATGTATGTGAAATGTTCTTTTTTATTTTGGTTTAGTTGAGTAAAGAAATAAAATCCAGTGTGACCCCACGAAAATATTATATACCAACAATACGCTGAATTACGGACCGAGCTTAAGATACCCTTGTGGTAAATTCAACAAGTGAGCATTGACCCTTATCCAATAAGATTATGGGTTTGGATTTAAAAAATATATATATAAATGTATGTGCTAAAATTTTTAAACAGCATCCAAAGAAGTAATTTATTGTTTTCGTTCTTTCATTTTTTTTTGCTGTCTTGCAAATATCTACAATTGTACGATAGGGCAACACTGATTGCCATACGGAAAAGTGTTGGGAGTTTCAAAAAACAAGGAAAATGCGAAAGTACCAACAACTGGCCCTTTTGCTCATATCCTGCTTCAGCGTGGGCATCCTGTTGATGTACAAGACCGAGAACAATCGCCTCAAATATGTGTTAAAGTATGTGAACTTCTTTGGACGCAATGATGCCGCCGCCTTGCGTCGTCTGCAGAATGGAACTGGCTCCGAAGATGAACACCACTGGTCCAAGTCGGTGTTCTCCAAGCCGCTGCCAGTTTGGCAGCTGATTGGGGACTCTTTTCATGCTTACTCTGCTTACTGGTATGTTGGAAAATGTTTTATAATTGCATTCCATAATATTAAACAAAAATGGTTAGGAAACGGAATGAGCTGGTCGCTGGCGGAGAGGCGCACATTATCGTTGTGGGTAGGCAGGGAGCCGTTGTCGACTTTCGCTGCAGCTTTGATGTGGGCGGACGAAGTGTGCAGGGCAAGTTTCGATTCCAACGGGATGCCTCCGAGGGCGTGGTCGATGACAAGGGCACTACATTCACCAACTACAATTTCTTCTGTCAAGTCAGCCGCAATTTTGGCCAGCCCGAGTATGTCTCCTTCAGCGATACGACGTCGCCAACGAAACGGCAGGTCAAGTTACGACTGCGACACTTAAAACCTGTGGCGACCGACAGCAAAGCGACAGACACCAAAGCGACAACAGCTTCAACTGTGCATCATGTTCATCCCCTGCCGGCAACTATCTGCGTTGATTTGGTCAGCTTTAATTTGAGCTCGCGATTTGCACGCAACACGGATGCACTGCTGCAATTCTTTATCTTCCACCAAGCACTGGGTGTCGAGCACTTTTTGGTCTACAACTACGATGAGCTGCCGGAACAGGTTGTACGCCTTTTGGACAACACCAATATGCATATCTATGGACTTCCCTTCAACTTTCCGTTCCTGCAAACAAATACGACAGCTGCTCGCATCCGACAGCTACTCCAATCGGATTGTCTGTTGCGCAATGTGAACTATGCCAGCTTCACCATGTTGCTGACACCCAATGAGCTGGTGTTTCCAAGTACACGATTCGCTGGTGGCATGGCGAAGGGTTCGCTGCAACAGCAGTTGCGTCACTACTCAACGGAGACATCCCGTTTCGAGCTGGCCACTTTTGCTGTGTGCTTTGACGAGCAGAAGAAGTTGCTCATTGACAACGTTCAGTATGATCCCGAAGTGAAGGCACTCTACAAGTTGCTCCTGTATCGTTTGGAACTGCCGGCGGCACAGCTACTACTGCCAACGGCGACGAGCGTTGAACTGCCATTGTCCAGTGGCTTTGCGCATCGCTACATAGACTGCCAGCATGTGGGAGGAGATGGCCTCCACGATTGGCGCAATGGTGTGCGCCAAGATCTGATGGACCATATCAATGTATTGCGCAACGAGGTTGATCTACTCATTTAAATGTTACGTCTAGGATAAGTAGGCATCCAAGTTAGATTAAGCACGACTCGACTAGACTGCCATAAAAGCAACCAGCATTAGCCTTGCACGACAACTTGCCTCCAGCGGACAAGATTTATATATTGTAATATAATAAATAGACAATTATTTATCATCGAATTGGCAATACAAATTATTATCGAATGCCATTTGAATGCACCATATCCAATAGTATTATTATTATTATTTGTGTTATATGTAGTATGTGTTTGTTTATCGTGATCCTCCATGTTTACTTGAGGCGCTGCATCAGCGCAGCATTCTTGAGGCCCGCCTTCTCAATGGTGGAACTGTCATCGCTCAGCTCACGTGTGGGAAACGATGACACCAGCACAAAGTTGCTATTCGAGTACTGAGGACGAGCGCTGCAACAGGAGTATCATTGAATGACTAACTCAAAAACAAATAAACATGTGATTTTCTATGAAAACAATTACGTTTGGATGAAACGTCGAATGTCCGAGACGGTGTGCGTCAAATTGAATTGAGCCGCCAAGCGTGAGCCATCTGCCAAACGTATTTGGACTGTGGTCAGAGGAGCTCCGGCATTCAAATTTAAAGCATCACGTGCACTAGCCTCCTGTTTAGCTACATCCTCGGGAGCGACAGCAGCAGCGGCTGTGGCGTCTGACGGTGTATTGGTGACAACATTGGCCACCGGACTGCCCAGTTTCTGTCCGGATCCTTTAAACGTTTGTGGCGCTGCCTGGCGCTTGAAATCCTCATGTCTATGATCCTCCACATCGACATTCACCATACGTCCCATTTCCAGTAGCTCTTGCGGAATTTCCCTTAAATAACGAGACTTGAAATGAGTCAATTGTGCTGAAGTAAATGGTCAGTTGCTCACCCTCGCATAACCGTCTCGAGGAACTCCTTGTTTTGTGGATCATCGTAGTGGCGCAGCTCGCCGCCATCAATTGAGAAGCCTTGGCTCCACAGCTTAAGTACTACGACCGGCTTGTTCTCAGACAACTGTGCGGTTCGATTGGTACCCACAGCCGTGTGATCATTGTCCGTCATGCCCAGACGCATGCCCTGGCCCCAAACACTGCCGCCACTGGGATTCCCTGTGCCGCTGGTCGATGGACCTGCACCCACTTCGGCAATATTCTGCTCCTGAGCGGAGCGCATCATATCGGTGAGCTGTTCGCGAAAGTTCTTCTTCTTAGCCGGACCCAATACCTGCTGACCAGAGCGATCGGAGCCGCCGGCGTAGAATGCCTGATGCTCATCGTCGCTGGACGACTGCGTTGACATGTCGCTTAGCGTGGCAAACCTAAAGCCAAGACAAAGTCAGTTGCATTCTATACACTAGTAAAAGCAACATGTACGCTCACTTTGGTTTAGCAGCTGACGCCTTTGGTGGAACACTACTTGAAGCCGGCACAGCTTTTGTTTCCGGGGCAGCTGCACCGAAGGCGCCGGCACCAGTTGATGTTGTTGCCGGTGTCGGGTTGTTCGACTGTCCGCCGGCAGTTGGATCGGCAACGGGTAGGTCTGACTGTGTGGTCCAGTAGTTGCCAAGTGATTGCTTATATCGCAAATTGCGACAAAACAACGTTTTATATTTTTAATCTTTCTTTGTTGTTAACTTGTTTTACGTTAAGTTTACCTCAATGTCCCAGTCGGAGCTGTTCAAGTAAAATTTGGCAGTTGTCTCATCGGTGCCAGTGATTTCAATAAATTGTGCAACTAGATCGCCGCGAGCGGCCATTTTATCGATTTTTTAATGTAGTTTTCGTTCCCGAAACAAAATAAATTACAAAGCTAAGTAGACGATAATGATAGACAAAAAATCAGTGTGACTCTAAAGAAAAATTATTCTCGCCAGTGCATTACTATTTATTTACACTAAACGGGCTAAATATGCCCAACACATGGTTGCAATAAACAAATCGATGACGCCAAGTGCTGTTATCACCTTGCAGCAGAAAGACAACACTGGATCGAGCTTAAGATAAATATAACGTTCAGTTTATTGGTTTTTATCATTTACATTTTATTAAATATTAACTAAATAACAATAGCTATTATAAAGCGGAGTATCCAATAGCGTTACATCACCCACCGATTTGCGTATTAAAAGTACAAAGTTCATGCTTTTATTTAGTTTGATTCTTTCTGAAAATATAGATCATCGAGATACAATGTAGAAATCAAACAATATAATATAATATATATACGTTTGTTGTTGTTATGTGTTTTCGAATATATATATTTGTGTGTATGTGTGAATACCAAGTTAATTTCAATCTAAACGCAGGATGGTTGTATGCTTAACGCATTCCACTTAATACATACATTATTTAGTGCAATGCAAAACCCAACTAATACAATATTCTAATACTAAAAATGCTTTTGCATTTACGGCGAACAATTCCATATGTATATGATAAAAGTCCAATTGGCTCATGTTGATACACGATTTAGTTCCGCAATTGATGTAATTGGTTTTAGCGCAACAGCTTGCCCTAAAATTATGTATTTTAGTTGTGTATGAATTGGAATTTATGGGTGTGTTATATTTATGTATATTTTTGATTGAAGTGGTGTGTATTTTTGTTGTGTTGTTGTCCAGAGATATAGTGTATTCGTAGGAATGATATGCATGTAAAATAATTACATTGATTAATACTGGGCACAAACAATCGCTTGGCTATGTTTGCAAAATATACCTTCCTTACCTGAAGATAATAGTTGACCAAGAAAGTCAGACCCACGCCAAGTCCAGCGGCAATAACATGAGACAGATACAAATTGGGCAGTGGGCGTCGTTTGCGCAACAGGAATGAGAGCAGCGAACTCTTACGATCCGAATACGGCGGATAGCGTGCTCTAAAGAAAAAAAAAACGAGGATTGCATTGCCAGATGATAGGCACAACGAGTACTTGTCGTATACTTACGACGCCATCTTCTCGCCCAGCAATGCCAGATTCTTGCCCAGACATGATTTCTTGTGTGTGAACGTGTCAAATCCATATTTGCCATGATAGGAGCCCATGCCGCTTGTACCGACGCCTCCAAAGGGCAAGGTATCAACTGGGGAAATGGGAAGTCCAGAATGTTATTGACAAATCGTATCGCTTAAATGTATTTGTTTAGTTACTTAATTGTGTTAGTTAATGTTGTCTATTTTATTTGCACACCAATTCCCAATTTGTTAATTAAATGTTCGCACTTTTGCAAATCGTTTATTAAGCAAGTATTAAGCAAGCATTTCAAATCACGAAAAGCCAATTAAACAATCAATTCAACCCCAAATTTGTTAATTTCCAGAAATTGCAAGTTTTGTTCATACTTATAAATTTTGTCTTTTTGGGGAGGGCCTCAGTCTATGTCCCTTGGCCTCTTTGTGGGCGCTCAATTAAGCAAATTGTGCTTTTCGATTGACAGTTAATAATACCCAATTCAAAAGTAATTGCCAATGTTTAAGTAACTGTGCTAGTTTTCAAGTGCATAAGCATTAATTGAAATACCAATATAATTGCATATCAATTAAAACGAACAAAACACTGTACAAGGTAGTTAAACTAGAAATATATACCTCCACAGTGCATGATAGTCTCGTTGCTGCAGAATCCGCCGCTTGATGTGTTTTTCTTGAATTCATTAACTAGCTTTTTAGAGTTTGAGAACACGTAGAGTACAAGTGGTTTTTCCCTATTTTGTTGGGTAGTAGTTGGGAAAGATGTGGAAAACAATTAAGATACAAATATGCTACATTGATGAACAATATCATCTGACTAACTAACAACACACATAAATCGAATAACTACTCAACACACAAAAATCGAAAAAAAAGTTAATGTTATGAATTTGATGTATTACAAATTGAATGAGTGAGTGTAGGGCTTAATAACTATCAATATATAAATATTGATTGATCGAAGAGGAGCTGCACACAACTCTAAAAATAAAAAGTATTATCGAATACAGTACCGCCACCATAATATTTAAGATACTTATACTTTACTTACAAGTTTGCATATTTTAAATATTTATATAAATTGTAATTTACACGATGAGCAGGAGGCGAGAGACGGGCAACCACAACCGTAATATACAATTGTTGTAGCATAACATATGTCTAATTAGGTACTACACTTAGTTGGAGAAGTTATTTGGGGTACTTATTTTATTGTATAGTTGGTAACCGTCTCGCAAAAGACATATTTATCAATAACCGTAGCCAAATAAAATTGTTGAGTCGTAAAGCATCCATTTATTGATGTTTGATCTGAGTGTGATCGTTTGGCTTACCAGCATAATGCATAATTGTGTCGTTCACGCACAATCCTCCTGATTGTGTGCTGTTCACGAACAGATCGAGAACCTCTGTTTCCGTTGTGAAAATATACAGGACTAGCGGATTTTCTCTAATTTTTTGATGTTCAACGCGTTTTAGACAGACGACGGAAACGTTTCAACATTATTATCATTATTTTCGATGGCATTTCAGCAAAGGTTTTGCATATTTTGTGTTTTTTTTTTGTGTTTGTTTTGCTTTTGTGACAAATGACAAATGACAATGAGAAATGCAAGACTTTTGATGCAAAGTGAAATTAAATTTGGAATATATGCAACACGTTTGGCCTTCAGCTCGGCACACTGATGGACATACCTGGAATTAATGAACTTTATCGCATCGTAGGCATTCTCTACTGTGTAAATGGGCAAGATTGGGCCGAAGATCTCTTCCTCCATGATCGCATCGTCCTGCTTGACATCGACCAGTATTGTGGGCTCAATATATCGCTCGCTGGCATCATATTTACCGCCAACGGCAACGCGTCCAGACTTCATCAGTCCCAACAGACGCCTGCAAGCAAAGCCAATATGATTTTACAATACAACTTCTGGCAAATGAATCAAATTCAATTGAGTTATCTACTGGAAATTGTTCTGGTTGATGATGCGACTTAGATCCGGGCTGCTTTGAATGTTGTCGCCGTACCACTCCTTGAGTACTTCCTTCGCCTCGACTATAACCTGCTCCTGCACCTCCTTGGAGCAGAGTACGTAGTCGGGTGCAATGCATGTCTGTCCACAATTGATCAGTTTACCCCACAGTATACGCTTGACCGCTGTGCGCAGCTCCACCGACTTGTCAATGTAGCAGGGACTGTAAATGAAGACAATTAACAATCGTTCAGCGATCAATTGTGGCATGTGACGACTGCGACAACGACAACTCACCTCTTGCCGCCCAGCTCTAGAGTCGTGGGCGTCAAATTCTTGTTGGCTGCCGCATGCACAATTTTGCCAACACGCGGCGAACCCGTATAGAATATATAATCAAAGCGTTGTTTTAACAGCTCAGCAGTTTCAGTCGGGCCACCGCAGACCACGGGATAGCAATCCTGTTGGGTAACAAAAGAAAATCAACTCATTTGCATTTCAATATTATGACAGCTCACTCACATTGTCCAGATATTTGGGTATTGTTTCGGCAATGAACTTGGCACAATTGCCAGCTATCTCACTGGGCTTGAGCACCACACAGTTGCCAGCGGCAATGGCAGCGGCAACGGGAACTAGCAGCAATTGCAGCGGATAATTCCAGGCGCCAATTACGAGCACAACGCCAAACGGATCATTGAAGATTTGCACATCGTCCAGCAAATTCACAAACGATTTGTCCGGCTACGATGCAAACGAATAGTTAACAATTACTAAAGGAAATTCATTTGGAATTCCATTTGGCAACACTCACCTTTTCTGGCTTGACCCACTCGGCGAGATTATAGAGTATGTGCTTGATATCATTCTTCATGAACTCTGTTTCCACAATCAAACTCTCCTGTTTGGGTCGTCGCAAATCGGCCTCCAAGGCACTGATAATCTCATTTTCATGCTCCTCATAGCAGCGTAGCAAATTTTCCAATTGTTTGCGTCTAGAATGAACAATTAATTATTATTAAATGTGCGATTACAATCTATTATCGATCGATCATTCGTGAGAAACCTGTCATATACCAGTAATAATAATAATAATAATAATAAGCTTGTATGGCAATCTTGACATCTACAAACGGAGACCTTTACCAAACTTGATTAGAATAATATATGTATTGCATTTTTAAATAAAGCGCAGTTAGAAACACGATTTGTGTATTCTGCTTCCTTTAAGATCGATTGAGTTATGAGCAATAAAAAGTCAGTCAAACTGGCAACTAATTACAATGCAAGACAACTATATAAATATAGAAAAAATAATCTAAAGTCATCGTAGGTGCTGAGCTGCTGCTGCTGCTGCGGCTGAGTAACGTGGGGGAAGGTCAATGTTAATTTGCCGTTTCGATAATAAATTATGCAACATTTGGTTTTGGTTTTTGGGAAATGATTCTACGTTTTGTGTATGTGACGCATCAGGGCGACATCAGCTGCTCGTCTAGCCAATATTTGCCCATTATTGAAAACATATATATATATATATGGGTTGGGAGATACACCTAAAATCTAGTTGAATTAGAACTTTAAAACCGGTCTGCAAACCGCGCCGGTTTTCGTATTGGCTATTCAAAATGTTTTTTTTTTTGGTTTTTTTTTTTTTTTAGTTAATACCAGTTTGAAGGTTAGCAATAAACATTTGTTCTACATATCAGAAAAATGCTAATCTTTGAATATTTCTATTATTTATATTTCTACACATATTTTAACGTATCTAAATGACTATATGAATGTATTGCAAGGTAATCGGGGTCAAGTTCAAGTGCAATTAAAGCTGCAATTGTTTAGGTCGTTGAGAATCATATTGATTAGGTATATTAATATGAAAAGCTATCGTTGTGCATATCAATGAAGCAATTATAGTTATTAAGCGCACAATGATACGGCACAAACTCTGATATTCAACATAAATATTTAGAAACGCTTTGGCTTTGGGCGACATACGTATATATATATATTAATAAATATATATATATATATATATATATATATATATATCTAAATACCTACACACTTTATATATTTATGTATGTATTTAAGCTTAGAGATATTTCAATGCGCTTCTAAATGAGAAGTAGAAGAGGCCGCTCAGAAGGCGAAAACAATCGCAGAACTCAACACGTTTGTTCAGAGTTTATTTGAACAAGAAAAAGATCATGAAATTAAATGGCTATCAACCTTGTAGGGGGCCAAAAGATACGTCCGCACTTCCGTTTCACACATTGTGCTTAAGATACATACACATTATGTATTTATGTACATTTAACTATATACTATAGACATATCGTTTTTGTTTATTAACATATTCATTTGACTATTGTCCGGGGTTATTTTTATTTTTTTTTGCTTTTTTTACGTGTTTTGTTTTTTATTATCTGATCTGTCTAAGTACATGTTACTAAAGTAATTAGTGTAGTTTTAATTAGTCGTTTTATGGGACATTTTCTTCTTTTTAATGAATTCAGTTTGAAGTTCGCTTTATTCAAAGTACGCAAATGAAAGGCTCAAAGATCATAACCTAATTTACAATATTACAAATGGACTCTGAAAATATGCACATATGTATATATCGGGAACAATGAAAAAAAAAAGATATATATATATATATATATATATATATATAGATGGAAGAAGAGACCCTATAATTCGTTCAGACTTCAGTCGTGTGTTGCTATTTATAAATACATTATCTCTATTCGTTATCAGTGCAACCACTGCTCGAGTTCCACAGAACAAAGCTCAAGTGCGCGGAGAAAAAGCTTTCGATTTCCAGACTGAACAACTTTTGTTGTTATCCAACAACATACTTACACATACACACATACACATTTTGTGTTTCGCTTATGTACATTTCGAGTTAGTAAAAACTGTGCTACAAAGTTGCAACAGGTGTAATTTACATTACATTAATTATGAATGCAATAATGCGACGCCTGACGACCTGTTAACTAATGTTACTACTTGTACTTGTACCTGTACTGTAAAAAAAAGCAGCTTCAGCTGTTGCTCGTTTTGCCTTTGTTTTTTTTTTTTGGGCATTAACTTTGGTTACCGTTACTCACCGAAAGCTTACGTTCCTGGTCTTGCCGCTGGCAAACGCGAGACGGGCGAGCTGCAATGTCTGCGAATGGTTCATCGCAATTGTTGTTGTTGTGGTTGTTGTTGGGTTTTCACATTCGCAGTGATCAAGTTGTGTTGCGTGCAACAACACATACATCCGAAGGTATATACATATTTATATGTGTATATATGTACACATATATTTAGGAAGATAACGAAAACGAAAACAAAAACGAAAAATACGAAAAAAATCAAATAAAATCAGACGAAAAGAAGGCTTAATGTTTGTTACGTGCACAAATGTTCGTTAATAATAGTTGTTACTGTTTTTGTTGTTGTTGTGGTTGTTGTGCCCGCATTAAATTGCATGCGGCATATAAGTAATTTAGTTTATTTGCTTTACAAAATATAACATAACATTTCGCAGTTGCAGCTGGGCATCATCATCATTGATGTATTATATACTATTTATTATATACAACACTCACATCGTCGAAATTTGCCATTATGTCAGGCTGGGTTGCGGGCTCGACGTTTTCGCTTTCGGTTTCTGCTTCTGGGGAATACAAGAACACACACACACGCACACGCAAACACACACACAGACAGACAAGATTATCAAATTTTGTTTACTTTTGCGGCTCACTGGTTAACTGGACTAGCACATTCACTTTACATATATATATATATATACTTTAATATCTAACTATATAATATATAATTGTATGTATATACTTTTGCAGAGGCTGTGTGGCAGGGGCAAAACAAGCGAACTGATTCAACAAATTGACGCGCAACGCACTGGCAACAAAGCACAACCGACAACGTTCACGGCGACGAGAAGATTGAAATTGAAAACGGCGAGCAGTTGACGACTTGGGCCGCAGCCGCTGCTTTAATCGTATTCAATTCTTAAACCCGTTTCAAAACGCAAACACCGCTTGCCAACCTCTCTTGAAATGCCCCTAACAAATACAAATTGGCTCAACGAACAGCTGTTCGCTGCCGTAAACGATTTAGATAAATTTTAGTTACCGAGTCCGGGTACGAGTAACGATTACAAAGTGCGATTATTGTCAAATAGTTATCGCTTAATCATTTCATTTCGATAGTTTGTAACGTTATTTTGAAAGCTCGTTTTTCCTAATTGATATCCGAATCGAATTCAAAATAGAATATAAAATATTTTTAATGAATTTACAAAAAAAAGAAGCAAAAGTGCTAAAGCCACGTATGATTAACAATAGAATGTAGATATTAAAAACTATCAAATTTCCAGTTTGATTACCTCAGCAACACAAGTGTATCAGCACAAATGCCGGTTGGTACTGAATAAATAATGCAACCACAATAATTTCTAAGCTAAACAACGAACGTTATCAGCGAACAAAATAAATAATTATAAAATTTCTACATGTGTCTAGCGATTTCCGCTTTATAAATAGCACAGCTCTATTAAGCTATTCGATAAGCCGCAGTGGATTTCAACACTTTTAGTGTTGGGTCAACAGTTCTACCGAATATTGCCTACTAACGATGATTGGGCAGTCACAATGATGGCATAAATCAGCAATTGCAATCAGCGAACATAACAGATTACTTACCAATATCAATGACGGTTGTTCCATCGCCTGCATTTCAAATTAACACCATAGAATAAATAGTTATTTTTTATTGTTGGCATCGAAATACAAAATTTAAATACAATGAGACTTACCATTTTTCGGGCCAATAGATATTTGCTGTACTCGGCTTGTGTGATTTTCAGCCATGTTCTCAAGTTGAAACTATTTATTTATTTCGTAGTGCACGCACACAGTTTAAATTCAACAAAAACTAAAATTGAGCAAATAATAAAGTGAACATTATGATGAAAGCACTTAGCACATCTTTTATTTTGAGTCATTTTGTTTTTACGACTTCTGTTTGCTAAATGCTCTGCTTGTATTTTAATTATAGCCTGGCAGAGAGTGATAAAATTTTTAAAATATTGCATTATCTATCCTGAAGAAACCGTATGCGAATTATTTATTTACATATATCGATTTTATATATACAGTTGCCATTCTTGAAGTCACAATTAACACAATGAATTAATTACTGGGCGACACGAAGCCGGTTCCCCGAAACGAGTTCATCGTACTTGACATATGTAAACACTTATATATATATATATATATACACATCTCTACATATATATATAAGGTTTATTAACACCACATCATGACTGTTTTCAAGGTCAAGGCAGTCGCTTGTAAGCATGGCCAGCAAAGCCAGAGCCATTTTTGTGGTCTCCGATTGCATAATACGTAGTGCAAATCGTGTGACACAATTGGCGCCGGGCAACGTGCCATTACAAGCACTTTTCCAACTACTTTTCCACTTAACATTGAGCGTCGTCGCCTCTGGGCCACAATTCAATAGCAATGACTATTTCTTGATTTCACTTTCAGCAACAGCATCACGGTTATTCGAGTAGCAAGTGGCATCATTTAAGCAAAAGTGCAAAAGCACTTGAATTATTATACTATTTCTGATTAATAGATTATTAAAAGATTACGCTTATCGTCGACACTTGACAAAAAAAAAGAAACAAATAGCCGCTTATACAACCGCTAATACAAAGGCCAATTGTAAACTGAGCAGGCGTCTCGATTGATTCCATCAGCGAAGGTGGCGTCCAGTGGCGTCCAATCGATCTGCCTGATTTGCCGGAACACTGCACTCGTTTTTTGTTGTTGTTTTTTGGAATTTTTAATTTGGTTTGGATTGCGAGTGTGATTTGCGGTGTATGCTCGATTTGTATGCACAACCTGTAGCCGCTTGACGAAACCAAAATACCATACGAAAACCTATATTGAAATCTTTGAAGCACGCCCCGATACCGATACAAAAATTACCCACCAAACACCAACTATTATGTGCGCCTGTCCGCAGCCGTAGTGAATTGAGTTTCGAGCGGATTCACTTAACGCGTCAACGCTTGAAACACGTCTGAGGCACAAATCCGGACAGACGGCCAGTTAATGCTACAAGTTGGGCTTGGACAGTTAAGTTTCCGACTAATTGTGTCTGATTCCAAACGATTTAATTGGTATAATCAGTGTTTTATTTGCACATATCTGCCAACTTGCAACATAACCCAACGGCGGCAAACATATAATTTTTGTCTATTTATAACAATTAAAGGCGTATGGAACACACTATTCTTAATAACCTGACTATCGTCAATGATTGATGGCAACTGACGCTCTGGGACTTTTGAAAACAAACTTTGCACATTAATATATTCAAATATAAAACTTTAAACACTCAAATAAAATGAAGATGCATCTATGACAACGAAGACTAAACACCCTAACGGTGATCTATAGCTTATTTATATTATTATTATTCATAACACTATAACTTTAAAGTAAAGTATGCGAAGTGGGAAATACGTCAGTTCACTTTTCAAGATTTTTATATATTCATTTTTATATTTTTCTGAATAATGTTCTTAGACGCTTTCAGTTTTGACTCGTGGACTCTGGACTATAAAAGAGAAACATTAAAAAAAAATAACAAAAGTAAAACGCCAAAACGCAATAAAAGACAATCATATTTCGAAATGCGAACTCTTTTCGTTGCTCATCTCAGAACCAGATCCTACACATGAATATGTGTAGGCAATGAGACAAAGTTGAGTAATGCTCTCCTCTAGGGTATAGAGCACAGACCGGGCCAGATAATATATCAGCTAATTGAGCACTTCACCTCTGCACTCTCCGAGATTAAAGATCGTCGGGAGATCGTTTGTTTGTTTACTTTTGGCCACAAACAGCTGTTGGCCGGACGCGCGAACAAATCGACAAACGAACCCAACCGGTTCGGTAAAAAACTGTTTGCTTTTGTGATAGGTATGTATGCATATATGTATTTACCAACCCTGACCATGAAGATCAAACTTGGACCCGTAGATCAACTGGCAGGCGGAGACTGTGAGTGACAAGCCTGAAAACCAACTCAAATCTTGTTACACTAATTAATTATACGTGTTCAAATATGTATATATATATATATATATTAAGGCGATATAAATACAGCTTAATTGCAAAATACTCGCAATAAAGTAGCAGCTATAATTAGCTTTAAATGCTTTGATAATTAAATTTAGTTTGCTGTCGATAAACAATTATATTGCACGCTCCTAATTAGCGTTCTACGCTAAAGTTGCAGTGATATTGTTAAAATATTATTACTGCAACAATTTTTTTATATTAATTCACTTTCACATTCCATAATCGACTCAGTGCTTATGTAATATTTATAGAATTTCGACAATTTCGAGCAGCTTTTGGTTGGTTTTTTTTGGTGCTTTGGTGCAACTTGAAATTGTACTCATTTTCAAAGCATAAACTTAGGCGTTGTTCAAAAAATACGTTTTTTTTTGTCTCAATATCCAATTTTAAAGTAATTTTACCTACCTGATTATAGTGAAAAAATAGTCCAATTGATAATCAGTTTGGGTTTCAATTTGAATGACTTATTTTTGCTAATTGACTTTAAGATTGATGCGCTTTTTACATATCATAATAACAGCAATTTGGCTACGGAAGTAATTGGTTGGGTAAAGTGACATTTTAAAATATTGATAGATACATATATCATATATATATATACAGAAGATGTGTGATGCTAGAAGCTATGTGTCTGCATCTATAACTGAAGAGAATAGCCATTAGCATTCCCAAAGGGGTTACATAAGCGACGAACAAAAAATTAGGAATGCCCTGAGGACACTTCTTATAGGGTAATCGATGAGTTTTTGGTTTATGGTTTTGACCCTGAATTAGATAAAAGTACGACAAGGGGAGGACAGTTTTCTCTTTGACATAGCATAGAATGCCTAGCAAACAATACTTCCGCGCATCGAAGGCCACCACAACATGGATGTTGGACCGAGCAAGCTGCTCTGGGCTACCATGGACAACACAGTATCCAAATTGCGGGTCCGACATTGATTCCACTACAGCTATCAGGCAGATCTTGGCAGATCTTCAGGAGTCAGAAATAGAAGAGATTTAGTCATGTTTGAATAAATGAAAGAGGGAATGTATTATTTTATTAGTGTATAATTTATTATTTAAATATGTTATAAAATTTGTTTATCGTATAAAATATACTCTTATTCTTGTCACACATCCATATACATATATATATATATATATATATACACACATATATATATATACATATATATATGTATATATATATATATATATATATGTACATTTATGCATGTATATAGAAAAATTACAATTCAAGTATTGTAGTTTATTTTTGTTTTTTTGCTTTCCACACTATTACACAATTACAATTTTTAACTGCAACTCGTTATTGTTATAATTTGTCGCCTTGATCTAAGAGCATTTGCGTCCTTCATATATATATATATATATTAATGGATGTATATATATATATATATATGCATTTATGGGGATGTATGTATGTAGTATGTATATACTTATGCAAAATAGCTGCAATATTATGTATGTATGTATGTATGTGTACCTAGTACATGCTTGTTCTATGTAAATATGTAATGCATTATGAATATTTGCAAATATCGAAATGTATGCCAAAAATTGTTTCATTTTTTTTTTCTTTTTTTTTTTTTTCTTTCGATCTTTTCTTTTATAGAGTAGTATTTAGTTATTACTATGTATGTATGTAGTTGCATATGCATAGGTGTAAGTAGTAGTAAGTATGTATGTATATATGTATGTATATTACTATCGTATGTATCTCTATTTACGTAAGTAGTACTCAAAGTAGAAAGAATACACATTTCTTCAGCATTTAAGTCGCCATTAGATGAACCAAGCATTTGTTTTGAGTCGTCGTCTGTTACAAATATACAATTCGCAATTCGCAATTCGCAGGTAAACTATTCGTACATATGTACATATGTATAATGTATATACCTATGTATATGTATATGTATGTTTATATGCCTATATGTAGTATTCATTTTAGCTATTTATGTATATGCGAAACCAGTAGCTGGCCTACATTTTTTTTTTGTTTTTTCATTTTTTTTTTATTTTTTCATATTTTTTTGTAGTTTTTTTTTTTGTTGGTTTTTTTGTTCTTTTATGATTTTGTATTCAATGCTTATAAATTAAATTTGTACTCGTTTTGTACTCAATTGCTCCATAATTACTACATATGTTAGTATGTATGCATGCGTATGTTTATATATGTATATGTATTTGTATGTATGTATGTATGTATGTATGTATGTATGTTTGCCAAAAGAAACATGGATGTAGATACAATATGATTTTTGTTTTTGCTTGCAGTTTTTGTTTTTGCAAACCTATTTTTATTGGCTAATTGCTAATTGGTTTATTAAATACATATGTATGTACGTATGTATGTATGTATGTATTCATTATGTATTTAGTTATCTTTGTGTCATATAAAATTTGCTCAAAATTGTATTTTGATAGAAGAATTCATTTTAGCATCGTTAATCGACATTTTATAAAAATTTGATTTATAAATAGGTTTTTTTTCTTGCTTTTTTTTGTTTTTGTTTTTGTATTTGTTTTTTTTTTTTTTTGGGAAAATCGTTTTCACATTCATTTAGTTGTTAGCTGCTCTTAAGATCGTTAGTCATTAGTTATTATATTTGGCTTAAAACTAAATACATATATATATATATCCATATATATGTAAGTATGACAAAAAATTGAATACCTGATTTAAGTTTTGGATTCGTTTTAGTTCGTTATTAAGCTACTTGTATATGAGCACATATATATATATATATTTCTTGTTTTTTTTTTTGTTTTTCGTTTTTAGCATTACTTGTAAGTGTGGGCAATATTTTTTTGGAATATTTTCGGTTTTCTTTCTTTTTGTTTTTCCATATAGGATATATTTAAAAAAAATACCTGCTTGAAATTTAATTTTTGGTATGTATTGTAAATGTTTATTTAACTATTTAATGCATATGTAGCAGTGTCTGTGTAAATGAATGCTTATGTGTGTTTGTGTGTGTGTGTGTATGATATTCATGACTTTAAATTGAATTTGTTTAATTTATGTATTTCTTATATTTCTCATTTTTGTTTTGTTTTGTTTTTGATTCTTAAGCCTTTGGCAAATTGTTCAGTATTCATGACTTTCAGTTTTGTGTTTAACATACTTTTATAATCTTTAGATATATAGTACATATATATGCTATATGTGCTTAAATGCTTTTTATTTTTAATTATGGCATTCGGTAGTACTTAAATCTCAATCTTGGTTTACAATTTGTTTTTGTTTTTTTACACAATTTCAAAACTGTGGCTTTTAGAAAACGGCGCTCATTTGTAATGATTTTAGTATTTGCTTTTTTTGTTTTGTTTTGTTTTTTTTTTTAATTTAGTAAATCTCACACATGTAGAAATATTAGTAAAATATGGCATTTCTCATATGTATGTCTCATATCATCAATACGCATATACATATACACACATCTATATATACATATATATATATATATATATATCTATATGTATATGGTATGTATGCTTATTTATTTATGTACTTTTAAGTATGTATGGTATGGTTTTGAAAAATGTGAGGAAATGTTTTTTGATCTGGTTGCTACCAGCAATCACATAAAATGAACGGCGCTTTAAGGTATAAGTGTGTGTGTGTGTGTTGTGTGTGTGTGTGTTGTGTGTATGAATGTTATTCGATTCAAATGAGGTTATGGCAATTACATACATGGATCGTGTAATCGATTTAAAAAGAAGAACACGTTCAAGCCAAATCGTATGTAGAGTATATATGTATATGGCTAGGGTAAAATTTAAAAACTTGAAAATCGCTTCACTTAGTTTTTCTTTCTTCTTTTTTTGTTTTGTTGTCAATTTAACACTAATTACACCATAGACTTTTGTCAGTATGTATATATATATATATATATGTATAGTATATCTACTCGTAATTACAGATACATATATGTATATGTATCTATTCATATACACACATATATATCTGAGGCTGATGCTCTCGTAGAGCATTTTGCACACATTTCAATACACACATATATATATATATTAGTATAGGGTATATAATTTTTTTTAATATATATATATTTTTTAAATTATTATTTGTTTTTTTGTTTTTTTTTTTTTTGTGTATTAGTTTTGCGCATTTTATGCGTGTTGCTTTTTACGTGGAAGGAGTGTTAGCTCAATGCTCAATGCTCAATGTTCGAACTGTTTAGAAACACTTTTGGGTTCGTGGTTTGAGTTAAGAACAAACAACAACAAATATATGTATAAGAATTGACAATGAAACGAAATCATTTTGAAGAGGGGCTGATTTTTTAAATAAGTAAATAAGTAAGTAAGTAAAAAGAATATATATATATATGTATATATATGTAAAACATAACTACATCATAAGTAACTAGTTGGCTAATACATTTTAAGCGCATTTGTCAAACGCATTGCAACTGATGCTGTCTCAACTCGTCATCTCCTCAACTGCTCTCTCCTCTCGCATCTTTATATAGTCAACTACAACTACGTTCAGTTTGTCAGTATCTCAGTGTGAGTGCATCTGTCAGATACTATTTTACTTGGCTTGCTGTCATTAATTCGGCTAATATGTTTAAATGTATGTATCTATGTACGCTGTATGTAGTATTTAGTATTATATGCATTAATTCGTTTGTTTTTTTTCTTCTTTTTCTTTTTTGTTTTTTGTTTACTTGCGAGGAACATGTCACCTAAATATGTATTCAATACGCGCATATTGCTCCTGGATATATGTTTTTTACTATGCCACGTGCATGCCGCTTGATTTTTCTTCTTTGTTTTTTTTTATATAGGTCTCTACTAAATGCTAATGAACACATTCAAGTCAAAAATTATGATAATTTTTTGCTTTTGTTTTTGTTTTTGTTTGTTTGATAAATCTTTCGGTACCTGTACGCAATTAATAATACAATTAATAATAATACACAATAGTAATTCATAATAGTAATGATACACATCAAAACAAACAAAAATAAATCATTTCTTTGTGATGCAACGTATGTATGTATGTAAGTATGTATGTATGTATGTGTGTGTGTATGTTTGTTTATGTATGTAAGTATGTCAGTTAAACTCGGTTTAAGCTATGCCCATATTTATGAATTGATGTGTGACTTGTGACTGTATGTGGCGTTGAGATACATATATATATATATATATCTGTATATATATATATAGTACATATTGTACATATGTGTAAGTTAAGCTATGTTTTAAGTTACGTTACGTTATCAATGTCATTGCAATTTTTTGGCCTCACCATATATGGTGTTTCAATTGGCTCCACAATTGCCGTTTAGTTAATCAGTCTTCGTTAAGAGTTCAACCAAAAAGTCAGCGGGTTTCATTTATAATTATCCTTCTTTTTTGTGTTTTTGTTTTTGTTTTTTTTTTTGTTTTGTTTTGTTTTTTTTCATTAACTTTACCTATTATAAAGTTTCATCAAACTCACTTGCTCAGTCTCAATTATAAGAAATTAGTAATAATAAACAAATTTTTAAAAAAACGTTTACATACCACAAATAAAATTGATTTACGAAAAAATCCAAAAAAAAACTAAACTAATTTTAAACTCTAATACCACTAAGCAAATCATTGTGTAACTCCTCATTACGGAAATCATTTCATATAGAAACAAACAAACAAACAAACAAACAGACCTATAAACAAAAACCAAAAAACAAAAAAAAAACTTAGTGGTTATTTGTTTTGTTTTCCCATTTTTCTTTTTGAAATGCAACCCCCATTTTCTTTCTCTCAGTTTCCATGCCACTCAGCTAGCTAGTAAACTGCCCTCAGTCTAACTAACAGGTAATAATATTTTCATCTAGTATTTATTGTGTGTTGTGTGTGTGTTTTCTTTTGCATCCGTTTTCCTTTTCATACTTTCTTTGGATATTGAGTGTATTTTTCTTCTTCTTCTTTTTTTCAGTGTAGTTTTCTCGCTCGCCTTTTTCCACTAGGTTTTTGTTAGCCTAAAATTCTACTGAGCTGTCTGTCTGCTGTTGGTATTTTGCATTAATTTAGTTAGTTCTCTAGTTGGTTGCTTGGTTGGTTGTTTTCTTGTATATTCACTAAATATATTTGTGTGTGTGTGTGTGTGTGTGTTTTGTGTGTGTGTGTGTGTATTGTATGTAAATTACCAAATCTTAACCGTGTTTAATAACTCTTAAGCATTATCGAGGTAATCGTTGTAGCACTTATGCTAAAAATTTTTACTAATTTTAATGCCGTTTTTGTTTCTTTGTTTTTTGTTTTTTCGCTTTTCATTTTTGTTTTGGATTTCTTTGCTAAATATTTTAGCACTTGTAAATGGTCTAAAAAAACGTCGTCTGTCTTCTGCTAACTTCTTCTGCTTGTTGCATCCATTTCCCTTTGCTATCGTTTTTTGTTTTTGTTTTTGTTTTCATTGTTTATAAACTAATTTAGAATACGTGCACAAACCGCTTGTAAGGGTTAGACCCTTCTTTGGAGTCCGGCGACAGTTCTATGAGGAATACAATGCGTCCGTCCGGCATCAAGGCCACATCGCATGTGCGATCCTTTTCATCCAGCGTTGGCGGCATCAACGGATTTATGGAGGGACGCACCTCGATCTATACTCGAAATTAGGATTACATTTTAGCAAAAGAATTAGATATAGATGCGAATACTTACATCCCACATAAAGTCAAGATTCTGATTGAAGACGAGTATGCGTTGATTCTTGGAATCGGCAACTATAATGCGTCCCTCATCGTCGCAACAGAGACCAGAGGGTCGATTGAATTCATGGAAGCCAGAGCCCTCATGTCCCTTGACAGACAGAATCTACAAAAATCAAAAACCAAGAATTGTATATAGAAATAGAAATATGATTTGGATATATGCACATACATCATTGATATCGGGATCGATCAGATACAAGCAGTGGTTGTCAAAGTCAGAGACAATGATGTTGCCCGTGGGCGTATAGCAGACGCCGCGTGGCGAGGCGATGCCCTTGGTCTGGCCATGATTATCGAACACAATCTGGCGTATGAAACGACCCTCGGAGTCGAACTGTTGAATGCGATGATTGCGCGAATCGGTGACGACAATTTGACGGCGTGAATTGACAGCGACATCCCATGGATACTGAAATTGACCGTATTCCTTGCCATAGCTGCCAAATTTGAGTAGAAAAACACCGCTGGCGGTAAAGATCTGCACCCGATGATTATCCTTGTCAACAACAATGATGCGATTGTCCACGTCCACACAGATGCCGGCCGGCAGATCGAACTCCCCATTGCCGACACCCTTGCGCCCAAACTTGAACTTGAGCGAGCCATCGGGATTGAAGACCTGCACACGATTGTTGCGTCTATCGGAGACGAGCACATGGCCCATCTTGTCGACGCACAGGCCCCACGGTCGGCTAACCTGACCATCCTCGTGACCCTCGGTGGCAAAGGAGAGCGACAACGCATTCGAGTTGCGCACCTTCACCAGATCCATGCAACCGGGTATGGCCTGGGTGGTGCGTGGTGCACTGAAGTGCAGGCCCGGCGAACTGCGCAATCCATTCAATTCCCAATCGAGGGCAGCACTGGACATGCCACAGGCGCTGCCGCCACGCGGTTGCATAATGGGCGATGGTATGCGAAAGCTATTGTCGCGCAACAACGGACGACGCACCGTCGTCGAGGCGACTGTCAGCGGACCAGTGCCTGTGCTCGGTGCCAGGCTGGGCAGGCCGAAGGACATATCGATGCCGGAGGAGGCAGCTGCGACAGCGGCAGCGGCAGCAACCACTGCAGGTGCTGTGACCACATTGCTGGCAACAATGCCATTGCTGCTGGAGACGATCGGCATGTTCTTGTCATCGACGAGAATGACGCCGCCCTGGTTGCGTATATCCTGCAGCAGACTGTAGTCGGGCGGGGCGAAGGCGAAGACCTCCTGCTTGGGCTGCAGATCCTTGTAGATGCCCGCAAACTGTTCCATCTGGCGCTGTCCGTTCGTTAGTTTCATGGCAATCTCGATTTGATCCATGCTGCACGCATTGTCCGCCACCTTGCTCAGCATATCCGATGTCTCCGACAGACCGGCCAGCGCCGACTTCAAGCCCGCCATCTGATCATGCAGAATGGCGAGACGACGCTGACGCAACTTCTCGACAAAGTCGAGCAGAAAACGTTCGCGATCCTCGATGGCAATGATGAACTGGCGGAACGCCTTGCGTATATTATCGCTCAGTTCGCTGCAATTGCGTTCGATCAGCCGGATGAAGGCCAGCGCCTTGTCAATGCTGCTCTTGATGCAGCGCGTCCCCACCTGACTGCTTTCGATGGCGCCCTCCAGCTTCTCCTTGGACCCAACCATAAAGTTCTGGATGGACGCATAGCTGTGCTCCTTGTGCTCGTGCAGCGTACAAAACTGACAGACCAGCTTCCGGCAATAGTCGCAGACATAGCGCAGCATCTCGTTGTGGATGTCACAGATGAAATTGCTGCTCGGCGGCGTGTGTGCGTTCGCCGAGCCGCCACCGGTGGGTGAGGCGCCAATCGGTGTTGGTAGCGAGACAATCGAATGATTGGAGGATAAGGGACTGTTGCGATGCTCGCGCAGGCAATCGTTGCACATGAACTCGTTGCACTCGAGGCAACGGATCGAGGCGCTCACCTCGCACCAGCCACAGCTGATCGACGAGTTGTTTGACGATTCCGGTGACATTTTGGAGCTGCGCGACGCACCGCTGCCAATGGGTCCAATGCTGAAATCACCGTGCGTCTCCAGACCGCCCAGAAAGTTATTGATAAAGAAGTCGGTGCGTGGCGGCGAACTGCAAAAAAAGGTAACAAACTTTAGCAACAAGACTCCATCGTCTGTTGAGATCGACAGTGGCTTGGCTTACCCATTATTTTGTGGCACATTGGGCATGAGGCCGACATTGAGATCCCAGGAGGGGAAAGATTCCAGTATGCCGGCGAGCAGACGTTCGGATGAGTTGCTGGCATTGCTGCTGATGCTGCCGCTGCCACTGCCACCGCTGCCACCGGCATTGGGTGTGTTGCCGTTACCGGCTGTGGCTGTGTTGGCGACGGCGCTGGGCGCATTGCTGCCAGACATTTGCTGTGGAACCGTATTGTTTGACAAGAGTTCCATCATAAGCAGTGAAGTGGTAGTTGTGGTAGCTGAACTTTGAGATCACGATTCGCGTGGTTGTGGTTGTGGTTGTCGTTGCTGTTGCGTTTTTTGCTCTGGTTCTTGTTGTAGAAGTGACCCTTGGCAGTCAACGAGACACTCTCCGGCAACTGCAAGCGACAAGTCAAAATTGTTGTTGTTGTTTGTATTTTCTTTTAGTTTTTAGTTTTGAGACGCGCTCTCTAACGAAGAAGAAGTTGACAGATGCCGTGAAGGCAGCTAACTAAATTGACCAGACGCTATGCTCAGCATTAAGTAGCCCAAATTGCACCTATATCTATGTATCTATGTGTGTGCCTGTGTGTTTGTGTGTGTGTGTGTGCAGCTGCATTTAGGTGTAGGTAGCGAAAATAGATGTATCGGAAAAACTCGGCGTCCCTATTGTTGCCCTGATCCCTTAAAGAAAAGCGACCCGAATATGCATCTCAAGCCAGCAGCAACTGCAGCAGCAGCAGCAGATGTGTGGCGCAGGGAGCAGGTCAAAATTGTTGTTGTTGTTATTGTCTTGGAATTTGGTACGGCAGATACCCATCTAATTTATGAGACCCTATGTGGCAGCCTATTGTTGCACTGATTCCGCTTAAGCAAGTCTTCTTCGACACAAAATGGCCGCTTGAAGCGTTTCGCGCAATTTATTTATGGCCAAGTTCGAATTCTTCGATGAGCTGCTGTACTTTTGTGTGACCCACAAATGAAATGCACATTTTCCAAAAAAAAAAAAATAACAACAACTACGCACCAAATATATATTCTATTTGTAGGACACATTGGCACGGCAGATAGCGCCTAGAAAAACCACCCCCAATGGACTCCCCCAGAAATTTCTAGCTGGTTCCGTGTTAACTCCAAATGCGTATAAAAAATAAACTCGTTGTTGTGTTTTCGTTGCCATCTTTAAGATGGAGCGACATACGCCCGAAACATCGGACAGACTTTCATCCCCTCTCACAACAACAACAACAACAATAAACGCAGCGACAGCGAGACAAAGTAAATTTGTAAACGCCTGGCTACACTCAAAGAAAAAATCACTTGGAAACTTGTTACTCAATTGACTCTTGTGACTGCAGTTAATGGATTTAGGTATCTTTGAAATACAAACAGTAAAACCAATTATAAATTGGCTGTGTTTGCTTTCTCAGTGATATTTTCACATCAAGCAAGAAATTAAACCATAAATTTACTCATCTCAAATATTTCAAGTTATACTCGTATAATAAAATACGATTTAAATAGCTTGAACTATATAAAAAACTTTCCTTATGAAAATGAAGGTTTAGATTAAAGTTCTTTTAAAAAGCAAAAAAAAAATATTTTATTTCAAAAATTCTTTATAAAATTGAAATTACGCATTAAATAGCAAAAGCGAAACATACATTTTCTTTAAGAAATTATATTTATAGTTTTTAATGTAATAAAATGCGATTATGATTATGGAAAATCTAAATAAAAAAATGTATTTAGAAAATTAAAATGTTAAAAGACTAGAAATAAAATTTGATTAAGATGTCATTCAAATAGTAAATACTATATATAAATTTATATTTAATGAATTAAAGTTAAATGCGATTGCAAAATATCAATATACGATTTCTTGAAGAAATTAAATGTTAATATATTAAAATGGCAAACATTATAAAGAGTTTTATAGAATAAATTAAAGTTATATATTAAAACGTCATTTCTTTCTTTGAACAGTAAATATCTAATTTGAAGCCTTCTTGCATATGGAAATTATAATCGAATTTCAAATGAAAAAAAGAGGGATCATTTGAGCACAACTATTATAGGTGTCCTTTTTTCAGTTTCCCCCTTTTGCTAAGCCAATGAATACATTTGCAACGCCTTAAAATGGATGCACTTCTAGACATTTTTGGGCCGTGTAGACACTGGGCGGAAACTACCCTTGTCACCCTTAAACATTTCCATTGAAACAGTCCGTGTCTCAAAATGAGAAAAAAAATATATATATAAACGGACCAAGAAGTTAAAGTCCTTTTGCATTTGTATACACAGACACACAAACACAACATATATTTGTGTGTGTGTGTGTGGGGAGTACGTGCAAGTAGCGACGTAAAACGTCAAGGGATGAGGGTTGTATTTATACATGTTTCTAGGTGGTATGTATGTATACATATGTGTCTGTGTCTCTCTGTGTGTGTGTGTGTATGCGCGCGCGATACATACAAACAGTAGATGTATGTATGTATGTGTGTGTATAAAATCTCTCAATATATGTATGTATGCATATAATTGCAAAATCTTGAAATTTGTCAAAGCAATCAATATTTATTTGGCCTCAACTGAGTGCGATTTGTTGTTCAACTTGATTAATCAAACACTTTTGTTGCATTTTTCTTCTCTTTTTTTTCGTTTTGTTTTGTTTTGGTTTGTGTTTTATTAATGAATGAATGAATGGGCGGGGGAGAAGGGGCGGGGAGGATTGGGGGGTAGGAATTGTTACACACCTTTTTTAGCAGCCTCATGCAAGCCGCTGGCAACTGCACACTTTCAATGAGGATATCAAAAGTGGCGTCGCCTCGCAGAAAATATCGTTGTTGGTTGTGTTTGTTGTTGTTGTTGCTGTTGTTGCTGTTGTTGCTGCTGCTTTATCGTTTATTATATATAGTTTGTTTGCTTTTGTTTTATTACACATATGCATATACATACATTTATGTATGTATATGTTTTTTTTTTTTGCAATGTTCTCGGCTCGACTGTGATTATTATGAATATAAAATTTATTGATTTACGAATCCAGTTGATGTTTTTTTTTTGTTTTGTGCGTTTCGAAAATGCGAGATTCTTTTATATATATATATAAATATATATATTTATGTATATGTGTATGTATTTTGCTAGCGCAGAGATCTCGTGCGTAATTCGTTTGTGGCCCGTTTCGAGTCCGACATTCGTGTATTCCTTTTCCCGACTAAAAGATACATTCGACTAAAAACACAACATAATAATCATGCCTCCTCGCTCATATATATATGCGTATGTGTGTGTGTGTGTGTGTATTAGTGTTGCTTCTTCTGCTCTGTCTGTTGTTGTTGTTGTTGCTCCGCTTGCTCATCATCTATGTAGCTAAACAAAAAAAAAAATAAAATAAACCCAAAATGTATCTCACAGTCCGTTTTTGATTTTGATGTTTGCTGCGCGCGCTTCGCTCTTTGGATTTTTTGTTTTTTTTTTGCCGTGCTGCTCTCGCTCGCTCTTGCTCGTTACGCCTCTCTCGCTCGACGCTCTCTCTCTCTGGCTATCGCATGGGCATATACACATGTATAGCTGTTTACATGTATTGTTCACATGCACGGCCACATTTTACAATTATGCGTGTGAGTGTGCGCTTGTTTTATCTTCTATTTATTTTCACTTATGCGGCAAAGAAATGCAATCGAAAATGCACCCCGCTATCTAACAATAAATAACATGCATTTTTTTCCCCAAAAACTATAAACATACTTCGATTTAAGTGCTGTAAATTCGGCGTGTATTTTATTTTTGACGTTTTTTTTTTGTTTTTAGCCGTTCATTTTTGGTGCGGCGTTATTTTGTTTGGTGTTTTTTTTTTGTAGTTTTTCGAATAATTTTGACCCACTTCTTGTGGCTTGTGTTTCGCTTGGGGACTAGGGCTCCTTTTGCACTCTCGAAAATATCCAACCTTCACGCACGCATTTAAACATGAAACTGGATGCACGTTCATGCGCCGACAGCGCTTCTGCTGCCCCTTTTGGCTTGTTGTTTTTTGTTATCACACCCTTCCCACTCCCAGACCTATGACGCTCGCTCATCCGCTCCGTCACCATTTGAACTAACAGCTCAGTTTGCCTATACAAAATTATGTAAAATAAATAATAAGAATACGCTTGCTTACGGGTTTGATTTCAGTTAAATTTATTATATCACGTTCATTAAAACTATTTTATTTTATTAAAAAAAATCATATATCATTTTTAGATTGTATAAAAAAGCATAAATCGTGAAAAAAAAGCATCAAAGTTGCATAAAAATCACTCTGAGATTAACAGAGCAAACGCATTTGTAGAGCATTCGTAAGTCGCATTGGCATTGAATTCAAAGTACTGACACACACACTGAGAGGCCAAGCAAAAGAGAACGAGAGAGAGAGAGAGTACAAGCTCACTAACGGCGCATGTGGCGGTGGCGCGAAAATACGGCCGGTGGTGGTTGTTGTTATGGCGGTGCCTGCTTGCTTTCTTGTTCTTCTTCTTGTTACTGTTGTTGTTCTTGTTGTTGTTGTTGACGTCGCCAGAAACAACACCCTTAAGGAACTTGTTTTCATCTCTTGCCCTGCTGCACTGACAAAAATTCTCAGCTTAAAATTTTCAATCGAAACGGTCTCTCAGCCGTGGCCAATTCATCTGGCAGCTAGCGAATCATTAATAACAGCAGCTACGAATTGCACTTCGTGTTCATGGAATTTCAGACTAAGACTCGGGCTTTGGCTTCGGCTCAGGTAGAGCGCGCAGGTGCGCCGATAGCACAGGTAACAGGTAAACGTGCACAGGCATCCTTTTTTTTTAAATTATTCTGCTTGTTGTCGGCTTTCATGTTGAACAGCTATTTATGTATACATATGTTGTATGTGTGTGTGTTTGTCTGTTATGCTACTAATTACATTCTATGTAATAATGTGTGTAAGTACTCCTGGTCGCATAATGATAGCACTCCTTGTAAATGTCATGAAAATGAAAGTGTAACTGTTATACATTATGGTTTATGTGTGGTGAACTTTCAGTTCACATGCAAAATTAAATCATCTTGATCATGGTAGCACACTTGCAAAATATGTGCATGTGTAACTGTTATACATTACATTAGATGAGACACTTGGGCATGTATGAATGCAACTGTTATACATTATGTTAGAAGAGATTATGTGTAGTGAATTTAAAAATAAAATCATGTTGATCCTGTTTAAAAGTGTGCTAACATTATGTTATGTAACTTTCAGTCGCATATTTTAGAAGACATTAGCTGTGAATTTAAGGCTGACATTATGTTCTTCTATGCATTCTTCAGTCCCACACTTTAGAAGAGATTAGCTGTGGTGAGCTTAAAGCTAACAGGCTCAATTCAATCATGTTGAGAAGTGCACTCATTATGTTATGTTAAGTTTCTGTTTCAGTCGGATACTTATAAAATGTTACCGTTAATACTGTAAGCTAAGCTTATAAAATACTAACTACAAATACTAACTAACTAATCATAGATAATGCGTATTAGCCAAATTCCAGTTCCTCGATTAAGACATTTTGCAGTTTCTGGCGCACGCGCAGCTTGCGACGCTCGTCCAAGCGCTGCAGAAACGGCATCAGGCTGAGCAGAAACATGCGATCGGCATCGTCCTGTGAATCCTGTCCACAACTCGACTCCGTGTTCGTCGCTGCATCCATGCTGATGTACTTGAAGGGCAAATCGGAGGCAGTTGCAACTGCTGCAGCTGCTGCTTGTTGTGGCTTTGTTTCCGGTTCGCTTTTCACGCTGCTGCTGTTGGAGCGTTGATCTGGATTGGAATTGGTCTGTTTGCAGCTGGATGCCAGTTCCATTTGCGCCTGTTCCTCGTCATCATCGTCGAGCACTTCGATGGTGAAGACACTGGGATCAGGTGTGCCATTGGCGGCATCATGTTTGTTTGCCTCCTCATTCTCGGAGGCGGCATCCTCGTCGAAATCATCATCGTTCAGCTCCTCATCCTTAAGGCTATGCCCATCATCATTGCCATTGCTAGTGCTCTGCTCCAGCTTGATGCGCTTGCAATCGCCATCCTCGAAGAACGAACTGATGTCCGAGAAGCTCGGCTGATGCAGCTCGGAGTCGTAGCTGTCGCTCAGCTCACAGATTGGCTCCGTTGCCACCACAATCGATTCGTATTTGCTGCTGCTGCTCTCGTCCAGCATCAGATTATTGTTCTCCGTCCAATGGCCAGGTGGCAAATGCTTCTTGCCCCCACCTCCGCCTCCTCGTGTTCTCGCCTGCCTCAGAATATTCTCGTGGACGGCGTGCTCCATGAAACGCATATCGTTGTAGAAGCGCCACGAGGATGGCGACTCATTCGACAGATTGTTCCGTATGTAAACCTTACGGAAATTGTCCCGCAAGTGGCCCCATTTCACCCGGCAAACGTCAGCTGAAAAATGAATTGTAAAAGGTTATGAGTTTCTGCTTTATTCTACGTGCGAAGAACAGTTGTGTGTGTGTGAGGTGTGAGTGTGTGTGTGTGTGAGTGGTGTGATCACGTCGTCACTGTGGCATGCCTAGGTGAAACCAAAGAAACCGCAATGCCTCGCAATGCAGTGCACACTCGCTAAGGCGAACTAGCTGTGCACATTTTGATTGGTTTTTGATTTTATTTATTTATATTTTTTATTTTTAAATCTCTTATCATTCTGTGTATAAATAAAAGGGTGTAGTAATACAATGCACACTTGCTAAGACGAACCACTATTGATTTTTCAATATTTCACATACCAATCTGTATTTGCTATTTTTATTTGTATTTTTTAAGTTTTAAATTTGAATTAAATTTAAATATAACTTTATTCCATTTATATTATAATTTTTAAATCTCCTTGACATCAATTTAAATTAATGATTAAAATCAAATTAGAATTATATGGTGATTTATTGCAATAGCTAAATGTTTCTAGCTTCCGTTTTCTATACAAAAAAATTACGATTTTTGAAACTCGGGTATTATTTTTTGATATATCTCAAAAGCTAATGAATATTGATCATTTATAAATACACATAAAATTTGCATTTTTTTCATGATTAATAGCTTCTCATATATCATGGGGGTTTACCCTATTCAATGATCACTGTAATCACACACACACATGCACCCCCATAAAAACATACATATTTTTGCATTTACTTTTTGATTAAAGAATCTATTCAAAATCCTAGTTATGTTATTGGAAATGTTATTACATATTATGTTAATGACATATTAATCTAAATATGCAGACATAAACAAAAACAAAACGAAAAACAAAGAGACAGAGATATCAAGAGAGAGATAGAGGGCGCGGGAGACAGAGAGAATGAGGTGGCTTCACTCACCTGGCAGATGAACATCCTTGCCAACATCAAACCAAATGGGCGTAATATCGCTACGCTTCTGGCCGCTTACGTTATTTCGCAACCAGAGCACTGGACGACGTGAGACGGCCGCAATGAGCCGCTTAACCGTTTCGATTGGCAGCTTGGCGGTGTTTGTGAAACTGAAGGAGACGGGCGGCAGCGACGACGACAGCGACGTCGGCGGCGACGTTGACGATGATGACGCATTGTAAGCCAGATCCATGACGATGATGATGATGATGATCGACGACGACGATGATGATCGACTATGACTATGACGATCCGTGTGAAGGTCCGACTTGCGCAGCTCAAGCACTACACCAAGACTAACCAGTGCGCAGCCGAGAAACCGAAACAGAAAGACAAAAAAAAAAAATAATAAACTACGGGCACGCCACGCCGACCACGACAACGACACCAACATCGATACTGTGTTTGTACGGGCAACGACAACGACGACGACGGCGAAGAGCAACCAGTTTACGTGCCTTTTGGCTGCGGCTGCGGCGGCGACGAAGGCGCAAAGAAAAGCGACCGATCCGAAAAGAGAGACGAGAGAAGAGCGAACGACACAGAATAGCAGATAGAGAGGGAGAGGCGGCGGCGTAGGCAGCAGCCTCAACAGCAGACAGGCTTTGAAGCAAAAGAAGAAACAGCTGAAGCAGGAGAAGCAGTAGAAGCAGGAGAAGCTGTAGAAGAAGAAGCAGCAGCAGCCCCAGTTGAAAATGCGCTCGCTCTTCACACTCAGACTCTGCTATCCGGATGTAAAGCTTCCGCTGTCGCCGTCTCGTGTTCGCTTTACGGTTGATAACTCTGATTCAACGGTTGCGAACCGTAACGAATTACAAATGCGCTGCTGCTGCTGCTGTTATACTGCTGTTATATAAATACACATGTATGTATGAGAACGATATGTGTGTGTGGCTCTAATTAACAGCTGTGCTGCTAGTTCAAATTGCAAGTGTCCTATTCTGATTGGAGGACCACTACACATATGCTCAGATTGTAGTGTGCATGTTAAATAAAACTGGATTTTTTTGTTTGTTTTTTTCTTTCTGTTTTTCTGCCTACGGTCGGCTGCATGGAGCGAACGTGAACGTAAAATGTTCACGCTACGCCAGTGAAGCTAGCGGAAAAGATACACACGTAAACGCTTGCACAAACACATGAATACATATGTGTATGTGTGTGTGTGTGTACAAAATCAACTGGAAAGCCAAACTGAACGAAAACTTCGTTTTGCACGATCATCGGTCGCTTGTCGCCTGGGCTTGCGTTACTGCTATCTATCCCCCTCCCTCCCTCTCTCTCTCTTCCAACTGTTTGTTCGAGTGTACGTGACTCTGCCTCTGTCTCTACGTGCATGCGTATGTGTGTGTGTGTTTGAGAAAATGCAAGCAAAGCGAATATGAGAATTAGCTACTTGTCTGCAACTGGGGGTTATTTTATCTGTGTTTGTGTGTGTTGTGCTGACATTTGATCCTGCACAACTGGAAGGAGACTTGAAAGTGTTGTGAAATTCTCAATTGTTGCCGACTTGATTCCAATTTGCATTTTTTTCGATAGAACAAATTGAAATGAGTAGCGTAGATAATAAGTTTTTCAAAAGCATTGCATAACAAATTACGTAATTCAAAATAGAAATTTTAAGCTCAAGTCACATACACACATGCAGTTTTTCTCTCTTTCAATCGTATTCTCGGAGTTGACTTTCAGCCACACACACGTCGAATTAACTGTAGTCCAGCTTAGGCCAATTGGCATGCCTGGAATGTTGGAAATCACGTACGGGAAAACTGGCCGCTTCCATTAACTCAAATACTGAAATAATAATTATGCTTAAGTTAGATATTAAAATCTGTTATTATTAGTGTATTAGTGAATCAATATATTCTACACATCCTATACATATATGTATACATATATATATATATATATATATATATATCTATATTCTACACATCCTATACATGTATATATATATATGTGTATATATATATATGTATATTTATTATGAATGTTGAATTTTTTTCTTTCTTTTTGTTTTTTTTTAGTCTAATACTCCAGTTGGAAGCGCCTGCGCATTTGGCTCAACAACCATCCAGAATCTTAGCTTAAACTCGACTTATTGATAACATTTTCATGCTCCCCTTTTTCCCTTTCCTCCTCCAGCTGCTGCTCCTGGGAGACGCCACGCTTGCGACTGCCACCAGTGGAAGTCACTGCTGCTGCTGATGCTGCATTTCCAGTTCCGCCCGTCATAATGGAATAGTTTTTCGCTGTGGACTTGCGTAGCGTTTCCTTTTCCAGCGCCAGTTCCACGACTGCATTTCCATTGTGGCCATTACTACTGCTGTTGCTGGCGTGCGGTGAACAGCTACCATTTCCAGGCCCACTTCCATTTCCAGTGCCATTCCCATGCCCACTTCCATTGCCAGTCCCATTTCCATTGCCATTCCCATGCCCGTTCCCACTTCCGTTGCCATTTCCATTCGCGTTCCCATTTCCGTTTCCGTTAACTTCATTGATGAACGCATCCATGTGATCAATGGTGTCGTTCAAGGCGAAACTCTGATCCCGCCGCTCGCTCTTCTTCCACAGATAGTAGAAGTGGACCAGCTCGCGCATGGTTCGCGTGCGCACCTATAAATGGATCACATGGACACCATCAGATGTGAATTAATCGTGGGCCGCCGTCGCTGGCATTTCCATCTCCATTACCTGATTCTGGCGTATCTGATAGAAGTCCTTGCCATACTTGTGGATGCCCTCCTCAAATTTCTCACATTCCTCTTCCGACCAGCTGCTCATCGTATCACTGCTCAATGGGAGCACGTTTAGCCTTTTTCGACGCAGTGCCTCTTTGAAATCGTAGCCACACTGGACGAGCAGATGCAGCGCCTGCTCATTATCCTTGACCACCGATTCCGGTTCGGAGTGGGCAGTTGTTGTTGTTGTGGCAGCATCAGCAGCAGCAGTGGGAGTAGGAGTGATATCAGGAGCAGCAACAATTGGAGCTGGAGTTGCCTCCTCCACATCGGCAGATTCTGTGGCCGCCTCGCCACCCTCTTCAGCTGAACGCGTCTCCTGAATCTTGGCCAGATAGTTCTCCACTTCCCGTTCGCTGACCTGACTTGGCTCCCAGATCAACTGATCCTCGTTCTCATAGGGCAGTATATCGCCGTATTGTGAAAGACCTTCGGGTATCTCTGCTTGGTAATCCGGGCCGACCATGATGATCTTTCTGGCATCATCCGAGTCCGTATCGCTGTCCTCCTCCTCCTCCTCGCCTCGAGTCTGCTCCACTTCCTCGAAGAGCGTCTGCAGTGGAGTAACTGAAAACAGAGATTCTATTAGCACCAGCTGAAAGTGATTAGTGGATAGGATGCACTCACAGCTACCCAGATCTTCAGGAGTTGTTATTGTGTGCGGGACACTGCTGCCAAATGACTCCTCCGGATACAGATCCAGTAAATGCGATCGATGTGGCTTCTTTGTCAACTCCGGCGGCAGCAGCACGCCGGGAATTGCATCCTCATCCTCAGCAACAGCATCCTCCGCCACAACTGGCTCAACACTCGTTGACTGCTCCGTGGTGGAGACAATCGCCTCCTGATGTTGTCGCTTTGACGCACGTCGTCGCCTGGTGGAGCTGCCGCTGCTGGTACTGGTGCTGCTCGAGCGGATTGGGGCAAAGTTTGCTGCTGACATGCTGCTGCCGTATTTGGCCAGCAGTTGTTCGATGGGCATTTCGCTCTCCTCGCGCAACGTTGCAATCTCCTCGTCCGCATTGTGCGCCTCCAGATCGGCCAGGGCCTCTTCCTCGTTGAGCGTCGCCTCGTCGTCAAAATCGTTGACCATCATATCGATTGTGGGCTCAAAGGTGGTGTCCGCTACCGATGAAGTTGGCGACATTGGAGGTGGCTGTGACTGTGCACCCCCGCTGCTGTTGTCCGATCCGTAGCCCATTGCGGGTGATTTGCGACGCTCGCGCTTCGTTGGCGTTGGCGTTGTTAATTCGCGTCCCGCCATTGCAAGTTGCCTGTTTTCTTGCTCGGCTGCTTGTCAATTGAACACCTTCTCCGACTCTGGGCACCCCAAAATTTTAACATTTACTCACATATTACTAACAGCGCTGTCTTAGCAGTTTCTTAACTCTCATCATAATTTGATTTGACTGGTGCTAATAAGCGCATTATGGGCTGAGTAAAGGCTTAAATTAATTAATTTAATACAAAAAGGTGCAATTATCATCTATATAAACTGTTAAGTGGGCTGCAAGCGTAACCGTAACGAAACAGCTGTTGCTTAACATTACCAGTCGAGTATTTCGTTATTTACCATCAGAATGTTGGCTGTTTTGCGCCGCTTTTTCTAGAAATTCGTTTTCAGATTATACTTATCGACATGAAAAACTTATAATGAATGCACCACAAAATTTTAGCACTTTACATTTTGCTAATTAACTTTGATTCGGAATCCGCATAGCCAGAAGTAAACAATGAAGAAAGCGAAACAAATATTACAGGCTTGAATATTTTTTTATGTTCTGTGAAAATTAGAAATTAGCTTTTATAATTCCGTCAAAGAAAAACACATACTAATAGTTCTGCAACAAGTTTTTAAAGCAAGTTCTTAAGCTAACATATGATTGCATTTAACAGCGTATTTCTGCGCTTTACATCACATATCGATAAATCATTTTGCAGAACCATTTTGAGTACTTAACAGAAATATCATAGATTACTGCGACAATGGGCAGTTGACAGGCATACAAACATACATACGCGAATAACAATGGAGCTAACTGCTTGTAACAGTGTCTAAGCAAATGTTAATCACATATCGGCTGTTGCAATGTATTTATGCACAAAGAGGCAGTTAACTCGATATTTTCTAGACGACTCGTAATCAGATTCATCCTCATTGCTGCATATGTCACAATTTCAGTTGACTGCTGTTTCATTCAATAATTAGGCTTAAGTTCAAATACTCACTTTTACATACCTATGTGCGTACATACATACGTGACCACAAATATATATATACATTTATATTTTTGGCGTGACAACATTTCCATCAGAATTACTCGCAGTTTCATTCGCTCTTTCAATCGTGTCGGAAGCAGGCAATTCGAGCACGGACCGCAAACGTTAACAGAACAAACGGCCATTTTGAGGCACGCATCGTGCGATTACAAAATATAAATATACACACACATATTCATATATCTATTCATATGGAGCAACACATCTAAATTGCAATTGCACAAAATCATTAGTGAAACAAAATTGGAGGTGATCGGTGAATAAAGTGCAAGAATTTTGTGTATATAAATTGGACAAATGAAGCAGCTATAACGAACGAGCCTTAAACAAAAGGAGTCAAAGACCAAAAAAAAAACCAAAAAATGCTCGAATCGCCCAAGTTTATTGCAAATGATTGCTACGATGGCAGCCGGATTTTTACCTGGTTGGCCGACATGGTTGGACTCTCTGTTGATTTGGTAAGTTGCCTTTTCCAGTCCTCTGCTGCCGTTGCTTCTTCTTCGACTGCTGCTAACCAGAAGTTGGTAATTGTGTGCGTGTACATAATACACACATACATGAGTATATTAAATAATGCAACCAGTGTATCCACATTGTTCCCAAATTTACCTGGCCTCAATTATTTTTAAAACACATGCACACATAAGACAGTTTTCCTCACCCTGTGCACTGTCAAATTCCAGTGAAGGCTAAACGCCGGCTGCATTCTTTTTATAGGTTTAGTTATACAGGGTGACTCCTCCCTCCCCGTCGACCATTGTCTCGTGCCATATTTGAACTTGAGCTTTTTAACAATTTTGTTTGGTTTATTTCATTCATGTGTTTAGTGCTCTAATTGTTTGTCTGCTTGCCAAGGCAATTGATGATTTGCTGTTTATTTTCCTGTTCTACTTTAGCAAATTGCGACTTATCACGCTGTCATTAACCTCTGTCGACTATTTGTTCCTACATATATACATATGTATATGTATACGTAAATATATATATAAATAATATATATATATATATATACATATATTTATATTTTGTGTACATATATAGTAAAAATACTCTTGCATTATTTAAATAAATCTGTAGAATAAAACCGGCTGTTTTGGCTTTTATTAATACAAAATAGACGGGGCACGTGTACTTTTTTAAATTTATAAAATTGTGTAATTGAATGAGTTGGGTGCGAATTAATCATGTCACTTGACGGCTGCCAATTGAGTAAACAGCTGAGACTGTTGCACTGAGACATAGTCTGTTCTCATTCACTCACACACACATGCATACTTATCGAAATATTCCTCATTTGCATACTTGTACTCGAGAATGAGAACGAGAACGCAATAAAAGAGGGATTGTGATTAACCGTAAATCACTTGCCCTGCTGTATCTGTGTATGTGTGGGTGTAAATATGAGCTCGGATTTCAGTTTGAATCCGTTTCAAGCAGCGCTTAGTGGCGGCTAATCTAATACACGTACATATGTCTGTGTGTGTGTGGTACTTTTCGTACTTAGATGTGATTTAACAGCAAAGTGAAATGACAAACACAAACTATTCTGTTAAAGTCACTATTTCTGTTGTTCTTGCTCTTCTCTGATGATCTAATCCCACACATGTCGTCAGCTAATGTTGTTTGTTAAATGTTTGTTACTCACACAATAATGGTTGATGATTTAGTTGCTCGTTCTGCCTGTTTTTGTTTTCCTGTTTTTTTTTTTTGTGGTCATTTGAGAAATTCATTTTTTGGATGCTGTTTTTATTTTTTGATTGTTTGTAAACAAAAGTTAGCAACAGCTGAGCAGCGAGAAGCAGATGGAATGAGTCACTTTTAGACGTAGATATGACACTCGAAGGGGAGGGGGGTGTGTGTGTGTGTGGTTCACAGGGTGTTTCATGCGCACGGCTATAAACAGTTAGTTGACTCGCTTGCGTTTGGTTTTACTATTTTCGTCATACGTGTGACACATTTCAATTCGCAAGAAGGTCGTCGTAATGTATGTGTGTGTGAGAGAGTGTGGGTGGTGTAGCGTTAACTCAGCAGCTTATGATTAGCACAGCAAATTTTGCATTATTTTTATATGTTATGTAAATTTTTGTTGCGAAGGTCAAAACAAGCCTAGCACGCAATTACAAATAAAACATTTGATTTGTTTATACTTAAAATGTAGCTATTTCAGCTATTGCACTATAATAATTTGAAGTGTGTTAATTATTAAACAGCCGGCAATTGACAGCTCTCTCTCGCTCTCTTTTCTGATCTCCACCTACGCAGCTGTTCTGCTCACTCTGCATATTTTTTATGGTTACTTGCTTTTGCGTCGCAGTCGAAAGCGGGGTAAATGAGCTTGAACCGGTGTTCAAAGGTACACAAACAACAGCTTTTAAGCGAGAGCGAGCGAGAGAGCGAGTGAGAGATGCGAATTCGATAAATTCGCTCAGACGCCATTTCTCCTGAAATTGATATGCATAAGTGATATTGTGACCTTGAGTCCTCAAACAGCTTCAACTCGACGCTGACTAACACTGTCATTGTAATTGTTGTTGTCCGTCTTGCTCGCTGCAAATTGCTAGCTGTTGCCGCCATGTGGCGCCACTTTATTATTAGTATTCTTGCAAAAATCTGTTTCAATTTACTTGCCGGCTATTGAAATACCCTAGCAAAGAGTGAAATTGGATTCATTATATATATATATATATATATAATATATATATATATATATATATATATTTATTTATTTATATTTTGAAATACTGATAAGCACAAAAAAAAACACTCAAAGCATTAAAATTTTTATTTTTACTCTTATCTGCAAACCGCTACAAATTCCAACATTAATTTACCCCTTATTTTTTATCACTCTTAGTGCAGAGTCTCTTTTTTGTTTGCGCTTTTATTGCTTTTATTTATAGTCATCACGCCACCTTTTTGTATGCTGATATTTTGGCAATTGTGCTTGTTGTTGACCACCCGCACCATCCCCCTTGCCAACCCAACCCAACCCCTTCATGCGTTCACTTTGTGCTGCGTTTCGCTTGGAAATTGGTTTGTGGGGGCAATGGCAGGGAAGGGTATCTCATAGTATTTAATTAAATGATTTATGGGTGCCGTTTTTTGTTTTGTTTATACTACACATGTATACGCGTGTATATATAACAACTGGAGGAGGAGCAAGTCATGGATTGATTGATTGCCAGATAAGATTCTAAGCCGCCTGCAGGGAATGCAACAATTGAAGAGTTGGCAACATTTCGAGTAGTTTTAAGCGGACTCAAAGCGACAAACAAAGCCAAGATAGTGAAAAGCAAAAGAATGTCGAAGCATAAGTGTATATATATATACATGTATATATATATATGAGCTCTCACTGCTTGCCATTGTTTGAAAGAGGGTTTAACTGTCATCTGGCTTTGTGTATGTCTGTGTCTGTGTATGTGTATGCATGATTATATACTTATAAACTAGCGCTGCGTGGGTGCGTTGGGTTCTAATAGTATTAGTAGTATTTTGTTATATTTATATTATATTCATATTCATCATCATCGTTACAGGGATTAGTAATATTTTGTTATATTTATCACTGTAGAGTCGTGGAATCCATTGCTCTATTTTCAATCTGGGCTACTTTTCATGTTTGCCAGCTTGGCTCAGCAAGCTCAATTTAATCATCTTACCTTGAGCGCATGTTGTGGCCAGTTTGGTGGGGGAGGGCCGCTGTGCCTCTGCCCCGTCTCTCTCCACGCTAGACAAAGACACTCAGCATGCTGGCAGACAATTTCCTTCCGCGTACTTGTCTTTGTATACTCTGTTTGCGGCAGGTGTGAGAGTCTATTGGTTTTGATGTGTAATGTAACTTGAAGCTTTGAAAATATAACTGTATATAATGGTGGTGATACGTCCAGTTGGGCCTATATAATCGATAATTATCGATAATATCAAATCGAACTGTATATTTACACACATTAAAAACTACAGTCTGTAAACTTGGAGTGTAGATTGTCCCACAATGTTGGACCTAAAATTTACAAACTTGGAATGTTGATTAATAGGAAACTCCCAAGAAGACTATTAACACTATTTAATGACTTTAAAGTTAGAGCTAGAGCTAAAAAAAATTGGAATGTAGATTACTGGAAACCTTCTCAGAAGATTTGTAAGCAAATATAACTCGTAATTTTAGAACTAGAGAAAGGTTTGTAACCAGCTTTTGTCAGTTGATAACAGATTACTCTGCAATTGGTTACGCCTAAATGCTTGACTAAGGTGATTAAATACAGGGTAATACTTGCATAGATATGTACCCCCAGCAAAAGATCTAATCGTTAATCGTTTCTAATAATGATTTGGAATTTATAGTTGAGCAAAACTTTTGTGTTTTTGTTCTTAAACACGATTTCCCTTTCGTTCACGTTTCTGTCGGTTGTTGGCTCATTAAACACGATTGGCGTTTGTTCGATTGCGTATTCAGTCGACAAAATGTATGTTGGTGTTTGATGACAAACTGGTTTATGGCAAGACTTGAGCATATTATTGATAAATCGCAGCGCCTGCGGCTT